ACGCACTAGTTAACTATAGCATTGATTAAATATGCATAGATATTGTAAAAAAAAAACCTAACCTAACCTAACCTTATAGATAGTCCAAATAATGATAACAACTGTTAACGCGTTATAAAGTGAAATAGGAGCCAAAATCTAGTAGTGTGGGAACCAATAGGTTCGCTGGTGTTTTCGGCTTCCCGCATAGATAATCTATGGATCCCGTACGAGCGTCTCTGCAGCTTGACGAATTGATCGCCACGCGAGCAGCTCCTCTTATCATACTATTATCACAGCTCGAAATATTGTTATCACAAGTCGCTACAAATTTTGTTAAAACCACAGACTGAAATATACTCTATATATAGGTATATCTTAGTCTGTCGTTATAACTATATTATTATATTAGTATTAGCAAAAGACCAATTTATTAATTTAGAAGTAATGTAATTGACAAATGTACCTACAAACTAATAGGTAGGTACCCAGTTATGATCATTAAATATTTAAATAGTGTGTTAAGATTTTTAAGTAATATGTTTTAGTACTTCCAAGAATACGAATAATCGAATACATTATGAACATTTATAGTCTCATTATTGTCATCTTTAAATCCAGAAATAATCGCAAGAACTTTATTTATAGAAGGCTTTGCAATCGATGTTTCGCTAGATTTCTTCTTTATTGAATGAAGCCGAAGTTGTGAATCTATTTTCCTTTAATCATTGACTTCTTCAACTGTTTTTAAGTACCAATATCCTCCTTCATAACTTTTGCCAATATTTTTGAATTGGAATTTCGTAATACAAGGAGGAAGAATAGAGGTTATTTAAGATTAATAAAAGAATCTAAACTTAGAAATATTGTTTTCACCAATAAAATTCTTAATAATATATTATCATTAATTTAAGTATTAGTTTTAAGTTTAATATAAAATACTTATATTTATGTTTGTGTTTATGAATAAAATAATAATAAATTAAAATTTTACCTAGATTTAAATAAGTATTTAAAATGTAATAATTAATTATTGTAATAGACGTATTAATCTTACCACAAGCTTTGCTTATAGGGAGTTGATATCAACGGGAAATTAAAAATTGAATATAAATATTGTATGTATGTAAATGTAAATTGTATGTTGTAAATTGATTTATCAATTAATTAATCGAAAAAATAATTCCTTTACTACTACTTAATATTTAAAGTATAAAGCATTATTCTTCAAGTTAGAACAGTGACAACAAATAAAACAATAATTCAAATTTGCGCACGTACAATCAGATTGTCTAATTTGAAAATAACATTGATAATGGTATGATTTATAACTTCATAATAGGTGATTTTACTCTATAAATAAAATCAACCGAGTTATTCTCAAACTGAGTAAAGGAGAGACCTTAATCCTCACTGTATTGTTTCGTTTCGTGTGTTTTGAACACACGTCCCATTTTGATTGCGCGAAATAATTTGTACCAGTCGTTCAACCAACAACCAACATTATCACTCACTATCATTATTAATTTACTACCAAAATGCGCGATAATTATTATCGCACATTTTTTTGAAAATATAATATCATTATTAAATTATATTATATATGAATTTATTATTATTTTGCCATCAATATTTCACCATCCCTGCACTTTATTCAGGTTTTTTACTATTCATACTATTTTCTGTTAAAAAAGGCGATGTCATTGAATTATTACCTAAACAGTATCTACTCTATTAATATAGTTTACTTGTATTACACGATAAACTAATAATAATAATAAAAAAATCAAAATTATTTTACTTAATTTTGGTTACTGATATATTGCTATTTTTGATAGTTACGTTCTACTAGTAGGCACTGACTACTGGTTCTACTAGTAGGTATTGATTTTAAAATCAATGGTACAACCTATATTAAAATTACATGGTATTGTACTTACTAATACTAGTTTGTGATTTCATATCATAAAAAAGTACATCGTGAAGTGTTTAATACAACAAACTTTTTGCATAAAGTGCATAACTGTCTTTAAAAAAATGTACATTTTACAATTACATAACGTAAATTATTATTTACCTTCACAAAGTTCATATTGAATTTAAACTGGTATTAAAATTGAATATTAATTCGCATTTAATTTTAATTCTAAATTAAATTATTAAAAAATGAAAATTGCAATACCAATTTAATTTGTTATTAAAATGAAAACAAGAAAATGACGTTACCAGCTATAACCAGCACGTCCAAAAGTTGAATTTATTCGACTTATGCGGTATCCGCGGTAACGTCTTGGTAGACACTATCAAAATGTATCTATCAAGATAATATTACGAGCCAATCAGAAAAGTGTATTTCACACGAAACGAAACGACACGGTGAGTCGACGACTACCCCTAATAAGCGTGTTTTTTTCTATATCGCCTGTTAAGACAAACGGCAACAACAATTGAATAATAAATAATAATTTTATTTGTGTAAATAAGTTGAAATTAATAATAACAATAATATTTACAGCGTAACTATATATTCCTTATCGGAGTATATTATTAACCAAACCGGTTTCGATTGACAGTGGATGATGATTATCCATTTGCTTCGTGCCGCAGCCTTCTCGGTCTATTTAATTTCGAAAACAATTATTTCCTGGACATTGGACAATGGTCACCCTATCTAATATTTGTCGAGATATTCATGGTACTACTTTTATATTTCCATTTTGTCCGTCGACTTGGACTATCTATGTATACCTAATCAATGACTATAGTATTATAATTAAGTTTAAGACGGCAACCGAATTCAAAATATTATTCAAGATGCTGACTGACGCTACCCCACGATTATGCTCCGAATGACGCCTGTGTCTCATACAATCCCATTACGTCGCATTACTATATTTACGTACCGATATAATCGTACCACTTACGAGACACCGGCCCACCGTCCTCTAGGACAGCAGACCATTGAGCCAGTCCGCGCCTGCCTTTTATCTTGGAAGTTTTGGATCTGGTTTCTCACAAAATAAGTCGTTTTTTCATTTTCCAAATAGTTTTCATAAGAATTGGAAAAAACTGGAAAAAAAAAAAACGAGCAAATTCACGGCATTACAATTTCATTATTTTAAAATATGTTTACGCTTTGTTTTCTACTAGAAATATTGTTCCAATCGAAAAACGATACCTTTTTTGTTGTTTTTTTAATCTAATAGATGAATAAATAAGTCGTTTTTTATTTTCCTGAAGTTTTTTTAATAATTGAGCCGAACCAAATAAACAGAAGGAACGGGTAAATTTAATAAAATTCGGCATTTTTTCTATTTTTTTTTTTCATCGTAATTCAGTTAAACATATTCATAGAAACTTGAGATGTTCACAGAAAATTTGTATTTTCCTTTTTTATACGTTGTAAAAATATTTAAATCAATTTTTACTATGATATTATTATTAATTGAATCCTAGTCATATTTATATTATACTAGGTATAATCGTTTTAAACTCAGAACGTAAACAGCAGTTATTAATAGTGGTTGAATATAGTTTTACCAAGATGTAAGCATTTTTTTTTTCTCATTAATACTATTTCAATGAATGAAAATGATCGAAAACGGTCACACTAGAAATTTAATCAAAACATTTACCTTAAAACATAAGTTACCGAAAACTTTTTCTACGAAGCATATAAAAAAAAAAAAAAAAAAGACTACAATAAATAATGATACACTGGTTTTGGACACAATGTATGCAGAGCTTGAAAATGTTGAATCGAGGAGAGGGGGGTTTGAACTTTTAAGCGCAACATCTCAGAGCCATATTTGTACATTTCAATTTATAGATATGGGATGACACCTACAATAGCGATAAGCTATTAAATAATGAAACTGCATCAACTGTGTGTGGTCTTGAGAAAGATAGTTATTGATTGTAGATCATATAGATTATGGACGATTTATTGGGAGGAAAAAAGTAAGTGAGTAGATTTTTGTTAAGTGCTTATTCTTTAAAAATGTCATTAGATCAAACATTTTTCCCTTCTTTGATTTTTTATTAATAACACAGCAAAAATAAAAAGCAATATAACTTCACTAACTTAACCTTTCTTTTTTAGATGTGGTATCGAGACTAAGGGGTGGGACTGACTTTATGATCATTTCACCCCCCCAGCTCCATCATTTATTGAGAAAACAACAAAAAAAAAAAAACACAATTTTATGCTAATATAATAAAACTTGTGGAAGCACAGTAGGTACTTATGCCTATTGGTTAAGTTAGGTTAGGTATTACCCTGCATATAAAAATTACATAACTTTAATAATAATATAAATAAATACGTATACCTAACAATTTTTTTTTTATCAACCATGTTTGGAGAATGGGCCCTCTCTCGAGTCGGTCCCAGTCTGCTGCTTTGGAAGTCACGTGCATGCTTCTGCTTTCTTAATCTATAAAAATGGTGTGATAGAGGATTCTTTACTAATTTTACTCACTAACTTAACCTGTTATTGAACAAGCTCCTCTTAAAAGCAATTATTTATTTACAATTTACACAATAATACATAAAAGTTGGGATACAATATTATAGTATACATTTATATTATTTTATTTCCAGACCTTGGGAAGTTTATTTGTTATTTTTCATTGAACTGAAAATTACATTTATTAATAATTTTTACAAACTAAGTAATTAAATTAAATAGAAATAATTATTGTTTGTCCCTTTTTAATTTTTAAAAAAAATGTTTAGATGAGTAGGTATTGATGAATTCAAATTTAATTTGTCAAAAGCCTAACAATATACATAAACGAATGGTACTTATATACATATTAACAATTTAAAAGTTCATTGACATAATTTATAGCAAGTCAATATTTTTATCACATTTTGTTTCTGCTAGGGATACGTTAGAATTTGTAAAAGCTCTGTGTACGCCTGTATATATATAAAAAAAAACCAAAGTAATACTTAATAGATACAAAAATTTTGTATTTGATTATGCATAAGTGTAAAATATTTATGTTATTATAGTTATTATAGTCCAACCAGCAACCAAAAGTGGTCTGTTCTCATGCATTACTACGAGTAGGTAGTAGAATGGAAGAAACTTGGGCACAAAACTGAGGAGCTTGTTCATTTATATGTGTCAAGGAGTAGCATTCTTTCACCTGTCTAAGTATAGTGTGTAAATTAGTGTAAAGACAATCAACACAAAGTGAAAATTGGTATACAATTAAATTCTGTCTGTTATTTAAAAAAAATTTAAGATGAGTAATGAAGTTTGAATTTATGAGGAAAATGGAATGATTAAGTACTTTTTTTTTTGTTAAGTAGGATTTTATATTTATTTTTATCAAAATAATTTTGTTCTTAATCGAACACCAATGGTGGAATTTGATAGCATAATGTTATAATAAACTATATTTATTTATTGAATTTAGGTCTATTCATATTATACATTTTTAAGTCATTGTTGTTTAATAGATCTTTGTTTTTCTTTTAATCAAAAATTAATAAATTAAATTAGTAAATAAATATATTTACAAGAGCTATCCATTACACTGTTTGGTAATGGATTCATAGAATACAAACAGATATTAATTAATTTAGCAGACCTATAAAATATATGTATATAAGAATAAAAATATTAGAAATGCAACGAGGCACACATCGTACCAGGAATATTTACTTTATAGTAAATTATTATTAAAATATCCATAAGCGAAACAAATAATAATATATAAAACAAATGGGGTAATGAAGAAAAAAATGATTAGAGCACATTTTATACAAGAGCGTGATTTCACTGGAGAAGATCAATCACAAAACCATATACAAAAAAAAAAAAATATGTAAGTGGGGTGTTTGTGTGTGTAAATATGCTGAGTGTATGAAACTCATATCCACATGGAATAGTAGACGTTTAAGATTGACAAAACGCCATTTTAAAAATACGCTTAATTGATTATTATATCATTCGCGTAGCTGTTAATCCACTGGGGATGGTGGGCCATCGTGTGAGTGTGTAATGATCAACCCTGAGAGAAGAGGGTGACGACGATGGCAATTACATTGTTTTTCTATGAATTACTCGTGCACCCTCTTCGAAAAATTCCCGTTTAGACACCCACATCCGGCGGAAGGTGCCTAACGAAGCCAGGATTGAGCCTCCTATCCACGTCGTATACAAACGTTCTTGTGGTGCCAAAATCTAAAAAAAAACCAGCATTAGTCGGTTTTGTATTGTACACATGCACAAAAGAACATGATCAAGATTCAAATGCGAGTTGTTAAGACTTTAAAACATTATTTTATGGATTTCATAAAATAAATCAATTTTATTACATATCAAAAATTTAAATATAGTTTAAAAAGAATATTAACAAATTTTAAAAATACCAAAAGACGACAATTTTTAGCACTTACCTTTAATTTCATATTTTTAGGAGCTAATTTCTTTATTTCTGATAATAATCTATCGCCAAAACCCTGCAAATAAATAAAAATCATAAGCAATTAAGAAAATTAAATAATATTATTATTATTTAATAATGTTTAGCTCACAGACAATAAAGTTGAACCTCCAGCAAGTACAATACTTTGGTACAATTTTTTCCGTACATCTAAATCTGATTTTTGTATGGAATATACTAATGCTTCATGTAAACCTTCACATTCCTCACCAATTAAATCTGGATGGAATAAAACTTCAGGAGCACGAAAACGAGCAGGACCAATCTAAAAATATTATTAAAATTACAAAAATTCAATACAATTTTCGAATGCTGAAAAAGTTGTGTTAAAATTGTAAATATATATTTATTTTGTATATATTTAGTTTTATAAATAATAGGCATATAGATAAGGTAAATATTTAATTTTAGTAAACACTAACATCAACTTTATTTCCATCAGGTAACATATATTGATATATATTACTTTCAGATGTTTCCTCTTTAACTGGACTTAAAGCTACATAACAAGCTTTTTCTTTAATTGCTCTAACCACTTCAAATTCTGCAGATGTAGAGAAATTCAATCCTTCTTTTCTTAGTAATAACCTTAATATAATGTTAAATTGAAATAAAATAATAATTAATACACTCTCATATTCAAATTGTGAGTATTTAATTACTTAAGATAACGTGATATATCACGGCCAGCTAAATCTAATCTTATAATACCATGTTTCATAGCAAAACCTTCATAGATTGGAACAGTATGAGTGATACCATCACCGGAATCTAAAACAACACCAGTTGTTCGGCCAGTAGCATATCTATATAAAATAAAAAGTGTTAATATTAAATCATTTTTTATACTTATAAGTTTGCATACAAACTAAGAACAGCCTGGATAGACACATAGAAAGCAGGAACATTGAATGTCTCAAAAAATATTTCTGCAGCTCTCTCACGATTTCGACGTGGATTTAAAGGAGCTTCAGTTAACAGTACAGGATGTTCCTCAGAAAATGTTTGAAGTTGATCACTGCCATATATATATTGCCATATTCTCTCCATATCATTCCAATCAGTGACTATACCATGTTCTATAGGATACTTGATATAAAGTAAACCACGATGTTCTTCCGCTTTTGGCCCAATAAATGTATCTCCTTCTAGAGCACCGGCCATCACTCTAACGTGCTTTGGTCGCCCAATACTGCAGAGATAGCCAATAGTTTATATTAATTTCAATACAATTCTAAGTTAATACTCATATTATATATTTGTCAATACTTACAAATTTGGAAAACAACATTTTGGGGTTTGTTCGCCAGCAAATCCAGCTTTGATAGCACCTGAACCCTAAGAAAATAATTTAGGTATATAGATTACTTTAAAATTAAAAATATGAAAAATAAATAATATATTATTTAAGGAGTTATTACAAAATAGTATATCTTATAAAGAATAGTCTCAAAATCATAAATTAGCTGTAATATATTCAAATTAAAAACTAATAGATTAGGTTAATAGCTACAAAATGAATTATATAAATTTAAAGTAACCTTTTCAGAAAAAAAAAATAACATTAACTATGACAAATGTTTGTCAAAGGTTAGGTTAGACTACAAAAAGTATTGTGAATGTTTTACATTGAAAATTAAATAAAAAATATGATATACTTACTCTAAGATATTATAAAATTTAAATTTATGAGAATTTTACATATACAGATTACAAAATATCACAAAACTAGATTAGTACATGAAAATTTTAATATTTGTCAAACACGAGTTAAATTTATTTATACGAAAAAATACAAAACATTTGACCTTGCAAACTAAATAAGCAAACATTCTAGTTTTGTAAAATATTACTTAAATCTCAAGCTTAACTGTATAATTTGTTGTAATAATTATTAAATACCTATATAAAATTAGGTAGTATATTTCATACTTTCAAGAAACATAAATTCAAATACTAAGATAGCTATGAACATTTAAGTCATAACATAGACAAGGATGAAACTTATAATTTGTTGATTCTATTAATTATATAACATTCTAAACAAAACCAACCCAATTTTCAAATAATAGAAATCTTGTGATGTTTAATAATGAAAAGGTATGATAGCATATTGAACCCCAGAGTATGCAGATGATAAATATTCTAAATGAAAACCAATGCAATAAATTATATTTAATACCTATACATTTTAAATTATGAATGTAGTAGTTTTTTTTCCGAATACTATTTGGGTCCTTAAATTGTTAAAACTCAGATTTACGACCAGAAACATTGAAGTTATCTAAGGTGTGATATTTTAAACACAATTATATTTATCTCCGAATGATTTATCAAAAGTAAAAAAACCTAAAATTTAAATTCTTAACTTCCACAAGCATAGCTTATTTATAACACTATATAATGATTAATTATAGCTTTTGAATTTAAATTAACAATACACTTTATATTTCACACAAAATGAAAATTGTATTGATTTTTGTTTTGTTTTTCATTTATGTCACATTTTTGGTTTGTTCAGTTATTTACATTGTATATTGGAATTTTCAAGTTATTTAAAATTATACAACAAATTATACTACAAGATACAAGTTTCTTTATTTTTATGGACTATACATATTATTTGTTAGTGACCTACATGCTATAATATATTAGAAAAAAAAACCCATAAAAAACTAAAAAAATTATGAAGTATTATCTATATTATAAACCATTATAATTACTTTAATATTAAACAAGTATCTGTGATATTAATTTAACCAATAAAATTTAGGTACTGTTTTAATAAAAATTGTATTTATTGTTTTATACAAAGACATTCAATTAAAATGACATAGCATACCTTATTGGTATCTAATCGGAGTAATTAATGAACAAAATAACCCAACAATAATTACAATAATCTATATTTTACAAAGCATTAATTCCTGTGCTGTATTATCTAAATATTATTTACAATTTTTAAATAAATCGAATAAAAACAAACTACCTACAAATGTTTACATTCAAAAACAATATTACACACATACACACAACTGCACAATTAATAATCATGTATGATCTAGTTATGGGAATATTATCAATACCAATTATAATTGAAGGATAATTAAATACCTATTGATATAATAAAAGATATACTAGGTATTTACTATGAAATATTTTTTATTAGATTATTTTGTTAATAACCTATTTAATAAAATATCAATAATAATAATACATATTGTATTATTTCAAAAACTAAATTATAAATCAAATATTTATTTATACAGCTTCAAATTGTAAACTTAGCAAAAATATAAACATAATTAAACAAGGATGCGATCCTTCCTAAACATGTAGATAGAAAGGTGATTAACAAAATGTTCATGCTTTCATAGGTATACAAATATTATGCATAAATCATATAATGATGACGAGGACTTACATTGTCTATAACAACAGGTTGATTAACAATAACATCATAGGTCTCCATAATAGTTTTAAAAATCTGAACTTTAAATAGGTATCTGTTCAAAATATTTTAAATTAAAATTTAATACAAATTATAACAAATTAAAGACATTATTTTCTTTAAAAACGTTCAATATTAATCTAAACTTGATAACATCACAATAAGTGTTAACTTAACATAACCTAAATAACGTTACCAACTTAACTAGTACATTTTGTTGATTAGAAAGAACTATATATTTTTAAATTTTTTATCATCCAATGATAAATGATAAAAGGAAATTTTTTTGTATTGTAATATTTTTGTGTATTCAAATTCTCTAAATTCTATACTTTGATTATTAAATTCATGCACATATTTTTTATATTATAAAATAAAAACAGTCTTTGTTAAATCGGTTTATTACAATTTGTAATTATCATTAACGGATAATATGACTATCCAACTATAAAATATAAAGTTAGTTATTAATCAAAATAAATTACTAATGATAATAACATAACCATTTTGCTTTTCATTGTCTTTATTTCATCAGAATGATGTTTGGAGAAAATTTGAAAACGCAATTCATTGAACAAACAAGGGTTGCACGAATAGAAAGAGAAAATGATCGTAAACGTGAACAATCTGCAATTCTTATTCAATCAGTAGTTAGAGGATGGCTAGTTCGTAAACGCACTCAAAATTTAACACTGTCAGTTTTATTACTGGGTTAACTTTTCTATGAAAAATAACTTATCGAATATTTTCCTACATAATTGTTTTAAAATAATTATCTGTTTATTTATAGGCAGCAGTTTGATGACACTTTTGATAACATTACAGATTTGAAACCAGCAATTAATATATATTTAATTGTAAAAAAATGTTTAGTTCATTGGGATGAAAAACGGGATAGATACAGATTTGAAAAACTCTGCAGGTACTTAATATTTTATATCATTAATCATTAATTGATATATATTTCTAATATCATTCTGTAATGATATTAGAATATTGATATATGTTAATTATAACTTTTTTTTCTAAATATTTCCCCCTGCTTTATTCTACTTCCTCGTCCAATATCAAGTTAAAAAGTGATTGATTTTTAAAATTTGATTTTCCAATTATAATGTTCTTACTCTTCTGGATCAGATCTTATTTGTCTAATAGGTAGTATTAGGTTAAATTACAAATCAGTACCCTCAATTGTATCATCCTTTTTTTTCCATTGTTGGTAAATAGTTCATCCTTTGGATTTATTCATGCAAAAATACTAGTGTTTGCTGACAATATAAAATTTTTTAAGAACATTCAATCTAGTCTTGATTATGTTAGATTATAGACAAATCTAGATTGTTTAGTTGAGGTGAACGTCTAAGTCTATAGCTTAAAATAAATCAGAATGCCAAGTTATGACTTTCACACATTCTAAAAATTATAATAAATTGGTCTGCAATTTAGTTCATAATCTTGATTTCTACCTACCCATAAATTAAGTGCCTTATTACACATTCAGGAAATATATTGTGCTTTTTGGTTTTTTGCAAAGAATCAATTTTTTTTTTAAGTTATCAGCTACTTTAAATTCATTATACTGCACTTTAGCCGGGTATATTCTTGAGTATGGGTTCATTCTATGGAATCTTTTTGTGATAACTATATGATATAACTTGTTGCATAAAAGATTTGTACGCTTTGTTGTTTTTCTCCTAAATATAAACTGCCATCAGCACAACTGAGTGCCTACTAATTAGCTGCTTGATCTAAGCAGTCCTTTGGCTATCGGCAAAAAAATAATATAATGTTTATAAATAAACTTATATCTAGTTATGTTTATTCCTCTATTCTGCTGGATATTAGTTTCAACACCCTATTTATTAACTGAGAAATTTCACTACCCTACTACTAGGGTAACATTTTTAATTCTCTACACTATTTGACTATGAAGTAATTATGTAGTACATAATATGTGTCAACTAAATAAAACTTGTAAATTCATAATAAGCACTTTTATTTGTATAATTGTTTTTGGGTAAAAACCTTTATTCTATTAAATAAAATAAAATAATTGTATTTATTTTGATCATCTGATTCTATATTTGTATAAGTCAGAATATAATATTATCCAATATAAATGAACTAATAGATTTGTAAATTTGATGGGTAACTTAATTAAGTTTAGTTTCATGTATTTTGTTTTTTTTTTTACAGATATATTATTCTTAGTCTGGAAAGTGAATCTTTAAAAAATAGCTATATATCAGTAGCTTTAATTAAAGAACATTCTCTTAACTGGATAAGTCATGTAAAAAAAATTCTGACAATTTGTCTTAATTACTTAACTGTACTTCATTTAAAGTCAATTGATGATTCATCATTTTTACATACTTTACTTCATTTGATTGTATCTTTTACATCAACTTCAAGATGGTGTGCTATAAATGCAAATAGTTCTTTACAAGGGCTAAAATGTGGATTGGAACGTTTAACAGAAAACTTGGTTGCTCATTTATTGAGTAAAGATGTATTAAGTACATTACAGGTATTCATTAAATACAAAATTCAATTTTTAAATTTATTTATTAATTAAATAATAATAACATGTATATATATATATATATTTAGGCAATATTAATAACTGGACTACTGGGAATTAGAGTTATATTAAAACCTGTGGCTATGACAGCTATTATGACCATTTGTTGGAGGTGTTTAATTTTGAGCAATTTTTCATCGAGTGTTTTTCTATCATTTGTTACAAAGATTTATTCAATACCCTTATTAGTAGAACATTTAGTTACTTTTTCTCCTAAAGTGAGTATTTTAAATACATTTAAAAGTAATAATAATGATACAATGTTTCTGTGTCATTAAAACGTCATAAAAACTTTATTTAAAAATGTATTTTAGATAATTGAAACATTTCAATCAAGTAATCTACTTAAAAAGATAATGCTACTATTAAACGATCAAGCACAATGTGATGAAATATATCATTGTTTACATCCAAGTTGGTGTTTATCATTAATTGCAAATATTGTACATTTAGCTGAGTTAAGTGCTGATACTAAACAATTTGAAAACGATTCCTCATCGGTTTTTATTGTAAGTTTTTAAAGTATATTTTTTTTCGTTGTAGAACAATAAGAACGGTTTCCTTATATAGGTCAAATCGAAAAATATTAATACATTTTGGTATTAATATAACATAACATAGCATAAGTACCTATTTGAAGTTAACAGAATCAGAAATTAATTTCTAAATTAAAAAACTATTTAAACCTTAATTATATAAAATTAATATAGTTTACCTATAAAAATTTATTGAGAGAAAAATAATTTTATAACTATTAAGGCAATATATTATAAAAAATTAATTGTGTTAAAACTTTTTAAAGTAATTAAAAGTATTTTGTGTAAAAAAAATGTTCGTCGATTATAAATTATTTTATTCTTAATGGGATTAGAAACAGTGTCAGTTTTTGTCTTACACACGCTCAACATAAGAATTTAGACTTGTTTTATTTCCTAAGGAACTAGTCTAGTGATGCGATAAGATTTCTGAAACAGATTTGAATTTTTTTGTCAAGTCTAATAGTAATCAATTTTCCCACATTTTTGGTTTCACCCCCTAAATCCTAAAAAAAGCCAAAGTAAAAAAAAAAAAAAATTGGGAAAGTTGATCTCATCCTCATGTTGTATGTGTGTAAGACAAAGACAGAAAATTAGTGTTTTCATTACTCTTTATGCAAGTTTTTTTTAAATTCAAATTATTAATTTTTAGATGTTTAATTATATTATTTTTAATTTTTTAGGTTGGTTTAACATCATTTTTAGATACTATTAGAGTTAATATAATTAAGAAACATTCAAATGTATCTAGTGTTTGGCATCCAGAACTCGGTTGGTTTTCAGCGAATCCAAAATGTCAGTGTTCTCCAAACATACCCCCTTTGAAAAATCAACTAATTCCATTATGGTGTGGAACTTTGTGTTCAAAATTACTTCAATTCCATTTGATTAATGCTTTAGCACAAATACCTGAAAATCAACAAGTACCATCACCTCCTCCAAAAGCAAACAATCCTATAGCAATAATCAAGTATATATTTTAATGTAAAAATATTATATAACCTAATAGGTAAAGCATTTAAAGTTTTAATTATTTAATGCAGGAAGGCATTTGATTTGAGACTATCCAATACCAATCAAACAAGTTATAAACTTACTGGTATTCACAGTACCAAGGTAGTTGGTGCTTGTAACTTATATTTTACGTGTCTTAAGACAATTACACAGCTCAGACTCGATATATTAACTGGTAAATTTATTATTTAATAATAATAATTTGAATATTTATAACAATCTATTTTGGTATTTTAGGTTTGTGTTATCATGAAGATACATTGTATTTATTATGGAGGTTTTTAGCATTTTTAGATTCACACTGTGGACTAAAAAATTTATTAGATATTTTAGAAAGTGATAAAAATTGTAATTCTGGAGAACTACGTATGTTACAATTGTTTTGTGAGAGTATGTCACATTATATAACGTAAGTAACTCGGATATTATAATAAAACTAATAATTGGTTCATTTAAGTTTAAATAAAATTCAAACGTATGTATAATGTTTTTTTCATTGCAGTATTCTCGATGATATAGAAATGTATGAGCAACAAAAACCTTTCATACTACGTGACTATATTTTAATGTCCAGTTTTTTAAACATATTTCTTTACAAAGGAATATCTCAGAACTTATTTGGTTAGAATTTGTTTTAATTTTTAACAAATACAAAGGTATTAAATATTGTGTATTCATTAATTTGTGTATCTTAGATATTCATGAACCAGCTTCACCATCTAATAGTTTGTTTCGATCATGTCGTACCCTTTTAATGGTACTATATCGCAGAGATTGTCGACGTTCTTTTGCACCCACTGGACATTGGTTGATTAGTGATCTAAAGATGCACTCATTTTTTGTCGAATTCAAAAAATTTAAAAAAGTTCATTCGGTATTGAATTGGCTTATGTTACCTAAAAACTTATACTAATATATTATTTCTTTAGATACTCATACAAGAAATTCCACATATAGTTTCCCATGAACTACGCGTCAGACTATTTAGAAAATATGTTTCGCGTGAAAAAGTTTCTTTGGGTGTACATGAATATGAAAATGATAATTTTCAGCCAACAATTATTACCATACGAAGGTATACAAATAATTTAATCAAATACAATTATATATTATAAAATAATATTATTTAAAAAATAAAAATTAGGAATCGAATTATTGAAGATGGTTTTACGTACGTCTCAGAAATGCCTCTCAAACAATTCAAAGGTGTTGTTAGAGTAAAATTCATTAATGAGCAAGGTTTAGATGAAGCAGGAATCGACCAAGATGGTGTATTTAAAGGTTGTTTTTTTAAGCTTGACTATTAAAATTTTGTATTAATTATTCATTAATAATTTATTTTTTACAGAATTTCTTGAAGAAACTATCAAGAGAGTATTTGATCCATCATTAAGTTTATTTCGAACAACAGACGAACAGCGATTATATCCATCACCATCATCACATATTCATGAAAATCATTTGAATTTGTTTGAGTTTGTTGGTCGTATTTTGGGTAAAGCTGTCTATGAGGTATCTAGTTAGAAAAAAAAATGATTTATTTGATTTAAAGTAATATTTAATTTTATAATTTATTCTAGGGAATTGTTGTTGATGTTCCATTTGCATCATTCTTTTTAAGTCAGTTATTAGGACAAACTCAAGAACTTCTATACAGTTCAATGGATGAACTCCCTTCATTAGATAATGACTTGTACAGGAATTTAACATCCGTTAAACATTATGAAGGTGATGTTTCAGAATTAGATTTGACTTTTTCAGTGGTTGATAACCATCTGGGCCAATTGACTACTCATGATCTCATACCTGGCGGACGAATTATATCAGTTACTAATCAAAACAAGTAATAATTTTTAATTAGTCCTTGGTCTTTTTATTATAGAATTAACTATTTCAAACATCTTTTAAAATGTGTAAACCTATGCATTTTTTAATAATTTATTTTAGGATTAATTATGTACATTTAATGGCACATTATGTGATGCATACACAGATCAAAGCTCAGACAGCATCTTTTATCAAAGGGTTTAAATCTGTTATAAATCCTGAATGGCTGGCATTATTCTCTACGCCAGAGGTAATCAATATTTTCATTTATTATAATTATTTTCATTTTTATTTTTAATAATATATTTTTGTACTAGCTTCAAAAACTGATATCTGGTGATAATGCGCCAATTGATCTACTTGATCTTAGACGAACCACACAATACTATGGAGGATTTCATGATTCTCACCGTGTAATTCTTTGGTTATGGGAAATTCTTCAAAAGGACTTTACAGAAAAAGAAAGATCACTTTTTTTAAAAGTATATGATCTGTTTTGAGCACATTGTTTTTTAAATACATTAATTATTATTTAAAATTGTATATTACATCTTAACAGTTTGTAACGAGTTGTTCAAAACCGCCTTTGCTTGGATTTGCATACTTGGAGCCACCATTTTCCATAAGATGTGTGCAAGTTGCGGATGATGAGGATTTTGGGGATACACTAGGTAAAAAAATCATAATCTAATCTAATATTGAAGTATTATATATTTAATTAAAATCTTATATTTATTATTATTTTTGAAGTTAGTGTCATTCGAGGATTCTTCACTATTCGTAAAAAAGACCCAAATCTTAGACTGCCTTCAGCTTCTACATGTTTTAACTTGCTCAAGCTCCCTAATTATCAAAAAAAGAGTATCCTCAGAGATAAACTTAGGTATGCAATTTCTTCAAATACTGGATTTGAACTGTCATAATTTTGGACAGTCAAACTAAATATTTTGAAATAAATATTATAGTGTGATGTAAAATTATTATAAAACTGAAAGAACGAATTAAGTTTTTTTTTAAATGTGATTTATTTGATTATTAACCTATTTTTAGATGTATATTATTGTATTTACTATTAATTTGATGACTGAAAAAATACTCATTATGTGGGAAATTAATAATTATAAATTTCCATGGTATCATTCCAAGAAGTAAAAGTATTATTTTAACAAATAATATGTTATAGGTCAAGTTGATCAAGAAAAGTGTTAGGTTTACACAGCACAAATAATATATTATTATTATTAATTATAATTAACATATAATTAATATATTAATATTAGTTATAGACTTATATTATAAATATTAAATTGCTTAAATACAGAGGTAGCCAAAAGTCGTGCAACGCCTACCGTCTTGTATGGAACGGGTTTTTCGCTCCACGTCATATTGCTACTTTGGTCTCGTTATCTTGTTTACGTACAACAGCAAGGTTTATAAAAAAACAACAACCTATTAGACACAGTTTCATGTCCGTTATCGTTCATAACACTGCTGAAATGCAAATTTGTTGCGCTTCTTTTGGCCACCTCTGTAATATTGTACTATCATAATAATTATTTTTTATTTTTTAAACAGAACATATTTCATATTCTATATGTTTCATTTTAATTTATTATTTAATTATTACTTTACCATTTTTATCTCCTAATTGTATTGCATATATAAACTCTCAAAGACTGATAATACAATTCTTTTTTATTAAGTTTTGGTATGTTTTGGTTAGGTTTAAATCTGTTATTACTATTAATTTTAAACATATAATTGTTATTTACCAATCTATTTTAACCACACAATACAATTATACTTTTATAAATATTAAATTGTCATACATTTAATATAGTTTTTATGATTTTTCCTCATTAATAAACTGTTTATTTATATGGTGTTCATATATAAGATGCTACTAATTTTATTTATAAATTAATTAATTGTTTAATCTTTAATACTAAATTTTATAATAACCAAGCTAAATAGTTTTAATTTTATATTTTGAAAAAATGTGCAATAATTTTCTTTTTAAGCGTATTCATGGTTTATGTTGCCCTTTAAAAAAACTGCAAGTTTAATTTTTATAAAATTATTATACCCACAGTTGTTTACATATTTATCCATTTGATAAAACATTAATTTATTATCTTAATTAAATTTAACCTTAACATAGTACAACATGTGTATAATAATATGTTAGTGTAAAAGTTGAATAATTTGAATTGTATTGTTTATAATTGAAAATAATATTTTTAAGTTTTATTATACATCAACACATGTTTAAATAAACCAAATATAAAAATAAATTGTAACTCATTATAATTAAAACATTTATATGAAGAAAAATTGTTAAATTGATTGAATAAATTATATTACAACAAAATTATAAGCCATAAGTAGATTTTTCTTTACTAAAATCAATGGTACAGACACACTAGTGCTGAGCAATACTTTTGACTGATCAGGAATCTGGATTACAATTACATAATCCAGATTTGGTGCTTAGCACTAGTACAGACTTTTATCAGCTAATTCAGAATTAAGTTTTACTAAAACATGGAAGTATAAATGTAATTTATTTATTTAAATAACTGTCTTTTAATTGAAATATCTTACCTTTAAAATTTTGGAAGAAAATTACTTGATATTTAATTTTAGAGCATTTTTTATTAATTTAAATAGGATATACATAGGTGCATAATGGCCGCCGGGGAATGGGGAATTTCCCCATGGGCCTTTTATTTATACAAGTTTTCCTACTTTTGTTTCCTTAAATTACCTGTTGTGACTTTGTGATTTCTTAGGTAGGTAAGCTGTACACTGTATAAGCTGGTACCTGAAGAATATTTATGATTTATTTTAATACATGAGTCCTACTTAATAATTTCATGATGGAAAAATATAACTCAAACGCACCTAGATATACACAATATCTATATAACATAATATGCATCATATGTACATGTTATGAGATGTTAATGTTGATTGCGGCAGGTTGCAAGAAGTTACTCCAACTTCCAACCTAAAAGTAGAAAGTAAATGTATATATAATATATATTATTATTAATCATCTTCAATACTGCATTATTATAATATAATAACAAACTATATAGTAAATTTAAGTGTATACAATTCAAGGTTTTGGATTTTTTACAGTCTATAAAAAACCAAAATAAATGTGTGATTTAAACTATACATTGTGATCATACATAGGAATCTACAAAAATGAAAATATTTGCATTATTTAAGATTTCAATAATCACTATTAGTCATTTTTATAAGTAGTTAACAAAAACTATAATTTGATACAAATAAAAACTTAATTATTTTTTATATATTTATTTATTACCTATTTGTGTTATGTAATTTCTTTTGTAACATGATTGCTGGAATAAAAATCTTTTATACAGTTTGTAATTTTGCTCTTTTGTTTATAATATGTTCAATATATTTAACATATTCACACATCACAAATATCTTTTAATTTTAGCATTTTCTAGTACAGTAATAAACACCTTTTGTCTTCAAATATTATTTGTCCTTTTAAGTATTGCATCTTTAGTTAATACATCTTTTACCTCACATCTTATTATATTTTAAATTATATATTAGTACTAACATAGATAATTAATTTCTCTTGGATCACCTGTATAAACATATTTAGAATTCATAACATTTATCAAATTTTGTGTGTATGCTCTGTGAAAATGTTATTTTGGTTATCCTCGTAATTTCATTCCTATTTGAGTTGTCAATAACATATAATTTTACTTTATGGTCTACAAAGCTTTTTTTTTAGTTTTTCTATTATTGCTCCATTTGTGTTTATTACATTTTAACACAAAAATAACTAAGAGCCACCCTATCATTATGAAAGTACCAGTATACAGGTAGTTTAATACTGTTAAAAATGTAATTCAAATTAAAGAATCAAGTTCCAGTGGTAGAATTTTAATCAAAATATTTTATAAAATTAGATACTAGAGTACCATTGTTACCTACTTATTTAAATTTATATATAATATACAACTATTTATAACTAACAAAATTACTTTTTAATTTACCTCTTCTCTTCGCCTCATTCATCCCTGCTATTTGGGGCTAGCTCCCTCATCCTAATTTTCCAATTAACCCGATTTCCCACCATGCATACATTGGCTGTCCATCATTCTTAATAGCATCCAACCACCTCTTTTTTAGTTCTTTTACCTCCACCACTTCTCTTTCTTTCTACATTTATTTTTATTTACATTTGTATTGCTTTCACTTCTTTTTACTTCATGTTATGCCCAAATCATCTCAGTCTATTACTTCTTATTTTGTCTACTACTAAAGCTACGCTTAAGTTACATTTTATTTATTCGTTCATTATCCAATCCTTTCTTGTCACTCTACTCATCCAGCTAAGCAGTCACATCTTCGCTACAATCTTTCTCTGTTCTATAGAATTCAAGATCTCACCACACTTATAGAACTTACAATATTTACTAGTACTAGTTATATAAATAAATATATTATTGAATTCTTTTGTCATATAAAACACCTGATATTTCTCTCCACTTGATCCAATGTTACACTTCCTTTTCTTTTTTACTTTTTGTCTCCTGTACATCAGAGACAGGAAAATTCACTCAACCCTTATATAAGACTACACAAATTGTCTAACACAATTTTTAAATGATTATCTACTTGACACAACCCAAATTGTTACCTATTTTAACAAGTAGAGTACGGATGGAGTATCCTGATCCCCTTTCACAAAGATATGTTTTTTAATCTACCAAATGCGATCTATAGTTATAGTCTCTATGGACTGTAACTATGTTTCAGTATCTTCAGTAAGCATTTTTGTATTACTATCAAGATTAACTTTTATTATTTATTATTTAAAAATTAAAAATCGAAGGGCAAGAGTATTTTTTAAACCAGGCTTGAGTCTTAATGTTGATAGAGCTAACTATACCGGGATTATAAGGTTATAAATATGTTTTATTAAAGTAAAATTATATCATACATTTATGAACAAAATCAACATACTTCATTGCTTATGATATTACTGGACCATCCCGAATAATTTATAAAAAGATATTCTGGTTTAAAATATTTTCGAATATTAAATTCACTTTAGTATCCATTCGCCATAGAAACAATATCAGTTCAAATATCTATTAGGGATTTTTGCAATTCTGTAAAAGATACATTTAACTATACAATCAATTAAACTTCATGACATTTTATTGAACTTTTTCTTAGATTGTCAAGTTTCTAGTACTATTGATACTTACTACTCATTATTCAATACAAAAATGCAAAATATAAAAACAAAAAATTATTTTGTTATCACCTAAATCAGTGTAGCAACAATTCAGAAAGTAATATCATGTTAGTAATGATAATGTTGTTTGTTATCAATTATCATAGCTCGTTCTACTATTTACTTATCATGATACTATCTTTAACCGTGATCACGGCCGACGGAGCGTTGTAGTCGTCATTCGTCATAGTGCGTATGCAGCTGGTCTCTCCCTTTTGCTTTTCTCATTCAGACATTCAGTAATCACTAATCAGTATTCAGTAGTCGTCCAGCGTTTTTTGGTTGGTCGTGTACGTTGTTGTGAGGCGTGTGTGCGAAGTCCGTTGTTATAATCTCTTGTTATATTTACATACATAATACACATAAATATTTTTTTATATCGCTGTCTGCTGTCTCTTATCACATAGAGGACTAAACTACTGCCAAGAAAAAAAAATGTTTTCAACTTTAATAAAATAATACAATATAATATTTATGTGTGAGAAAGTCGACTTTCCTACCTCTACTAACTAGTATTGTTAATTTTTGATTTGGTCCCCCCCGTGTTGTGAATTCATGCTGGCCATCACATTACATAGTACATGAAAACGATACCTAAAAGTAGAAATTCGCGGATTAACCGTCACTGACGTCCTGTTATGGCTGTGGTCGGTCCGAGCCGACACTCAAGGGTGTCAATGTCGCTGATACAGAGCTCAACGAATGGTCCAGTTGGCAACCACCAGCAGGCTAGTGCTTCACAACAGTTTTTCCACGGTCAACAACAAACTCATCATGCCTCACAATCGTCCACTGCTCATTCCATTGACTACAAACCCGATAGACCTATTGGATATGGTGCCTTCGGAGTCGTCTGGTAAAATCTTGATTATTGTTATATTATTATTATGAGACACAATATTGTCTTTTGTGTACTTGTACTTACATTATGCATACTAGATACTAACCTACATACTTTGAATATTCAGTTTTCTTACTATTTTAGTGGTAATACTTATTTTTTATTTATCCAACTTCTTACTAATAAAGACTTCCCAGTAGAGGGGATACCGTTTGAAAGGTTACTAATCCAAGTAGATTCCATATCCTAGCCATATCTATATCCTGACCTTTCTTGATTTCTTATAAATTTCCTTGATTGTACACACAACACTAGTAAGGGTTTGTTTGTATTATTTAATTTACTCTTTAAATCCATCAGATGTTACATTTGAAAGAATTAAGGTGTCATAATAATATATAGGTACTGATAAGATGAAAATATAAATAAATTTACCTACTCTAACTTAAACCAAATTCATTGACTCGTGTTTAATATATTATATTGTGTACATTTTATAAATTAGTGTAAACAAATAGACAATTCCTGGATAATTTCGATACTTTAGTACCTATGTTATAGGTAGGCCTAAAATAGGGTTAACTAGATGCCCAAAATTAAAATATGTGGTCAATTTTAGTTAAGTATTTTAATATTATATGTACTAAATTTAACTTAAAATATGAGTAAGTAATTGACTTAAATTTTGTTTAGGCTGGTACCCAGTACCCAGTCAAAATAAAGAGAAATAATTATACATTGATAGGTTAAGTTATTTAAATTATTCATTCTTGTTCTAATTAGGAAGTTTTAACGTTACAAAATAAATAATTAAACAATAATAATAAGTATTTATCTTTATCCTTAATCGATAATATTAATGTCTATAATTGATTTTATGATTCATATTAATAAAAATGAAATCACTACCTATGTAATAAGCGAGGTAATAAGTTTACTTATTTTTATTATTATAGGAAAATTTTTTTCTTTTAATCAATCAAATAAGTAGATACCTCTCAGATGAGTCACAATAATAAAAACTTATAAAAACTTAATATAGTTTTTTCACTTAACTGTTTGTTTTAACAATATTTAATTAAGTAGGCTCATTGTTTTTTGTATAAATAATATAGATACCTACTTAGATTTAATTAAAATATTATATTTCAGTTTAATATTTATTAACTTAACATAAGAATAATGATATTAAAGATTTTTGTGATTCAAACATTGACATCTTGTTTATGTATTGAGGAAATAGGTACTTACCTAATAACATAATTATTGGTTTTTTAATAATTGTACATAGTATTTATTCATTGGTCAATTTATTGTAATAGGTATAAAAATCCTGTGTGGTTTTTAACTGCAACTGTCAAAGTGCAATGATAATAAAGAAAAATAAGTGATGACTAATATCATACCTATAGTAAATATATTCTCTATTATTTTCCACACGAAAATGTATTTAGGTACTAAAATAATATTTTTTTCTGTTTGTTGATGATTTTATTTATTTATTTTTTCTTCGTATACCATAATTTACTGATAAAAATTTGCTTTGCACATAATTTTCTAGATGAATTGTATAATACAAACAAGTATAATAATATATATTTACAAAGCAATGTTTAATTATTTTTTTAAAATACTACAATAATTATTGTTAAATAATAAATTTCATGTTTGTCTCCACCCTACTTCTTATATAATATGTGTAGAAACAGCCCTCTTTATCATTGCACTATTCAAACACTGACCCCTGGTTTTTACTAATTGTACTTATATAGTATTACATTTAATTTGTAATATTTTTCATTTTATCATTATATTTTTTCTAGTTAATTAGTTATGTTTTAATTCAATTGTTATTAGATATGTACATACTGCATTTTGGCCACGTCCATTATGCAATTAATATAAAATTAGAAGGAATTTTAAAAACCTATTAAATATATTAAAACATACTTTAAAGTCTTAAATGATAAACAACTTGATCAACATATTGGATGTAATTTGTTTCATTAGATATGTGGGTATGTAAATTCGTTTTAATCAGAAATGGGGCTTCAAGCGGCTACTATTTATAGACTATCAAATACTGTATTTTTCGAAAACAAATGTGAGTGATATTTTTCGTCCTAATTTTTAATTTCAAGCAGAACTTTTCTAAAAATTAATGAACCCAAATAGACGATTTATTTCAAACTCTTTACAGTACTTATTTATTTTAAAATTTAAATAAAATTAATACTTACCAAAGTAGATGTGTCTTTTAAAATTGAATTATTAATTAATTAATTGTATTATTATGTATAATCTCAGGTATAATACACTATCATAGTATTTACATTGTAATTTTCGACATCTTTACTATGCCTACTACCTATTTATTATATTACATTATCTTACTATACGTATTTATCTTTTATATATAATAAAATAAGTACAGTTTAATATTAAGTGTACTTCCAAGATAAAACAAAACACGTTCTGTAACCGTACGTTCGTACCATAGGAACAATAATAAATTCGATTTTTAAGGAACTTGTATTTGAAATGTTTAAATCAGATCAATGTAGGAAAATATCACATTGTCAGGGACCAAATAACCATGTTCAGATTTTTATTAATACTTAAAATTATTTCCAATATAATAAACGGTTTTTAACCTCGCATATAATTACCAAGTTTCTTTTAAGTAGGTACTTATAGTTATTCAATTGTCTGTTATATATTACCAAAAATTTGAACTCTAAAAACTAATCTTATAAAATTATATCGTACCATACAAGTATAATATTATGCCGTATAATAAAACTAAAGTAATTTTGTAAAAACTATCAAACATATTTTACCCAGTATTTGTATGTACACTCTATATAATAATATTATCTTATCTGGTATACTATTAAATATACATAAACGGAAAGGGTCAACGATATGGACAGAATAATACATTTAAATAGTTTTTGACGTTTTTGACCTATTAATACGAAATATGAACTAGATTATATTTTACAGTTAAATAATATTCAAATTTGTTTTCTACCTTTTTTTTTTTCTTTAGTTGAACACTTTTTGTATAATCCTGTCCAAGTCACGTATGTTTTAAAACAGTAGACCATAATATGGTTGAAGGTTATTTGATTTAACTCTGTTAGGTACTTAAAAAAAAATCTACAAAACAATTGATTTTTCAAGCAAAATAGCCTTTAGACATAGTGCATAATTTTTCGAAAGAATTCAATGTGAATGGTAAATCATTCATTACTTATTTAATTTAATTTTCTAAAAAATAATATAAAAAACATATTAACAACTTATCGCCTATTAGTTAATTTATGTAACTCAACTCGAGATTTTACATTATTCCATAGTTCGCGGACGTCAAAAATAAGTAGTTATTAAATTTATTGAAAACACGAAATAAGTGAGCATAATTCGTATTTAATATAACGTAGATTATTAGTAAGCAGATTATTTGTACAAAACTTATTGGAAACAAAAGTTGTTTGCTTCAAACAAATATTATTTATCTGAATTTGGCAGCGCTCTAAATAATATTGCAATGGTTATCAAACATTATATTTTATCGTTATTATTTCTGTAACAACTCCGACGTAACAAACCGATTCAAACGTTGTTATTAATATTATAACGCAAAAAAACTTGTGAAAAACGTTTTGGATAAACGACCAACTTGCAAATACATTCAACAAAAGTTTAATAAGAAAAATAATGTTAATAATAAGTAATTTATAGGTTTTTTTTTTTCGTTACTTCGTCTATAATAGACCTACTGCATATGACTAATAGGTATAATAAGAATATGACCTACTAATATGTCTACAATTATCATAATAATAAAGTGTTCACCGTTCGGAGAAAAGAAAGTTATGGCATTTTTTTAATTTCATATATACTATAATAGGTACCCATTCTTTGTGTCGATTCATATTTAATACAATAAAATGTATCTGTAGATATTTCAACCCGAAAAAATGTGTGTAGTTGTTAATATTGCGATAAGAATGGTTGTTAAACCCAAGGCGAACTGGAGAGCCAGATGTGTGCATATTGTCTGCCGAGGGATCAAACCTGTTTTTCCCCTCTCTATCGTGGGTGTTCGGAGACTGTATTGAAGGTCTGTGTAAGGGCTGTTCGTCTGTTCTACGATCGTAGCAGGTGTCATTGCCTACAGCTATATGCGATCTTAACATCTGTATACGAGGGAGAAGAAATACCGCGACCAGTTATTGGATATGTCTGGACCCTTTTTAGGTAGGTAGGTGCCTATTTGCAGCTGTGTCTGGATAATCGTAGTCTCACAATAATACATATTGTTGTTTTCTACTTTGTTTCGTTATACTTGATCGTATATAATCCTACTTAGCTTCGTATATATAAATTAAATAATAATGCGTTTAATGTTTGTGCTCGTATTTGTGTATATGTACCGAAGTTTACAAATACCAAATACTCATAAAGTACCATCGTGTTATAATATCGTTTTGTTGAGTATTTCGTTCAATTGGTTAGTATTGTATGATAAAGCTATTTGCTTTTACTTCTCAGTCATTATATAGTTGTTAATTTATTGGTGTGTTTTATATTATTACATAATCACTTATTACTGTACGTCGGTTTTGTCGAGGCTTAATTCAATAGTACGTAATAATTATTACTTATTTTTCCTTTTAAACATTTTATATTATATTTGTTTTATCCTATTTCTTTTGTTTTCGTTACACGACAGGAAAGGGCTGAAAAAGTAACTGCATACACCATATTTTGGGTTTTGTTGTAACTATTAACAACTCCCCTATATAAAATATTGCACAATATAGGTAGTCGTCACTAGTCGATTATATTTTATATAGGTGCCAACTAAATCACTGAAGTACATTATCGAGGCTCTGTCGCAACTTTTAAAGTTGCCCTGGTTTGCTTATCGGTAATCAACCGACCTATTCCGACTGGAACTCTGCATGTGTGTGTAAAAAAAAAAATATTATAATCCGACATTCCCACCGAATTCACCCACGTATTAAATTGTTAAGGTTCACATTGCTCGTAATATGTATTATCATTATAAACAATTTATTTATTTTGACAATCATAAACCATTTTTTGTTTATTTTGATATTGTTATGAGTTTTATAAAGGTGCTATCTTTGTTTGGTTTTTAAAACATTTCGTAATATTTATAATCTTCGTGAAATTCTCTAAATCATTTTTAAGTATATTATTTTATTTTTTTGTTAATGATTGTAATTTATCAAAATATAATTTCTGGATTATACAAGATTTTGTGCTGTATACGGAATTGCATTCATTATTATAGTTCTCACTCAATGCGTTTTATTTGCATTTATATATTATGTTCCCTAATTATAATCCCTAATTCGGACACGGTCAAATATTTAGGATTATACTTTGACAAAAAACTCAACTGGGCCAAACACATTCACATGACCAAACTAAAACTAAATCGAAGACTCTCTATTCTCCGTAGCACTGGGCAAAACCTCAAAGCTCAACCTAAAATCAAAAATTAACTTGTACAAACTACTAATAAAACCCATTTGGACGCATGGAATTCAGCTATGGGGAGCTGCTAAAAAAACAAACATAAACAAAATTCAAGTAGTCCAATCAAAAACTCTCCGTCTCATCACTAACGCCCCTCCGTACGTCTCGAATGAAACTCTACACTCAGACCTGAACATACCGTATGTCAATGAAGTCGCAAAAAATCACTACTTTAAATTCCACAACAGGCTACAAAATCACACCAATCCCCTCATTAAAGATCTTTCATCACACTACCTTCCGAGTAATACGGTAAGGAGACTCCAGCTTAAGTGGCCCAGAGACTGGTTAGTATAATACACAGGACTATACGTTAAGAAAAAAAAAAATAAAAAAATAAATTCTCGCCGAAGTGCTGTTGCTGGACAGTCTCTTCAATTCAAGATTTTCATGTAAAAAAAAAAAAAAAAATAGTAATAGCGTTACATATAAAGTTGAATGCTGTTGTGTTTGTGTTTGTATTGATTCTATTACTATTGTAATTCAGATATCTCTTAAGCTTATTGTACCACAAGTACAGATTGTTAAATGTTCTTAATTTAAAATTAAATTTAAAAAAATATATATATTATGTTGGTTCTTTAAAAATTATAGAATTAAAATGGGCAAATAATACCACGTTCTTAATTTAACGAATACATTTTTTTTTTTTTTAAATATAAAACTATATTCACAATCTGTAAAATAAGTTTATAATAAGCAAATGTGATCTCTGAAGAAAAATTAATTATCAAATGCAGAATATAGGTTCATTGACAGCACTCCTAAATCTAATTTTTAAATTTATTGCCTACTTGAACAATTATTATACTTATATAGTTTGGATAGGTCCAATATGTGATTACCGATAAATTTGACTTACCACGTAATTTTTCTTGGTTTATTTGTTTGGTAGTATATGACCCATCTTGAAATTTAATTATTGTTATCGAAAAATCTGTTAGAAATTAAAGAATTTCGTGGTATGTGATGGAATACTGAAACTATGTGAAAGGAAAAAAATATTTTAATATATACGCATATTTATAATAATAATAAAAAAAAAAATTCAGCGGGTAGGTTTTATATTGGTTCAACAATTTAGCATTGGATCACATATTGGAACTGTCCCATATTGTATGCACCTATAATTATACATAGGTATTTTTGTTCTCTTTTCTTTACATTTTGCTATGCGTTCAACGGTCAAATTAATTTGATTACCTATTAAAGACTTTGAAATATCTCCCTTTTTCCCACAATAAAAAAAATAATCATTCGACTTTTCGATACTGTAAATGTCTTATTGTGTACCCATATATATCCTCAGTCCCAGGGAAGAAGAGTTTAAGTCAACCTTTTATAATTTTCAATAAAACACAATTGAATTTCGAAAATATTTAAACGCAATAGCAAAGTCTGCTACTTAACCTAACCTTACGATACACTTACGTGTGTAATTTAGACCAAAAGATTACGTCAGGCAAAATTATAAGAACAAAAAAAAAATGCCAAAAATTGACTCATGCCTTAGGAGTAAAGATAATTTATTATGATAACATATAATATATAAATCTACCGAAAGAGAATTTAAAATCCTGTCTAGACTGAAAATATCTTATTTTGTCAATAATAATTGTGTTAAACGTATTTGAATCTCGTGGATGACTATTAAGCGTCAGCGTGTAATTTTTACTCCTCCTCATCCTCGTCCTCTCTAACGAAAAACTGAAGCGCGCGTTTTACGCATAATAGCCAATCGGTATAAGTACAATAATTATGCAAAATATAAACATGTATAATTGTAAAACACAAAGAATAATATTCTACAAATTTCGAAATAGGCCGACGAATAAATGTTATTGGTTATGAGATTACACGCGCGTACACACACCGCAATAATATTATTCGTATATTGTATTGTTGTGGGTCAATGTTAACGTAGTTATCGTACAGCAATAACTGCGTCTAAGTGCCTACTACAGTGTCTATACCTACCCTACCTAGATAGTATTATACTCTACAGCACAGTGCATATAGTATACGTATTACGTAAAATGCGTATGTATACGATGACGTACTCACTTATAGGTAATAGCGTATACCTACAACTGCGTCGTTTAGTTGATCAAACCATATTTAATTTTTAGTGATCCGGCCGAGTGTAGACTTTTTATTTATATATTAGTATTATTATTATAATTATTATTATTGTAGTGGGGCGGACACGACAACGGGTACGACAAACCGAGTCAGTCGCTGCTACTTTAAATGAATCGATATTAATGCCGCTTCGGTTAGTATTGTAGGCCTCCGCGTGGTGCACATGCATACCGTTGTGTTTGGAAGCCAACTGTTCCCTCTGTTCCCTACCACGTCCTATTAGTACATATATTTATGTTATAATATAGCGTACGTTTAGTGTGTGGAAGGGTCATTGTTCGTCGGATCTTATAATGATTATTGTATGCTGTTGAAAAGCCGAAAAAAAATGTTGTATTTTATAATAATATAATAATATATAGGTAGGTACATTATAATAATAATATATATCCAAACAAAACACGAGTAGAGAAATGAGTCGACCCACTAGAGAGAAACATACTATATTACATCATGACGGGTTTCTATACCTACACATAGGTAGGCACGCATGCGCCCTTTACTACACTTGAATACTTAAAGCAGAGCTAAATAGCTATAGTGTAACTCTAATTTCCCACGATGAAAAACTGTCGTCATAAGTATACGTACCGATTACATTTTATTATTTCGTCTCTCCTCGTCTACACACACACACACACGTCTTAAAAATATTAACATTTTTTTTTAAATATTCTAAGTACCCGAATGAATTTATTACTATAAGTATATAATATTATACACTCAGTCTCATATATTTAACATCCATCAAGTTGAAAAACCTATTTAGTCAATATTTATAATATTTTATTATAATAAGCGACGACGGTCATTATACTGACGAGAACAAACTTCTTGGCGCGCGTAGCTCTTCTAACTTTATTATTATTATTATTAGCCGCATGTTCCTGCGATGCACATGTGTCGTTTTTTTGTTCATGTATTGTTTGATTTCATAGTGTTTGCGTGTGAGATGTATACATGTATTATATACGACGAGGCCGTGTTTTGTGTATTTGTGGTCGGGAATATTATAATAATATCTAACCGGTAATGGTGGTGGTCGATGGCTGCTGTATATAAGATTGCAAGCTGCTGCTGTGTAAGCCACCTGCTGTATCGTAACCGACATTCTGATGGTTTATAGTGCCTACCAGGTACCTGGTAGTCGGTTCCAAAACACAGGTGTCGTTTACGCAAAAAGCGATAGGTTCCTAACTACATGGAAATCGTATAAAAATACGAAACCGCCATACTGCCGTGTTTTTAAAAAAAAACCCGTATCTATAGAAAGAAAAACATATCGTGATAGTATTTCAGTGTGTATTATAATATTATAATTACACTGTTGCAAAAAATATAATATATACAGTGTATACAATGTGGTATATACAGGTGTTATGAAACTATGAGAATGAACCCGTCGAGAAAATATGTAGGAAAGATAATGCGTACTATACGTATATACTTCATTCTATCGGATCAAATATGATATTATGTGCAGTCCCAAAACTGTGGTATGCGCCTGGTGCAGGAGTAGCACCGGTCGGATATAGAAGTACCTACCTATAGTATATTATATAGATTTGTCCTTGTATCTGTAGCTTAAGACGATAGACATAATACAGGTATTTACTGGCCGAAAAATTATTAACTATAATAAATCGAAAGAAGCCGAATAAATGATATAGGAGTTATTATAATATTTTATTATATGCTGTTACATAATATCCATAGCTTAAATATATACGTAGCATTTTAATTCGATTTGTATGCGACAACGTGTGTACAAAAAAAAAATGTATTTCAGAATTGCAGCCGCTCTATTCAATGAAATGAAAAAAAAAAAATTAGTATAGTCCAACACTATATTATAGGTACTATATAGCGAACGGTATTCTGGCGGAAAACGCGTTGTCCTCTTCTTCTTCATCTCTTTGTTCCACTTGGCGTTTTAATATGTAACGAAAGCATAACAATGAAACCTCACTATAATGTACGCTTTCTTTTTCCCATCGTCATAAATTGAAGCAGTAGCAGTATAACTGCAGTCGAATATCTCGTATACTGCGCGCGCGTACACTCAAATACACACACACACACACACACACACACACACACACACACACACACACAATAATCAAATAACTGTGAAAAATGTACACATATCTGCTATACACATTTTTCATAGCAGAAATAAAAAGGAAACATAACGTGGTGAGAAACCTATCCGAAATATGATCAATTTTTCCCCATCGTTCATGATTTTGTAGTTATTTTTGTCGAACAGCGAAAAAATACGCCACTTCTTTCATAGTTAATGTATAAATTCAATTAAAATTCTTAGTAAAGCGAGGAATGTATTGGTTTTACTATATGATACATTTTTTTTATATCTGTAAACAATATTCTATCATAAATCTTGGTCCAATCAAACATTTTATTGTAGTATTTTTGGTCTAATTGGTATACTAAAGAGAGCATTTTTTGATTTTCTTTGTAGATCTTTTATTTAATGTTAAAAATTGGAAATTTTTCATATATTTTTTGTTTATTTCTGGATTATACCTTGACAACAAGGGAAAAAATGCAATTAATAATACTCTGCTTCAGAATTATTTTTCATTAACAATGGTTCATAATTATTCATAAGTATTACTCTAAATATAATATACCTCCCTCTTAAAACTGTGTATTCATCTATCTACCGTATTAGTCTTCATTATTATTATTGTACCCTACTTACAAGAAGAAAACATGTTTTTTATCCGTCCAGGGTATATTTGACAATTATAATATATAAAATACATATACAATAGCGCCAACTTTATTCGGACATTTTATTTCTTAGGTTATCATAACGTTTACTAGTAAAATAATATATTATTCCTTTTAGTATTTACAAAACATACCGTAGGAAAATATAAATTTTTCGCAGGTGGTTGTCGACTCTGAAGTAAATTTACAATCGTAGTAGCCATATACAAATCACTAGAACGACCATGACCTAAGAGGAAACCGATTCGCGTTCGCTAAAAGAACTTTGCCCGTACATTGCACCGTTTCCGTAGATTTTTGCCATCTTGCCAAACATAATTTTTTATTCATATTCACGTTTTAAGAATAGCACTGTTAGTCAACCTCTAACAAGGCCGTGTAATAATAACTCAATATGTTACATAGATATTTTATATTATTATAATTATTATTTATTTCAGTTTAGAAATGTATTAAAATTGATTATAGACAATAATAATAATGTTGTACGTTTAATTTTGATTTTGCAGGGCCGTAACGGATCCACGAGACGGACGAAGAGTAGCGTTGAAAAAACTTCCGAATGTTTTTCAATCGTTGGTCTCTTCGAAACGAGTATTTAGAGAACTAAAAATGTTATGCAATTTTAAACACGAAAATGTAAGATATTATTTTTTTTTTTCGTATATAGAGTTAATAACAGTTGAAAAAACTCATGTTTTTTGTGCTTTTATAGGTTTTGTCCGCCCTTGACATTCTGCAACCGCCTCATTTGGATTTCTTTCAAGAAATGTATCCTTTTTTCTTACGTATTATGTTATAACAATCCATCGCTGCTGTTGCTGTTGCTGCAGGTACACATAGGCTACACCATTTATGGACAATCAGGAAAACTTTTGTTATATTTTCCGTAAGTAATAAAATAATGACAACTTTCGAGAATATAATATGTACGTATATTTCGCGCGTTATGATAATGGATATTAAGAATTTCGATGACATTAATAATATTATTGTACAATGGTATTATATTATTATATACCGTGCATTCCTATCGAGTTAATACACATTAGTCACCCGGTGTCTAACAATAATGTTAGACCAGAGCTACCTCCTCTCGCCATTATAAACCTGTATTTCCTGTCTCTTTGTTTCTCATAGGTCTCTTTATACCGACCACTGCTGCGAGTTTATTCGCCCTGGACTTGCCTACCCGGCCTATTTAACCCAACTACTAGTGAGCAGGACGCATTCATATATTGTTTATCTGAGAAAAAAATTAAATTAAATTTTAGTAATGTATATTATACATTTTAAAATAATATGTAATATAAGTATAATTATCAATTAATAGTATACACAAGTACAAGAATTTTTTTTCTCTCATATTTTCATAACATCAGAATATTATTTATTTTTTTTTTCTCGACATGTGTGTATTTATGTAGACTATAGCTTACACACGTATAATACATGGTATTTATTGTTTCATTTGAGTGAACAACATCTCTGAGAAAATGACGAAGAATATCGTTGTATTTATTATAGATATATAAAATGATAAAACGATGTTCTCAAAATGACAAATGATTATTATTATATTATTTATATATATTTAGTGAATACTACATGACGGAGCAATCTTTTTAACATACAATTGACGACGACGAAAACGGATTTTTCTATATTTTTCGTTATAAAATAAATAATATCCTGTAGTTATTATAAAATCGAATAGCCGCACCTCTTTCTATTTCATTGAATATTATATATAGCTATATAATGTAGCCAAATATATTTATATATATAATATATAGACGCACCTCCCCCCCCCAAAAAAAATACGCGTACCAATGTGCGTTTCTCTAGAAAGTTAAATAATAATTATATTTTTCCAACGGTTTGGAAATCTCGCTTTTTATCTATAAGTATATGTGACGGTTTAGAATTGGATTTCCCACGTATGTTTTATACGAAAATGATTTTACTTTTAGCTTAATAAAACATAAATTATCGCAAAAAGCCCACTATAAAACCTGAATTTTGGGTCCTAAAACACGCGTGTGATATATTTTTGAATACCGTCTAACGTAGATTTCGCGAAAATACAACGGTGTAGTGGTGATCGGTAGACCGTTTGAAAAAAAAAGTGAGGGTGAAGGTCGTTCAACTCACAGTGTTTTCCCATCGGTCGCCCTTCGTAAAAGTACATATTGTATATACATTATACTCCCCCCTTTTTGTTTTTTTATTAAATTTTTTTTTGTCAGTTAGTTTTTCAGTTAAAACCAGTTGAGCTGGCTGCGGGATACGCTACGTACATATTGAATGCGGGCTCTATTCTATAGAAACACGCGAGTATAATATAATATAAAAACAGCCCTCATTTGTTCTGCGTATAACTCATTTCCCCATATAATCATCTGTTTCAATCAATAATGTTTGAATTTTTTTTCCGAAGAAAAACAGAGGAGGTGGGGGAGAACGATAGGGTGAGTTTTAAATATAGTATACTATACTCTGGTTCAAAATGTTTAGTATACTGTAGCTGCTGGTTTTTATGCGATTAAAATGTCTTGTATGACCTGATTTACCCGACAACAACGTATAGTTTTATTATATATTTTTTTATTAATGTTTACTTTATTATTTTGTAAAAACTCTACTATTGAAAACTCGATTATTATTATTTTTTCTACAAAATAAAACAAGTAATTGCTTGTTACTTTACTTAATCAATTTATTTACATTTCATATAACAGTTTTTTTTTTTTTTTTTTTAAATTCTGAGTGTATAGTGTAGACTTTATTGATTTTACTATGCGTTTGAAAAATAAAAATAAAATTTTTTTTAATCAATTTTTCTACCAGAAATCGTACTCCAAAAATAAAGTGTAACATCTTTTCTTAAGGAAAATGTTATCAAATTTCCCCATTGTAGAGGTCTACATTTTTTATTTTCCTTTTATAATTTTCTATACAATCGGGATATTCGTAGGAAAAACCAAAACATTTACGCAATAACAGTGACCAGTTTTTAATTTTTTTTTTTTTTTTTTTTGTAATTCGGTTAAATTAATCGTAAAGACCTGACATTTTCACAAAATACTTATGTTAGCCTTTTCTGGAAGTAGTAAATTTGTTGAGCTATTTGAAACGTTTTATGTGGATAAAATCGTTTTGAACGAGTAAAAATGATTGAAAATTTAACACGAGATTCATCATAAGTTTTACTTATATGTAACCAACTTCGCTCAGAATCGTATTTCGTTAGAAATGATTCGTCGTGATATACAGATATAAATTAAATAATTCTTCCCAACTTTCCACCTAAAGGTTTCAACAGTTTCACTTTTTTTTTTAAAACAAATACAAGTCAATTGTTTTTCTAATTATTAAGTATATTATAAAATAAGGCAAAACTGAATTGTTATAAATATCAAGTTTTCTTCTATTTCTCGTGCTATTATTTTATCATCCGAACTGATTAACGGCAATTGATTAGTTTATTTTATCAACTCGTTTAATATCAAAGAATAATATCATTTAAAATTAATTAATTATATTGATGGTCATAATGATTGATTCATATAGTAATTTAATCGAATCACATTCATATATAATATACAATCGAAGTATAGAAACTACGTATTTAGTCATCATTGACTATATTGTGTTGAATACTAAAAGATAATTTTACCACTTTATAGAAATTCAAACAATATTGTAAGCGGTGTTGTTAGTGGAACATTTACAAGAGCGTTTAACGAAATAAAAACATGATAACAACAAACAATAAAAATAAACTGAATAAACAGTCGACCGTGATCAGTTAACATCAACAATCATCTTGTATATTGTTCGATTCGTTCCTCATCGAACAGAATTTTGAGTTTATGAAATCGACTCAAATAGCAAATGTATGAGAAATAGATAGGTTTCACGATTTGATAAGGCAAATTAAAATATCTCGAGTTTTTCAATTTGTATTTTCGTTTGTTCGTTTTTACTCCGTTTTAATATCCCTGCAGCGGAGTACTCGTATAAGGTACAACGATATCAACATAGTTTATAGAGACGATGCATTAATGATAAAAATATGAATCGCTCTCGAGGAAAAATCTGTCGTCTGTATACAATCGATTTTTGATACTGTCATCGATGAGGTTGCCTATAATTGTTTTAACTTTAATATCGATGGCATTGGGGAAAGGAAGCCACAATACTTTCTCTTTTATTGATGATTCGGAAAATCTATTTTCTCTCGTGTAAAATTGTTTATAGTATATTAACAATACTACTGCGGTGCGCCTATTATTTTTTTTGTTACAAGAACCTTTTTATTTTGTACAGATTCCGGTCCCGAATAGAAAAAATAACAACTCAATCGCAGTATTGAACAATTTATAATATTTTAATATACGTTTGAGGCAACATCAATTTAAACCAAGATACGACAACTCCTGGCTATTATAGATTCATAAAACTATTTTTTAGATTTTACTAAAATTGACTTGTAAAATTACTCTATGTGGACAATTATGTTTTAATCAAAAAGAAAATGTGTTTTATATTTTAACACAGAATTTAGGGAAACTATTATTTCATGTATAGTTTTATCAGATGCATACACGTGTTCGAATAATTTAAATTGGCTTATCCCGAGTGAATAAAAACATAATATTTATCAGAATATTCCAATTCGGTGATTAACTGCCACACAGTATGCTGCAGAACAAGAATCATCAATATGTACCCTGTGATAATACAACTCGATCAAATAATTAAATTAACTTTAAACTATAGTATCTATATTTTTATACAATTTTCTAAAAATATTTGCAACATTATGACTGTTTGCTTCGTTCGATTTGGTCGTGTGTTGTTAATAATGACTATAATATAATATAGTCAATTATTACAATATAATCCATGATTGCCCGATCAAATTAAGCATTGTGAATATAATGTCTATATTTAGGATATTATGTTAATGACAATGGTTTTTTTTCATTATTGACTCCTACTGGTAACTTATATCCGTTTTTAATTCGATTCTGATATTTTCGAGGCGTACCTCGGACGCAGTCTAGCTGCTATATGCCGGTGCACACGAATTGTCTCTAGTCACCACATCACATCAATTCCTACAACGATGTATTGTAATATAAATTCATGTCGATTTTCGATAACTAATAATGAAATGTTTTGTTTTTGTCGTTGGATTCACCATGGTAATAATATTTCGTTTCTCGTCTATTAACTCTTGCTATTGATTTTTTTTATGTAATACAAATGTGAATAATAATATTATCATTCAAATATTAAGATTATAATACTAACTGTAGTAGTTGTATGTTTTTAGTACATAAATATTTTTCTCAAAATAATCGATATTTTTTATAATGGTATATAATAATTAAAACAATATTATTTTAATATTTTGTTCGTACTCGACATATGAATTTATGATTCTTTTAGATTCTAAATGTAGCTAGGACTTATTGGTTTTACTATGATGTGGTTTTGTTTGTATTTGTAAACAATTTTTCTACCAGAAATGTTGCCTCAATCGAAAAATTAATAAAAATTGTCTTACAATTATTTTTTTTTCTAGTTGGTGTGTTTAGGCGGTTATTTTTTGTTTGTTTTGCTAAAAACAAGCAATCTCTTGTATAATTTCAGTTGATTTCCGGATTACTTTGGCAACAAGAGAGTTGTATTATACCCTGAAAATACCGGGTAACTCAGTTGGTAAATATTGTATGAAATCGATTTTATATTTGATACTGGTGAAAAATAATTATTTTTATCCGATATGTGGGGGTGCTATTCGTGTAAATGTTTTTTTTCTAAAACCGAGAGGTTTTTCGAGTATTCAAAATTGTTTCGAATGTGTCTGTTCTATACTCGTACTTGATGTAGGCTAGTCCTTCTGGGCGTCTGCTTACAAGTTGCAGGTATACTAGGTAAAATGCATTCGACGTCGTTTCTATTGTGTCCCGAAACATTCCGAAAAATCCGCATAAAAAGGGTCCGGAGCGCCGCGAGCGTTCTCCTCGTACGAGTGTACAGCAGCAGTACGAGTATGTTTCGTCGTGCGTTCTGGTTTGTCGGGACGTATAAGCGTCGCTGCGTGTATTGCCCGCGTGTACCCGCAGTGCACATCAAGACTCTGACACCGCCGCCACCGGTGCGCACATAATAGGGGGAAAAACTGGTTCATGGTAGGTACAAAGACCCATAGACCCGGGCGAAGACGTTCCCCCGCGACGTGTGCGCTCGGATCGTTCCACCGCGCGCGCCGCCGTCCTAGTGCTCGTAATACGAAACGGCCGTACAACGTTGCGTTGTTACGGCGGCCGCGGCGGCTGCTGCTATCACCCGTCGGTGACTGGATTGCGTTGTGGCCGCGGTGGTGCGGGGGAGGTGTCGAAATGTTGGTAACCTTGACGGGAAAATTGTTGTATGTGTGTATCGCCCGGCCGGGTGTAATTGACCTGTGCCGCCGTCACCGCCTCGTATGAACGCCTCAATGTAGCAAATAAAAAAAAAAAAAAAAAAAAAAAAAAAAAAAACCAAAAATGTATACTTTATACGCATTATTCAAATAATATTATATATTTCTATCACGCGAAAGCGTCCTTGTCCGTCACCTTCTTTAAGCCTGCCCATCTCACCGTTGTCCCCTCGTGGACAGATTTTCCCTTTAATAATATAGCACTTTGAGCATCATAGGATTATATAGACATTCCTTCTCCCCTCTCCCCGCTCGAGAAAGAATAATGTTCAAAATAGTACTATAAATATTTAAAATCGCAAAGAACTCATAGTACATTAGCATTGTATTTAAATAAATAAAAAAAAAAAAAACCTCTAAATTGTTCTTTTCATCAATATTGTCACAATAGTTTTTTTTTTCATTTCTAGATGATCTTGATATTTTTTTTTCGCTGTGGTTTATTTTGTATATGTTATATTAATAATGATTGCAGTGAAACAAACACATTTTGCAATTCCGCAATGTTATTTTTTTAAACATATTTAAAATAAATAACTGGTTTTAAATTACTTATACGATATAGGTATTATTTTTATATTATCAAATGGTTTAGTTATCTTTCGTTATTATTGTAATATTACATTGTTTTATATGTTTTGTTGATGACGGTGGAAACGTCTTTTCTCAAAATTGTCTGTAAAGGGGTTTATTGCTCTTTTGAAACAAAAATCTAGATCCCAACAATTTTTCTAATCAAATTTAAAAGATCCAAAACGGTACGTATGTATTATTTTTGTAGATTACTCGGTGACCCTAATAGTTACAAGGGGAAACGACACAACTATAATAATAGTGTCTATAATGCTGTACAAGTTTACCGAACTCTGCTCAGAATCGTGTATTGATCGCAATGAGTTATCGTTGTTTTCGATAAATATAATAGTAAATCTGCTCTATATATATATCCCATACACCATTCCAACTTTCCACCTTACACAACAGTGACCCTACCCCCGCCGCCGTGCGAAATGCGTCCGACTTATAAATGATAATTAGAATCCACTTTTTCGTCTTATTAATGCCGCCGTCCCGGCTCTCGTTACCGTTTTTCTGATATTTGGGTTACGCGTAACTCCGTGACACGGATTTCCCGAACGGTCGCCGATGCGCAATAATACCCGGCGGTCGTTCTACATTTCATCGCGTGTGTTTGCCCCGCCGTTCACACGCTCCTCGGACGGAAACTCAATATAGTCTGTGTATTATAAAGACGAAATCCAATCGTGTCCGCGACACGACGGCGCGTAGAACAATATGCCCGTATGTTTAATTACTATTATTGACGTATTTTAACAATTTTTTTTTTCCAATGTTTTTGAACCGCTCACTCGACCCTCCCCCCCCCTTAAATATCGTGTATACTTAACGGATTTTTAACGATTTAGTCCCACCGTTTTATTTATCTATATATATTTATATATTCTTCCGGTCGTGTACACACATATTGGTACTCGCTGTCGGTGGCGGAGCAAGTCGTTCGTATATGTATCGCGTGCGTGTGTGTGCGAGTATAACGAACAAGACAGTCACTGCACACGATGTGTGTCCTCCATCACGGGTGGCCATTTTCGTGTTTTTTGGGACGTGTAATTTTTTTATTATAAGTTTTTTTTTGCATTTGCGTTTGCATCATTTGCCGCGCGCCTAATAATAATCGGTTCGGTCGGGCGGCTCCTATAGTATATTATGCCGTTAAATCCAGAAAACCTTGGATAACGCAGCGGCGGTTTTAAACGATTCGTTTTCTTCTTAGGTTACCAATATGTATTGTATAACGCATCCGACTGTCCGCATTCTCGCGCGCTCGATCGTCGAGGGCATCACCGCGACGACAATCAAGGTGTTCTGTCTGTCTCTGTCTCTCTCTCTCTCCCTCTCCCTCTCTCTTTCTCTCTCTCTCATTTTTTCCTTTGCTCAGCCGCCTCTCCGCAATCCCCTAAAGAGTCATCATAATCGCGCAGCGATGTACCGCCGTTTCTCCCCTATTTTACTGCGCACTTGTACATATATTGATCATCGTCATCCTACTCCGAACGGCAGCCCCATCGAATGAGCATATATATGTATAATCACGACTATATTATACTGCACGAGGCTAAATTCGCAGTCGAAAAAAAAATCGAATCCCACTACGGTGGCAGTAGTGTTGGAGCCCTTTTCATTTTTTCCCTAAAGTCCGCGTCGGGTGTGTGTGCATAGTATGCCGCGTGTGATCGGTGCAGGGTGCAGGAAGAGGGTGCGGCGGTAAACGCACGAGTATATAAGCCACTGCTCCCCGTCGTATACCACGCGTTTACTGCCCTCGGTATATACGGGCGCCACCCGGACCGTCAACGGCACAGGACAGTAATTTAAAATCCGACTTTGTCGGCGGCGGGGTCGGGCGCGCAACGTAATGATACGGTCGCCATGGTTACGGCCGCCGTCGAGGCAGATGGCCCGGCGACGCGACCCGAGACTGACGACGACGCCCCCGTTTCCTCTTGTGGCGGCAGTCGTACGTCCCGCCCCATCGCCATTCGGCCCCGGTGGCTCGGTGGCTGCCTTCGGCAGTGGTGGTTGTAGTACAGTATGCGGGTCCGCTGCTATATAGCAGAAGGGGATTAATAATTTTGCAATCCCGGGCCACGAGATCGTTAAAAACACGAGACGGTACCGTTGTTGGGTCACTTCGTATTTTCCACTATATTATATATACGTTCACCTATATATGTCCTATATTATACATATTTCGTAAGATTGTGAAGACCGTAAAGTCTAAAATATTCGTATATTACATGTTATATACGTATATAAACAAATCCATTTCATTATATTATTATTTGGTTCCAATAAAGAAGGACTTAAATCATATTTGGATAATTCCTAATACAAATAAATTTTGAAATTTTGAAAATACATATATTTTTACATACACGTATGCACTCATTTTTAAAATAATTGAAAAAAAAAAAACGAAAATATACTTCGCTCGATGGCTGTGCCATTCTTGTAGGTGAGAAGTTGGGAAGGTAGAGGGGAAGTTTAATGTATATCTGTTCGTAAAAATTAATCATTTACAATGAAAAACGATTCAGAGCGGAGTTAGATTATCGGTTATAGATATTTTGAAAGGCGGTAATGTTTACGATTTTCGTCTAAATTTGATATTAAAATTCTACATTTCACTTATTTTTTTTTTGACCCCTAAGTACGACTTTTAATAAACCTCTTATAAAATTTTCAAGCATTTCTGTTTGGTCCAACAATTTTATCTACAGTGTAACTATCAAATACAAATTACGTTAAACAATCGCAAAATTAAAATATCTATAAGTAATTCAAAAATAGCTAAAATGTTTTGAAAATCTTACCAAGTCTAGAAAAGGTAAATATAAATATTCTGTTCAAATTTCAAGTCAGCGAATAATTTAAAATAATTCACAATAAAAAAACAAAATTGGAAATAATAAATGTCGTAAATTTTTCCCTTTTTCTAGAGTTTTTCCTAGTTTTTCACAATTATTATGAAAACCTCTTGAAAAAACAAAATATGACCTCTTTAAAGTACCACCCAGATAGTATTTCATTTCAGTAAAGATGCTACATTTGAAAATCTGAGCAATTTTTCTGGTTAAAAAGTTGATCACAGATTAAAAAAAACTGCCCCAGCTTAATAATGGGGATTAGGAACGGGTGCGGCTACTGTTATAGGTAATTTTATATATATCTGTAAGCAATGATTTACCATTGCTAAGGAAAAAACTATTTTGAGTGGAGCTAGGTTGATAGTGTTCTTTTGTCAACAATATACTATATGTTATGGTAAAATAATTTCATATGAATTACTCATATTGTCTTCAAAAAATAATATTTGTTTTATGTTGTTCTTTTTTCCCGTTTTCCCCATTTATTGGGAAAATCAAAAATTGACCTCCCCAGTCCGATATCCTTTTAGAAAAAGTGCTACCATTGAAAATTGGAACAAAAAACTGGTAGAAGAGAGGTCCATAGAAAAATAAAATAAAAATAAACATCATTATAAATCCAATACATTCATTGTTTCGCTCAGAATCTAAAAATGTCAAAAGATGACTTAAGACCTTTTAAGAACTATCAATCCCTTTTGAAAAATTTTAAATTAGAATCATTTATTATAAAAAATTAGAGGCAGAAAAATACGAAAATTCGAACTAATAGATAGTTTAAAAATTTAATTGTATTAAATTTATTTTGAAAGCAGGTTTAAATTCTGGAATAAAAATTCTGACCAAAAAAATTTCTAATTGAACTATATTTAAATCATAAAATTTAAATTTTTTCTACCAGCAATTTCGTTTCGATGTTTAATGATAGTACTTTTTCTAAAAGGAAATCGGACTGGGAAGGTTAATTTTTAATTTTCCTAGCTGTTTTCATAATAAACTGAGAAAAAACGGGAAAATTAAACAAATATTATCGAACTCCACTCAGAATCGTATTTCGTTAGCTATGATTAATCTTTGCGTATAGATATACATTAAATTCCCCCTCTACCTTCTCAACTTCTTACCTATAACAGTTCACCCATCGTGCGAAGTATGTTTGTTTGATTTGATTTTTATGTATAAATCCAAGAAAAATACGACAGTGTATCGTAAAAAATTACATTCTTACCATGGGCAAAATGGTGCAACTCAAAATTGCTGTTTTTTTATTTTTTTTGAGTTACAAGTTTACAACAATAATGTTTTATTTGTGCGATATACTTAAGTATATGTGTATGGTATATTTTTATTTAGAAGTCGCTCAACGTTCATAACAGTATCCGGATACGGCAATGACCGCTGTCGTCCCACACACTCGCGCGCGCGCTGACAAGTTATTAAATATTAATCTTCGCGATTATACCGTTCATAACCATAATAAACTATCTATATAGCCCATATAGGATAGATAGTATTATACGTATATTATGCGAGTAGTTAATAATCAGATTAAATTTCCAAAACCCTGATCATTATTTTTATTAAAAATTATTTTCATTGGTTGTATTTAATTGATATCGGATAGCTAGGTTAGGTTAGGTTCCTTTTCTATTCGGGAATTTCACTGAAATAAACAACACATCATGTATTTTTAGGGGTGTTTTTCGGGAGGAGGGGGTTTATAAATCATTTAATCGTAAGAAATTAAAAATTAAGAATAAATGTTTTATCAGTATCATTACCACAGTCAGTCTTCGAATTTGTATGCACCTTGGGTTTTTATGACCCAAATGAATTTTGTTGAATATTTTTGGTCGATTAATATACGATTCTTTTAAAATGAAATTTTCCACTATAAATTTGGTCAAAGAATGTATTATTATTTCATAAGATTGGTGATTAAAACCTATTTTTGTAAAGGCGCATATTCCATCATCGTTCATATAATGTATAATATTATCGAATTTATATCTCAAATTCCTCGTTCCACTATTGCACCGTTGCGTTCAAAACCTTAAGGAAAATCAAAATTATATATATTCTATTAATTATGTTTATTAATAAAATGTAATATCGTGTTAGTCTAAAATCGGTAATATCCCGACGAATCCTGGACGTATAGCAACCGACATAACATGAAATACACTGAAAATATCGTTTGATCTTCTTGGTGCATTCTGGACATCATATTTCGATTTCCTTTATAGTTTTCTTAATAAATAGAAAAAACTGACAATTTTGAAAATCATTTTTGGCGATTTCCGGGTCACTTTGGCAACAAGGGAAATAAATCGCACTTATACAGTGTTCGGAATCGTTCTTCATTAACAATGATTTATCATTACGTAATGATATAAACTACATTACCTATTATATATATTCTCCCTTCCAACTTCTCTCCTAAAACAGTGATACACACTATACACCTATCAGCAGTATCAGCTTTTAATATAGAATTGCGACAAGTAAAACGTTGTCAAAATGGCGAGAAAGATTTATCGCATATTTTATGATTATCGAGATTTGTACCAGAATTTTGCGCTGGATTTTGCAAATTATTTATATAAACTATAATATATTTTGGTGATTTATTTGATGTATCGCCGAGCACGAGCATATCATGATGGTTTTTTTTCTCACCCTGTATATACGTATACAATAATAATAACAAAATAATAATCGATTTCGAACGGAATCCGTTAACTACACGAGCTATACGTGCAATTAACACGCGACTTAAATTGTCAGAAGGGGTTATTGACATGCAGTTGTTACAGTTTATCGCATTACTTGTACGAGTTACTTACATATAATATAATCATCATCGTACATGTGTAATGTGTATGAAATCACAAGATTTTTGTTTTATTCGTTCAAACATTATATTAGATACGATATATTCCTTCTTGCAGCGATGTGTATAGTTTATTGGTTTGCAACAACCTCACAAAAAAAGAAAAACAGTATTCGCTCCCTCTGTATACAGAGGTCCCAAGATGGTTTGACACTTAAAATAACTTTTGTTCTATTCAATATTTTTAAATAACCAGTATGCTTCTATTAATATATAATTTTTTTTTTTTAAATGGGGAAGTTCAAATAAAAAAATTAAAGAAAATTTTTGGACAATTTTTTGAAGTTTTATAAATTTGAATATTATGGTCGTTTATATTATATTATAATATTTAATCAATCAGATTAATTATATTGTATAATATTAACTCATGGAGAAAAAAATCATTCGATACGAATGCCACTTGTTCGAAAAATAATAAGAACCGTTTTCAAAAACCTGTCCCTGTCACATATTAACATACTGGACATAGTGCACACTAAACAAAATACTACCTGACGTGGTTTTGCATAACAAATCAGGGTTTATTTTCAATTAATTTCCTCCAAAGTTTTTAATTGTAAATTGTAATTTCTCCACCAAAAAAAAAAAAAAAAAAAAAATTATATATATTAACTGTAGCGTAGAGGTATATTAATTATTAAAAAATACGTCCTAAAATAACGGAGATGGGTGCAGTCACTGTTATAGAAAATTTATTGTATACCTGTAAACTGATTTCCCAAGTTTTTCCCGGTTTTTCAAATTTGCTGGGAATATCCAAAAATGACTTCCTTAAAGTACCTCCCTAGTCAGCTTTACTTTCAAAAAAGTGCTATAATTGTAAATTAGAGAAAAATTTCTAGTAAAAAAGTTGTATACAGAAAAAAAAACCATGATATTTCTTTACTAATTCCTTTTTCAACATTTTATCCCAGTTCTTCCTAGGTATGAAAACCGCTTGAAAAATCAAAAAATGACCTCCATTGTAATTCTACCATGGATATAAAATAGGTACATCCAAAATGCATTTGTTTCTTCTCTGTTTAGGGTTAAAAGGGGAATAATAAGTGCAAAACAATTTTTTTCGAAACACTGGTTTGACTCGTGAACACTAAGATAACAATAGGTATGTATAACTATTCAGCTACGACAAACACATTAGAGAATAGTCAATATAGAATTATTTTACATAACATATAATATTAGAACTTCAAAAAGCTATAATTTCGAAACTTAGTCAGTCCGCTTAATTCAACATCACTATTATATCGGCAATATACAAATCAAGTGATCAAAAAAAAAAAAAAAAAAATGAACATTTAGATTTGTTCCACATAATTTTTTATTCGAAAAATTTTCGTCAAAATTTGATATTAAAATTTCTTGATAAATACTACATTAAACTCATTTTTTTTTTTTTTTTTTTGATTACAAATTAAGATTCCTTATGAACCTGTAAATCTTGAATCATTTCTGATCAAGTCTTACAATTTTACCACAGAGTACCTACCAAATAAAAATCACGTACAAAAATACCCTTACAAAATTAAAATTTGTATACATTTTCTGAAAATTTTACTTCATCTAGAAAAGGTAAATATAATTTTTCTGTATAAACTTCAAGTCTATGAATATTTTTAACTGAATTACAACAAATAATGAAATTGAAAAATAATAAAAGCATTATTTTCTTAAATTTTCCGTTTTTCTTATTATTTATCCTGGTTTTTCTCAGATATTATGAAAACCGATTGGAAAATCAAAAAAATGACCTCCCAAAGTACCATCTGAATAATATTCCCTTTCAGAAATGGTGCCGCTATTATATACATCGAAGCAAGATTTCTGGTAAAATTTTTGTACATAGCATAAAAAAATAAATAAATAAATATCTTGGTAAAACCAATACATTATTCGTTACACGCAAAATTTAAAAAAATGTATACCTTTATTTAAAATATTGAATAGAACGTAAGTAATTTTAATAGTGTTAGATCATCGTAGTACACTCTGTATACATATATATAAATGGTGATTATTTTTTTAGCGAAATTGTTTATATCAAAAAGGTCTTTTACAGATTTATAATATTCAAGCGAACGCATTCATATTTAAAGTTTATATAGTATATACTATGTACGTATACGCGATGACAATGATCTATTTTGATTGCAAGGTATTCTTTTATCCTGAACTAGTGTTTCTCAATTCGGAGGAGAGGGTTTGATATTTTTTTTTAAAAAAAACATATATTTCAAATAACGTAGATATAATAATATAATAATTAATGATAACAATTTTTAAATTGTAGAATTTATATGTATTTATTTATATTTACTAATTACTATGCTTACCTAGCATAACTAAAAAGAAGCTCACTAGTTATTTTTGACCATTATAAAAAGGGGATGTAAGTTTTTAAATTCACTGTGTATCTGTATGATTTCTTCGGTCGTTGTATTGTATAGAATTTAATCTTATTTTTACGACATTTTCACAATTTATTTCGCGGTTTGTCTCTAAAAATCGTTTAAAAATGCCATTAGAAAAAAGACATATATAGGTTTTTATCATATTAAATCGTCATCTTACATTATAAACGGATTATCAATTTGAGCAATATAAGTTTTGTCCTCCGCGCGTATAATTCGGTCAACAATTTAACATTTTCGGTACAGTTATTTTATTTATTAATTTTTTCGGTTGCAATATGGCATGTAATATATATTATTTACAATTTATTAAACACGATGATAACGGCCACATGCGCGTTTAAATTACGTATAGTCACCTCACCTCTACTCGTACATTTTCTCGCTCATCGCTTCCTCGCTGACACCGTTCATACGTATGTTATGAATATGTATATATCCCTCTCTGATGTGTACCACACACGTGCGTCCCGGTTTAACTTGAAATTTGTTCGCACGGGTCCCCCGCGAAACGCAAATAGATTTTCGGGCGATTAAAACTCGCGCGTCGACGTGTTTTGCACTGCGAACCGTTGCATGCGGGCGTCGTCGTGTGTGTCGAAAACTGGCGGAAATTTAATAACTATAACGTAACATCGTCTCGTATGCGTATTTTGCGTACGTGCGTTCTTCCGTATTGCTGCACTCGCGTTAATTATATGTACATCGATGATAGTATTTAAAAAAAAACCGAACGTTTTCACACATCATGCAAAAATCGTGGCAGGCCCCTAGTGTTGTAGGCAGAAAAATTTAGAAGGTACGATAAAGTGATTTGGTTTAAATATATATATATATATATATAAAAGAGAGACAGACATTAAAGCAAACGATTCTAAGCGAACAAGTTCGGTAAATTTATATTATATAGATTGTGGTTCCCTCTTGTAAGTTGTAATAACCAGAAGAGGTAACTCAGAAATCAACGAAAATAAAACCAATGATATTATTGATGATTAATCATTGTGGGTTTTTTGGTTTTTAATTTTTATGAAAATAAATACAACCTGGTGGAAAAAAATGTGCGTTTAAAATGAAGGTTGCCTTACGGAGATACGACTTGAATAATTAGGAACATTTTTACTAATCAAAAACCTTTTTTTTAGAGGAAAAAATGCGTGCACACGTCTTAGAGAAATACTCTAATAGCAGCTTCGCTATACTGGGAATCTAAAAAAAATCACGTTTTCGTATTATTTATAATACAGTTTCCGGAGAATTCGATTTTTTTAAATGGAAAAGGCGTTACTGAATATCATATTTTCGTTTCCTATACACGGACGTTGGCGCCAACTCAATCATCGCCGTCGAGTCAATAATATATGGTTATACGTCAAATTGACGAAAACTAATATTTAAAATAGCTGATATTGCTGATAGTTGTACCACTATTGTAAGTGGGAAGCTGGGTAAGTAGGATACATAAAGTTATTTAATAACGATAAATCAAAAATGCTAACAAAATATTATTCTGAGCAAAGTTCGGTTGCAAAATATCATTTTGAAATGCCTTAATTTTGTTTACGATTTTCGTCAAAGTTATAATAAAGTGCGCGTTTTGCTTGTTTTTTCTGTTCCGACGTATTTCAAGTTTTAACTCTTAGTTATAATTTAATCAGTGTATGTATGATTTAAAGATTATTAATATAAATATTCATCACTTTTAAGGCTAGTATTTTCGCTCTTTTTCTGCGACTGCATTTATCAAAAGTCGAACGTTGTGGCGTTTTATCAATATGTTCGATCTGGGTTTCTGATCTAGGGATCTGCCCTCGCATCTTGTCGCGAAAAAGCCGCGTAGACAAGGAGCGATTGCATCGAGAGCGAAGTACGTCGCGCCCGTTATTAATTTCTCGCACGTCCCTTCCGCGGAAGCCGTGCGCGTCGCGCCGAGTGTCGCCGCATTAAGTAATGTATAGATGGCAGCGAAATCGGGGCCACATCCAAAACGGGGTGGATGTCTTACCCGACCATCCTGTCGTCAAGGCCACCGCCGCGATCTCCCGGGATTGCACTGCATCCTAGCCTCTCGCGGGTTGCTGTTTTTTCGCCAAACAATTATCGCGCTTATTATTCGGCCTCCGTGGTATGTATGATCAAAACGCTCATTTATTATCTGATGTTTACACATTTTAACGAGAGTAAAACTCAAAGTGCATCCTGTTTAAAACACTAATTAGAAAATAATATAATATCGATGCAATATTTCACAAATTTAATTATTTAACATTAAGTGCGAGGACACGACTTTCACATCATCGTCATGTATAAATTCAAAATCGATTCGGAAAATTGAATATTATTAATACTGTTCATTATTGTTTCGGAGCGGTCTGTGGATTTGTTTTCCTTCGCGGAGCATGTACACGCTGGACTGTACAACCGCCACCCCTGTTGCAGTCGCTTTCTACCGCCGTCTCGCCCTCCAGTCTTCTACGCCACTGTCTCGCATTCATCGCAAACAGTATTATATGTATATAATAAAACACACGGGTTTCCCTCTCGCGTATATAATAACACAATACGAGACGACAAAGTGCGCAACAAACTTACACGAGGCACAAACCCTAGCAGGGTGGTGACCGCGCAAAACTACCGAAGGGTAAAACTGCCGCTGCCATCGAATGTGTATTAGTGTGTGTGAGTGTGTGTGTTTCTGCGCACGCGCGCGCGGATAAGTAGGAAAGTCGGAGACGAAAACAACAGAGGCTGGCGGTGGCTTAATTTATACGGTGACGGCGGCGCCGTCTGCCCGGTTTTCGGGGACTGTATATTTTGAGTGAAAAAATACTTGCGATAATCGACTGTAGTGTTCCTACTCCCAAATTGTTCAGGTAGTCGTTATGATTGAAAATATATCTCCTCCCCGCTCATTACCGTTTTAGCAAGACGCATAGTATAATACATTCTGTAAAAGATTAATGTTTTCGGGTATGTATGTTATGTACACTATATGCGAACGACTCGCGTAACCTATCATAGCGGTATAGAATTGATTTTGATCAATGGTACACTCAAACAAACCGATATTTATACTTGGGCGTTTATTTTTTTCCGAAAGCGCACCTCTTCAATAGATACGTTCACAACTGAGTACATTTAGGCTGCAGAGCGTCGTATAAGCTCTCATAAAAGATGTCCAAATTTGTTATCTATATCTGCTTTTAAAATCGTTATATTTAAATGTATTATCCATCACAGTAAATAAAAGTATTTCATTTTTATTTTTTCTACTGGCATACCTATACTCTCTAAGGGTTTTCAACTCCCTAACTTAATAAATTTTTTTCTTCCGCGTTAATTCATCTTTTTCGGGATCTTCATAGAGGCGGTCATTTTCTCGAGGTTTCTATTCCATTTCTACTCATCTACTGTCTCGTTTTCACCTCTCTTTTCATTATATGAATAACCATTTTATCATTTATGACCTACCATCGATAAAACAACTAGCGTACGTTAAAGTACATTAAACGTACGAATTTTAAAAACTATCCGATCCTTATGATGGACTTATGACGATCTCTGATGCTGTACGACAGAATTTAATGTGCTATTTCTTCACTCGTTTCTTTTGTTGTTAAACGGTGGCTTTATTCTATTTTTTTTTTCATTTATACTTTATCCTTGATTGTAATACATTTCAACGCTCACGAGAAAACGTAGGTATATTATATTAAAATAATATTCGTACTTCACCAAGGATTTATATATTGATTCCCATAATGGTGTCTTCGTCGATTAAACACGCGTACTTTCTTATTATATTATATTATATTACCGAATATAATATTCGATTATTTTAAATGATAATAAGCTAGACCAGTTATTTTAGATTTCGGGTGTAGTGAGGGAACTATTGGTTTTACAATGCTGTAAATTTGCAATTTTTTTTTTGCTTTATTCTAGTCGGTAGACACGTTTTTTCCAAGTAAACTTGCTCCGATCTTTATGAACCACTAGTTCAAGTTGTCTAGATTGTACTTAATACAGGTCATTTTTTGATTTGCGCGGCCATTTTTTAAATAAAAGCAATTAAGTGGGAAAAAACGTAGGAAAACGTACAATTTCACGATTTCATTATTTTATAAAAACACGGACGACGTTTTCTACCAGAAAAAATGATTTAATCGAAAAATCACAAGATACCTTTTTTGTTGCTTTTTTAATTTACTTTCTTACGGTGTATTGCCAAAACTTTTGAGCTTTTAAGGAATTTTAATTTTTGGGAGTTTTTTTTACTGTAATTCGATTATAAATACGCGTAAAAACTTGAAACTTGGTAATAATATTTATATTGAACTTACCTAGATGTGGTAAAATTTTCAAAATAAACAGACGACTTTTTTTCCTTTTTGTAATTTTTTTACAGTGCTACTTTTTATATATATATGTACTGTAGACCACTTTTATCCTTAAAAACATGCTCCAATGTATAAGTGTATCACCTTTTCTGAAAGTCAATTTTATCTACTTGGTAAATACATAAGTCATTTTTTGATTTTCAAAACGGTATTTGAAATAAAAAACGATTAACCTAGGGAAAAAAATACAATTTTTTTATGATTTCGTTATTTTAAATAAGTACCTACCACGTTTTTTAGCACAAATATGGCACCAATTGAAAAACGACAAGAAATCTTTTTTGTTGAATTATTAATCTTGTTTAAATAATGTGGATCAATTAATGATTTTCAAATTAATTTTCATAATAATCGGAAAAAAACGTAGGAAGGTTAGGTTAAAAAAAAATTACAGCACTTTAAATTATGTATTGTCGAAGTGCGCTCGAAATTGTCTTTCGTCAGCAATGGTTTATCATTACAGGTATAAATGAATTAACCTTATACCTACCTTCCCAACTTCTCACCTACAACAGTGGCCCCACCCGTCCCCAATATCAGCTTTTTTTTTTTTCTATGGAAGTATTCAAATCAGATTCGTCGGCGAGTCAATTATTGGTATTATTAAATTGTGTAATTATAATATTAAATCTTTTGTTTAAATGTATTAATATATGTATGCGTATACGAAACAAACGCCATCACAATATTACATAGGTTTTATAAAACCAGATATACCTGCAGTGAACGATTAGCGCGTGTAATATAAAAAAAATAGTCGAAGAATCTTTTTTTTTTCGTTTCGTTTAAGTGGTTTTTTTAACGTTACCCGACAGCGAGCATTACAATATAATATTAAGAAATATCATTGCCAAGTGATAATAAAATACCATACGCCGCGGCGGCGGTACATGGTCAAATCGAGAGTATATATGTACCTACTATATAGATAATTCATTGTTTGCGGACGTTGACAATATTTTTATCCGCTATCGTCAAGGATACTACACTGCAATAAGTGCATGTCGTGTATAGTGCATTGAACAGGTGCAGTTTATTCTTTTGTTTCCCGAAATCAAGAAATTATTCGATTTTCTAACAGTCGACAACGTGCCGAGCGATGATTGTTTTGTGGCAATCTCCTCTAGGAAAATTTGGAGGTATTCACGAATTGCCTCCGATCTGACCCTCGAATTGCTTCACATGAATTTTATTTTTAAAAAGGTTACTCGAATTGCTTCCTATTTTTAGGTAGTGAACCTTTTATACTCGAATCGCCTACTATATTCATAATTCATCGATTTCTAACTTTACATTATAGGAAATATTAAAAATTAAATTCAAAGTCAAAGTTGATCGATTTAATGTTTATTAAGATTAATAAATAATAATAAACATATTAATATGTTATATAGTCAAAATATTAAGTTTGTACATACAATAGTTATAAATATTTCAGTAAATAGTTCGATATAGTAGTAATAATTAATATTAATAAAAAGTAATAAATAGGAAATGCATAAAATAATTTAGACAAAATATGAAAATGTACGGAAATACCGTACCTATTTCTTAAAAATAATATTTTTGAACATTACGGAAATTTATATAATAATCGATAGTATAGGTACAGTTATCTATGTATTAATTTATTTTATTTTATTAGAATAAACGCCAAGCGGCTTTTGGAACAATAATATATACAGAGTAATAAAAGTTACAATTTAATGATAAATAATGTAAAATATAAAAAAAAAACAATCGTAAAAACATATAAAACTAATTTTACAATTATTTTAAAGAGAATTACCAATAATTAAAACTATAATGTGAGGTGTTGAAGCAGGACAGAGTATGAATAAATTACACATTACTGTAGGTTTTCGACATCATTCTGATCAGAGGAGAATTTTTAGCAAAATTAGTATGGCTAACTGGTAGGTAAAATAATCTCTTAAACCTGGTGCTACCAGAGACACAAATTTCGAGTCGTTCTAACAAACGGGGTGCATCAATATATTCTTCAATAAGCCCATTAATAAATCGATAACTGGAGATATTACGACGTTCGGTTACAAATTTAAGACCAAGAACATTGTTAATATGACTATAATCGTAGAGTGGGTATTGAATGTTAAGACAATAACTGGTAAAACTCAGAAAACGGTTCTGAAAATTGTCTAGATGCTGTATGTCCCTTAAGGTATAAGGGGACCAATGAACAACCTCATATTCTAATAACGTGCTTACTAGCAAGCTAAATAATGATGAAGGACATTTGGGACAGTCGAAGTTCGATGAATGACGCCTTAAAAAACCTAGTACATGGAGAGTTTTGCAAACAATAAAATCAATATGAGGTCGAAAATCAAGTGAGGGAACATAGAGGAAGCCCAAATCCTTAACTTCGATAACGCGTATGAGGGGAAAAGATTCAAAACAATAACCAAACTTAATAAATTCTCTGGTGCGATGAAAAGTCATTACTTTACATTTATTGGTATTTATGGTTATTTCCACTGAATTACACCATCTAGCAAATTTGGTTATAGCGTTCTAGAGAAGAAAACAGTCATCAAGAGAAGAGATAGCATAGACAATTTTGGCGTCACCAGCAAATTCAGCAAATTGTGGAACTTAGATCAGAAAGGATACTAGGGTAATCAACTCTAATCTAGTGAAATCATGAAACAAATGTTATTTAATAATTATTAATCTAAATATGCTATAGGAGACAATTCGAGAGTTACCAAATTTGGATGTGTGGATGAACTCTAAATTTAGGCCAAAACCCAGAGTAGTGTATAGAAGTTTTTCAGATCGGTTAGGTTAGGTACGGACAAAACGTCCTTTAACATTATATGTAAACAACAGAAAATACATAAAAGACTATTGAGAATTTACGAAACCAGTATAGGCGTGTGCTATTCATTTATTTATTATCTATTAATTTATTGTGGTGTACGGGGCCATGGTTTTACGGTAGTCAGAAATTTATATGAAATTCAGGAATTTTTTCAATTTAATTAATTTGATTGAATATTTCGAAGGAAAAAAACGACGTTAAAACAATTGTTTCAATATATTTTATTTATATACATTTTTAATAATACTATAATATATTAATACTTTTTTAAAACACATAAGTAGGTTAGGTACCTATGTTTACCTATGTGTTTTAAGAGGAGTGAAATTAACGAAGAATATAATAACTGTTATTTACTCTATGACAATCATTTAGAAATATCGTAGCAATCATCAGGATTGTGTGTCGGCTATGGTATTAAGTATTTACTATTTATAGGGACATATTCCTTAAAGATGTCTCTTGTATATCAGCGTGAATACGCTCCGTCGAATATAAGTAATACTAGTAATAATAGTGTCGTCGATTACCCGTTTTCTTTTCCATTTTTTTTTTTTTCAATTTTATTTTATTTTTAAAACGTCAAATAGATGTCCTAAAATGCACATGGTGTTTCGTTGCTCCACAGATCTATCCATCATTCTAAAAATACGGTTTATTTTAGAGTTCTGTATATGGCCCATAATTTGTGTTTATGTTAGTGACGGGAGAGACAATCGCATCGGGGTTGGTCTCTCTTGTTCGTATTTATTGTATTTTTAATTTATGTAAAAGTTTCGTCCCTGTACAACTGCGATATATTATAAGTAGTTTCAAAATCACAACCATTCCATAATTTCCTTAACTAACAATCGACGATTAGATACGTGATAACCGAACTGATGCAGAGCGACTTACATAAGATTATCGTTTCACCACAGCAGCTCTCGTCGGACCACATAAAAGTCTTCCTCTACCAGATCCTCAGGGGTTTGAAATACCTGCACTCGGCGCGGATATTGCACCGGGACATCAAACCTGGAAATCTGCTCGTCAACAGTAATTGTATTTTAAAAGTACGTATAGGTATTATATATTTGTATGATTTATGATGACGCGTTTAAATCTACCGGACACGACGATAACGGAGTTGTAGCAGTTTTTTTTCTGCGCGTTTTGGCCTAAATATATACGAGTATTATAATATAACGTAAACCTAGACTCTAGAGAACGGTTTATTAATTTCACGCGCGAGTTCCTATTGCATTGCACGCACGCGATTTCGTAGAATTTTCAGTAGTTTTTCTGTCGTAACTTAATTAAAAAATATAATAAACTGTACGTTCTACTAATATAGAACGGTAGAGTACATGTAAATAAAAAGCGTTATTTTTCTTCGACTTTTCCGAATTCAATTTTAAATTAAATATCTATTTGTTGTATCTTATTATTTGTAAATATTTATATTATAATATAAAGTATGTATATATATATATATATATGCATACTCCACAAAAATTTGTTGAGTAGATTTTATTATAAATGTATTTTTTTTTCAACCACATTACAATATGACAAACAATCGCCGCTGCTTGCCAGGTGAATCGATTTTTTTTTGGGAAGAAAGTTTTTTTTATTAATATTATAGTGTTGCGCGTTTGATGTTGAAACCAATCGTTTTTCCTATAAAACAGCGTACCACTTATACAAAATGACACTAAGTGTAATATTTTATACTTGATATTAATACGTTTACTTTGCGCGCACACGTAATATAGATATGCGACTTCGGTCTGGCTAGAGTAGAAGAACCGGACGAGACCAAACACATGACACAAGAAGTCGTAACCCAATATTACAGGGCGCCAGAAATCCTGATGGGCGCCAAACACTACACCGCCGCCATAGACGTGTGGAGCGTCGGTTGTATATTTGCCGAGCTCGTTACTCGGCGGATACTGTTCCAAGGCCAAGATACGGTCCAACAAGTAAGTCGTGTATTTAATATTTATATATATTATAATACTGTACATAGTAGTTGTACATTTTTATAAATTGCATTATTCGGAAACCGGAAACCTGTGTTTTATTATGTGAATATTACAAAACAATACATTATACATATCTTAAAATCCAAGCTTCATCCCCTGCAAGGTCAGTTACTCCTTTTCTCATCCGCCACATCCCCCTGTCTATCACCATTTTCTCGTCTACTTCAATTAATATATTCTCATAATACCTCCTCTAAAGTTATGTCTTTGACCCGTATCTTCCCCGGCTTCTTTATATAGATACTCGTACCCGTCGCTCCTAGACTGTATCTCTTGCATACTCTAAAATTAAACCCGTGTTAATTCTATAGAATCGTTGTATTACATTATTTTACAAAATCGATGCGATTTTTTATTTCTCTTGTTCGATTTTTTTTTGTACTTTTCAGTTCTGTTCTCTTCAAAAATCACAAATACTTCGTTACTTAACCTATAATCTAACATACTCTTTCTGTTTTTGTTGCAGTTGGAGCTAATAACGGACTTGCTCGGCACACCGACCATGGAAGATATGACGCATGCGTGTCCAGCAGCTCGTTCCCACATGCTCATAAGACGTATGAAGAAACCGTCCATGTCGCTGTTATACTCTCTGTCCACGTTAATGACGCATGAGGCGGTTCATCTGATATCTCAGATGCTCGTTTTTAACCCGGTAAGAGCATTATGTTTTAGAATCTATAGATACCTCTAGACTGTATACGAACCAAAAGATCTCTTCATACGGTTGTTTGTTTTTTTCGGTTTTTCACAGGATAAACGGATGTCCATCATGGACGCGTTGGTTCATCCATACATTGACGAAGGCCGCCTTAGGTACCACAGTTGCATGTGCAAATGCTGTTTCACAGTATCACTGACGGGTCTCCGGCATTTTTGCATGGACTACGAACCGGTTGCACCGCAAACATTCGACGACAAATGGGAAAAGAAAATGTCAAACGTACAACAAGTCAAAGGTTAGGCTCGATAGCTATTTTGTAAAACACATTATATCATATACTTTAAATGGCAATACCAGAAAGTCACTGGAACGAACTAGCTATTTATTTATTTTTTTTTTTTTTTATTAATTTAGCCAAAAAGAAGAACTAATTTTATGGTTTTAAACCAATTTTGTTTTAGAATAATAACGATTTTTTACTAATTTTTGACATTTTAAGAATACCCACCAAATTTAATTGGTTAAAATCGAGGCAAACATATAGCAGTTTAAAGTATTAAGTTTAGTAATTATATCTTTTATAAATCACTTAAATTATATTGCCATTTACAGTATTTTAATTCCAACTCATGTCGTCGTTTTATCATTTTTATCACGACAAGACGACGTTTATTTCATATTTTGGACGATTTGCACACCTCCATAATTAATATGGTCTTTTACAGAGGAACTTCACAAGTTTATCGGTGACCAGCTAAGCAGTCATCGTGTGCCGTTGTGTATAAATCCCCAGTCGGCGGCATTTAAAAGTTTCTCGAGGTAAGACTGTGAGAAACATCCGACTCTTCCGAATCACCAAATAAACTACACCTCGACTAACCGGTACGGTTTACCTAATAATATCTCGGTTTAAAAACAAAAAAAAAAAACGTACCTATCTATTTATCGTAATAACTAGAACGATTGTTTTTACCGAGAGAGGGAGCAAGCGAATAATAATTTTGAAGCTAACATTAGTTGCTTCTTCTGTTAAAAGCCAGATAGTAACTAGTTAAAAATTTACTTTTTCCTATATTATAACTTAATGCTTTAACATTTTAGATTCTGAATGGAACGAGGAATATATTGGTTTTACAATGATATTGATTTTTTTTTTTTGATTTTTTTCATGTGATCACTTTTTCTACCAGAAAACATACTCCTATTATCAAGTATAGCACCCTTTCTGAAAGTAAATTTTCTCTGGGTGTTACTTTAGAGAGGTCATTTTTTAAATTCTTATTAATATTCGAGATAATGGGGAAAACCTCGGTCTTTAAATTAAAAAAGATTAAAAGTTTAAAAAAAAGTTGTCGTTGGCAATCGTTTTTATTTATTTTTTGTTATTATTATTTTAATCTTTTTTAAACAATTTTTGTTGTCATGGAAACGCACATTGTTTTAATCATTTTATCAAAATATGACATAATACCATGTATTGTATTGCTGACAAATCAACATTATCAATTGAACTCGGCTCAGAATCGTTTTTTGTTAGCAGTGGTTTATCATTACTTACAGATATACATTAAATCCCCAACATTAACTTCCCAACTTCCCACCTACAACGAGGCTGCACCCACGTGCAAATTATGTCCGTCCTTTTTCAATTTATTTTTATCAGTAACTTTATTTTACAATTTAAAGATACCTATACTTTTGTCGACGTATATCTTATGTCTGTATGAGCATCCAAAAAAACTTGGCCGTGGGTAATTATCGGTTCTATTTAATTTATGACTAGCTTCGATAGCGTCACTTAATATAACAACTGATTATGAATGAAACGCTATGGATATACTTACTATATTTGTTTTGTTTTTTAAAGACATTATTTATATCCATAGTTCTCATATTTTTAGCTACGTACATTCGTATAATTAGGTGGGTAGAAAGTAAATATGTTTAATTCGGTTCGTAATTTTTGCGTGTATACGTACGCCAATTAACTGTTTTTACGTATATATAAATTTAAAACGACCGAATAACGGACGTTTCATCGGTGGTCAAGGTAAATAATAATAATAACGCTATTGAACGTTTCAATTAATTTATTGTTTTGGAAAAATCGCTATATTTTAATTATGACGAACTTTCCCTTATATAGATATACATTGCTTTAAGGTTGGTATGCAAAGAGCATAGAAACTATTATAGCACAATTTCATTGGACATAGCAAAAACAGTAAAAACCCGACAAGTTTTATAGATATTTCACTTGTTTTATTCGAACTAGGCAATGCTAACAAAAGAGTCAACATCATTGTCGTTATTTTTAACGCGATTTGAACATGATTAAGACCACGCATAGTCAATACATAATAATGACGGTAATGTTATTTAGTTGACCCAATTATAATTCATAGCTTACTTCTTACGTATATGCTTTTTAAGAGCCATCCAATACTTTTCTCTATACTATTTCTTGCGTTTCGGTTACTTTCTCTATTAAAAAATTACAGAATAATTTCAGCGAAAACCCATTAGGTAGCCCAAAATTTAAATAAAATGGATTTCCTATAGGTATCTGTAGTTGTCTTCTGTGAAAGAGATAGAGCTCGGTTAGGTTAGACAATAATTACTTTAAGTTGTTCATTTTTCGTAAAAAACAAAAACCAAAGGAGCCCAGCAGTCCTAAAAAAAGGAAAATGCACACAATTCAGGTGTGAATTCATAAACCAACTTATAAATCGAAGTTTTTAAAAACGTCCCAGGATAATTGACGGGTGCGTGCAGCCATTGTTATAAATGGTTTAATGTATACCTGTAAGCAACAATAAACCATTGCTTACGAAAAAACGATTCTGAGCGGAATTTAGTTGATATTGATGCTTTGTTAACAATATATATGATATTTTATAGTAAAATAATTAAATAGATTTTATATATTTTTTTTAATAATATTTGTTTAATGTTGTACCGATTTTCCCATGTTTTATCCCGGTTCTTCACATTTTCTGGGAAGACTCTTGGGAAAATCGAAAAATTACCTATTGTAAGTACCTCGCTAGTATAATTTTTTTTTAAAAACATTGCTATCATTAAAAGTTGGAGCAAAATTGCTGGTGGAAATGTTGTCCACAGAAAAAAAAAATCGTAATATTTTAGTAATATATTTCGTACATTTTCTCGTTTTTTTTCCCGATTTTTTAAATTTGATGAGATAACTCGCGAGAAAATTAAATAATGATCTTCTTAATGTACCCTTCCACGCCGATTTTCTTTCAGAAAAGGTGCTAACCAAATAAATCTGAGCAAGTCTTCTAGTAGAAAAAGTGTTAACAGATTTGTAAAACTAGTAGTTTCGTTCCACTCAGAATCTTAAAAATGATACTTTGTCGGGCCCTCATCTGTCTGCATACGTTCAAAATCGCAGATCTCTGCGTGGATTAGATTGGGTTTTAAAACCGGTATACTGTCATATTTAAAAATATTTTAGAAAAACCATTGTAAATCTACAAATATGTTTCGTTTAAAGGCAAAAACTAAACATTTTAAGGTACTACGTGAATTTTTTTCGCGTGAAAACACATTTTACACCAGTAAAACTCACTCCACTATGAATAAAAAAAAAATTCCATGATGATTACTAAGTTAGATTAAAGTAAACATAAATGCGTTAAAGTTTGCTGAATGTTAATTTTATTTTTCAAAAATTATCCATTTAGACATTTTAATTTTACAAGTTTTGTTATGCATCCCTGTGATGAACAACAATATAATTATTATTTTAATGTCTACTCTTCTTCGTATCGAAGAAGAGGGCTTTTGATTAGGTATAAAATAAGTATAATAATGGGTATATTAAATTTTCTTATCGATTATAAAACATTTTAATAACCATGACGGTGCCTGACAGTTATGCTATTTGTGCGATATCGTTGAACGTTTTATTTGTTGATATCTGTATTTGTTTACTCGTTGTCCCCTCCCACTTTCCTCTGGTATTCGAATAGTTTCCGGAGCTGATAACCGAACTAAATGAAGCATACACAACAAACGTCTTTTGCAAATAAATGCTTTTTGTGTTAGGATTAAAAAATTAACGCATTATATTTCTGCAGTAAGTTACGGACTACGACTATGAACATTGTTTAAAAATTAATAATACTAATTTAACAAATCGATATTCAAATACTTACTAGTAATAGGATATTAATATAATATATAAATGTATTTTAGCACTGTAAAATGTGTACTTGTAATGGCTGTGACTATACAAAATGTATTTAACATTGTATTAATAATAATAACTTATAAGCATGTTATATTAATTTATTATTAACCTGTTCAAAATTAATTATATTAACTTCAAATATATTATGCAATTGGACTTTATGTACAATTTACAAACCTTAGAAATTAACTCAAACCGATTGACAGTAAATAACAATTTAAATAATTATTACTTTTTTTTGCATAAAATAATTTATTATTCAATTTTAAAATTGGTCATTTATATTAGTTTTTCAAAATAATTTGTATAATTTATTTAATGTTGTGGCAATAGCGGTTTTACTTGGGTGTAAACAGCATAATCAGTTATTATTACAACACAATGTTAATTGCGCAAAGTGATTGTTTGTGTTTGTGGTTAAAAGCACACCGCTTAAAGTAACTACTACCAACACCATTAGTTAAGCACGTTATTACATTGATTGAAAACAATGTTTAAATCCCAACTTGGCTGCCACAAAAAAAAAAAAAAAACTTGAAAATCGTTTTTAACAATCAATACAATTTTGTCATTTTTAAAGTAAAATTATTATTAAAAAAAAAAAAAAATGTGCAGTGTCTATTATCACATTAAAATATGTATGCATTTTAGTGTTATTTCAAAATTTTAAAATACATGTATTTTTATTCAAATTTCAAATTGGTTAATTACGTAATAATATTATGTTGTATACCTACGATTGAACAATAATTTTTAATAATAAATTTATCTGGTATGTTTTAGTGATGTTTGATCGGAGCGGACTGCCTCATGTCTTTTTATATAAATATTTTACACATTTATATATATACATGATAACCGGATCTCAAATTGCGTCCCCCCTTCCGAGATCGAGACTGAACGATATGTCACAATGAAATCGAGACAAGACAATTAGAAAACAACAAATATTTATTGTATATAGTCCTGAATATTTTTCTTTTTTTTTTTCTTTTTTTTTTCGTATGTGTAATCCATATTGCTTGATTTTTACCTTATTTAGAAAATTGAGAGCCAAGTGCCCAATTTATATTTTTCATAATTTTTTTTTTTTCAAACAATTTATCCATTTTGAATTATTACAAAATTATGTGCTTTGATTTTTGACCAAATTATACTATATAAATGTAATAATTTTAATACCGTACCTACCTATTTTAAAAAAACTAAAAAATCAAATTTTATTATTACTTTTATTCATCCGGAAGTTAAAAACAATACTTAGTTTTAATACTGTTTGTTTTTTTTTTAGATGTACTAATTAGGAGTAAATTTTAAGAGGAGTATTGTATAATACAATTTTTGTCTCAAATGTGTATTATTAAAAACGTGAAATGTGACAAAATATGATGAAAAATATTTTTTGTAAATAATGTATATACCAATACCAAGAGTGATTTTTAATTTAATTTAAATTTTGTTTATACTGTAAATAACAATTATTATTCATAATGATTTAGAGACGTATTAATGTAAAACGCACTATTGGCGGGCAAACATCACTTTATGTAATTAATAATAGTAAAGTCACTGTTTTTGTAATTTGTACATCCCCCTCTGTATACTTATTATAATAATTGTTTAATTGGCTAATTGATGTAATATTATTGTACTGTGATGTATTTGAAACATTAGTCAATAAGAAGAAATTCATCTGTACAGGTCAGACTGCTGTATAATAATATTTCAACAATTTATATTTTATTTGATTTTTTTTAAAACATAAAATGGTGTATAATTTGTGTGAATTATTACTTTTTTGTTAACATACATATTGGGTGATTTATTACAATTTTATTTTTCTTCTCTTTTAATGATTTATTTATTTTGCGTGTATATAACTCTTGAGTTTTAAATTTTAGTTTTATAAACTCCAATCTTTTAATATTAAATTATGTGTTTGTACATTTTTTTTTTCTTTTATACTTATACTTGCAGTAATTATTTTTTTAAGATCTGTCAATATTTTTACAAATATGTTCCAATTGCCCTAATCACCTTGATATTAAATATGATATGTATAATATTATGTAAAGAATAAGAACAATATCATTATCATTGCAATCAACCATAACATCCGGCAGTATATTCAATTTGTAAATCCTTATAAACACAGAAAAAACCAATTGAATAACAAAAATGGTTGACTATAATTATTTCTTCATTCCAAAAATCCCAAAGAAACTTTTATTATAATATTATTTGATGAAAAATTAGTCATATGAGAACTAAAAAAAAAAAAAAATGTTTTCCTGTTATTGTTTTCTTCTCCCCAGACTAATTTTCCTATTCTGCAGGATTTTGAGATATACAAATAATATTCTTGTCATTGATAGTATAATAAAAGGATGTTTCTCCAATTATGATAAAATAAGAGATAGGTAATTTGTTTTCACTGTATATTGTATGTATATTATTATGCTCAGGTATCCTATTATAAAAAAATAAAACAAATAACACTGAAAAATCAGAATTTAAAATATTATAAGTGAAAAAAAGGTTCATATGGTTGATATATTCATTTTCTGGTTTTTTCAGTTATTAAAAAAAAGAGCTAATACTGGAGACAGGTGCAGTAACTGTTGTAGGTAAATAGTTAGGAAAGTAGGAAACATCAAGTTATTTTAATTATATCTGTAAGGAACGATAAACCATTGCTAACAAAAAAATACCATTTGGAACGAAGTTTAGTTATACATTTTTTAAAATGCCATAATATTGTATTAACAATTTTTCTCAAAATTTGATTTAAATCGCCTCTTATCAAAAAAAAAAAAACAAATACTACTTTTTTTTTAGCTCACTAAGTATAATGAACCTTCTGTTGAATTTTCCAACATTTCTATTTAGTCTAACAATTTTATTCACAAAGTACCTACCATGTAAAAATATGACAAAATTAAAATAACAGCTCAAAAATGGTTTCACAATAGCTACATTTCAAATGCAAAACACGCATGTTAAAACCAAAAGAGCCTTCACTTGCTCCTTTTCGAATCTAAAATGAACTGTTAGATTTAAAATGGTCCTTTTTTAATAGAAATAGTGAAAATGAAAATTCATCAAATTTCCTTTTAAATGAATTTGCAAGTCATTATTGTACAGTTAGTACAGTACCTACTTTATTCTATATTATGTTCATACAATATTACCAGACCACCCCCACCCCCAAAATTTAAGCTTAGAACCAAAAAATTAAATTATTGGTAATTGGTGATACATTTTATGTTTGGACCCACCCCAAAAAAAAAATCATGACTACGTACCTAAATATTACTATATATTTACCACTAAAGATTCGGGTTAACTAGGTACCTTTAGTATTCGATCCTAAATAGATAATTTAATACACAGATAGTTAGCTATATACTTATACAATAGATTGAATTGATCTCGTACCTAGTTCAATAACTTATGTTGAAGAGAAAAGGGTTGGTGTGTTTACTGAAACTTATAGAAATATTAATTCTTTGTTTTTACAACATAATCATCTGGTTTATCAAAAACATGTTGGTATAAGATGTGTATTGAGTATACATTTATGAAAATTTAAAACCTGAAATCATTTTGCACCAGGGATAATCACGACAATGCTCACTCAATTTTCTGATATATTATCTGCTTCTCAAATACTATTTTACCTGTGAAACTATTCTGAAACAATACCCACAAAGTATTTACTTCTGACATCTTAATATAGCGTATTAGCGTGTAGTAACATACAATATTTATGTAAGAAAGTTTAAAGATAACATTGTTATTATTACATACAGTGATGTAAACTCCAAAAAATGCATTATGTACCTACTATCTACCTAATATAATTTCACATTCAACAAGCAAAGGTAAAATATTGACATTTTTATCAACGATTAGTGTAATGATACCTACTTAAAATATTAATATCTCCAGAGGATTTATATGGTTTTCAGGATTTGGCTCGTTATTTCTCACTAAATCAAACAACAAAAACCAAATTATTTTTAACTACCTACTAAATACAACATATGATGAACCTAGTGTAGTCATGTAACATTTCCAAGCACTAGGCCAAACTACATCAAATCAGTGGCTATTTTTGCGTACACTATAATGTCTAAAAAATACATTGCGAAAAATTAAAATGTGCACTTATAATTCACTTATACATACAACTAAAAATTGTATTTAGATTACCTATAAAAGTTAATGAATTTGTATACAACTTAATGTAACTTAAGTCTCTACAATTATTTTTAACAAAATTACAAAAAATTGAAAAAATTAAATAGAGTAGGTACCTAATGCTCATAATGAAAATGTTCTATATTTATAATTCAGTTCAAATTATAATAATTATTACCTAATTTAAAGAAACAAACTGACATACTTCACACAATGTAAGTGGGCAACTGTTGTAGATGAGAAGTTAGGAAGATAGAGGCGAAATTTAATATATATCTGTACACAAAGATTAATCATTGCTAATGAAAAATGATTCTGAATGAAGTTCAATTGAACATGAAACGCCATAATATTTACGATTCTAAAATAATACATTTCGTAATTTTCCCATTTAATATGAAAACCCCTTCAAAAATCAAAAATGGCATCCCAATACACCAACTACACAAAATTTCTTTTCAGAAAAGGTGCTACACATGAAAATCAGAGTAAAATTTCTTGTAGAAAAGTTGTTCAAAGAAAAAAATTAACATCATTGTAGAACCAATACATTCCTTGCTCAACCCAGAATTGTATACACTTTAGATAGAAATAGCATACAGCTAGATTATTTATGTTATTATACTCAATGGTCGAAGTGGAGGGGATACGGGGGATGACATTCCATCACTTATTATAATATACATTTTTCATTTCTCCACTTATTTTGTCCAAAATAATACATCCCCCTTATAATTATATACAAAGATTATCAATTTATTAAATTGGTGTTTTTATATCATGTCATTATAGTCCATAGAATATAGTAAATACTAATGTATAAATAGTATAGTTTTTTTTTATTTATTTTTATACCTACTCTATAATGATATAATGCATACTATTAAAACCTATTGATAAACTGTAAGTGCATAAATTATATAGTTATGTAAATTTATTTTACGTTTCAAATAAAAATATAATTATATTACCTATATCAACAAATAAAACACCAAACTGAAAAACGAAAATGTATACTATACATAAAATTTAATTATAAAAATAAGGTACAGGGCCATAGAGTTTCATCTCCATCTCCAATCACCAGCACATGTATAAGCCATAATATAAGAATATTAAAAATGTTAAGACATCCCTCCACTTATTTTAAGCCACTCGACCACTGATTATACTCCATAGTGTACAGTACTATGAATAGCAAAAATGTACCTAGTGATTTGTTATACTACTTAATACTTATACCTTGTGTTTTAATAAAGTTAAATAGTATGTATCATATGTAATTTATAGTTTAAAAAAATAGATCTTATGTAAAAATGTAATTTTTTAAAATTAACAAAGTTATATATATATATATATATTTTAAACACTGGACTTCTTAGTCATTATAAAAATAAATAAATAAAAAATAGATATAATATAAGAATATATTTTAAAATAACTGGGTTACTTTTTATACTGGAGTCTTTGAGACCAACATAACATAGCTGTTTGTTTTTATGCATTCATATTTTTTTAACTTGTACTCGTGGGTAAATCATAACGTAAGTATTGTCTTGCAGTAATGGTTGCAACACTGGAGACTTCTGAATCATCTTTGTTATATTCATCTATATTGGTACAGTAGATTAATATAATTAAAAAAAAGGTTGAAATGAATCAAAAAATAAATTATAATGTATACAATATTATTGCTAAAGGTTTAATCTATATTTTGGTTTGATATGCAAACACTATTGTATGTAATTGGAATTTGGTTTTATTAATGGAGAAGACAAATACACAGATTATTTTTTAATATTTTTTGAACAAATCCAATAAAATAACATTATTATAGGTATTGGTTGGTAATTTTTTATGGCTTTTATAAAAATCAACTTTAAATAGAACTAATAATAGGTACTTAATATAGCATAAAATAGATATATAATATACAAATAATTGTTTAACCATCATACATTTATTTTAGTTAAACAATTTAATAAAATCATACTATTATCTACAGTCTCAGTCTATCATTTTTAGAACAAAAATTGTGGCATTTAATGTTGGAATTAGAGTTTAAACACAAATAAAGACAAAACAATTTTTGAAGACTGTATGAAGTTGAAGTTTTTTTTAAAAAAGTTGCAGCTATTTAAAAAACAAAAAACTAACATAGCTATAATACTTTTTTGTATTATAACTTTTTAGAGAAAATATTTTCTTTACATTTTGTTATTAGTAATTAACAAAAATAAATTTCTAATTTCAACCAATACCCCACAATTTGAATTCTAAGTAACATAACTTTGATATGTTATCCGTTGGTTAGACTAAGATAATAAGTACGACTATTATCAGTTATTTAAATTTGATGAGAAAACTCCAGAGAAAATCAATTAAACGATCTCTCTAAAAAACCCCCTTCCACCAATTTCCTTCAGAAAAAGTGCTATACTTATATATTTGATCATGTTTTCTGGTAGAAAAGTTGTTCACAGATAAAAAAAAAAATCAAATTAAATAAACACCTTTGTAAAACCATAAGCTTCTTTGCTCCTCTCAAAATCTAAAATACTCATCAGCTATCATTATCTTATAAATTGTTTAAAGTTTTGTCCATTATGTTGTAAACATGCTTCTAAACGTTGTATGACTACATCTTAAGTAGCTGCCATGATTTGTTTGTTTGTCAGTTGTATGCATGCTTCAGAGCCTTTTTGTTTTAAATGCTGGAGACTTATCAGTGAGTCAGTATAAACTACAGTTTTTAAATGTTCTTGAAGAAAAAAATCTAGAGGCCTCAAATCAGGTGAACGCTCCGGCCAAACTATCGGTCTATATGTCCCCATCCAACAAATGTATATGGTGTGGATTAATTGGAGATTCCATAATAGGCCTCTATTTTTATGATGGAACATTAAATGGAAGGAGATTTCGGATTTTCTCTCTAACCATTTACCGCCATTATTGGAGTATTCCATTAGATATTAGGGAATAAAATAGATTCCAAAAAAAGTTAATACTTTCCAAGATAATGACTATTAAATGATTGTTAACGATAAAAGGATTACTCGGTATATAAACATATTATATAGTGTGTTTCATTCAAATGATAACACAAAATATTTCTGTTTAGTGACCTCGGATTGAAATGGCATTTGGTTAGGTAGTGTACATACACAATTACATTTTTTTTTTTTTTGCTAATTGGCTATTTTGCTTTGTTGCTTATGTTTTAGTTACGCCACTGTTACAATGTACTCCGAAAAAAAACACTAAAATATTTATAGTAGAAAAGTTGTTTAAAGACAGAAAATTTATAACAAGACCAATACATTTCTCGCTGTGCCCTGAATCTAAATATAGTACGAATTTTTGGACTATTGTTTAAGATCTTTTTTCGGAGGGGGATTTTGTAAACTTATTTTTAAATTGATACTAAGAAATAAGATATAATTGTGACATTTAGTGGATTATTTCATGTTATTTTAGTGTTATTGAATCCAGCCATCCCCCAAAATTACCATTTATTGGTATTAATCAACTAATTATGAAATACCACTGGCCAAAAGATCAACAATTTTTATGTGAGAAAATAGTCAAAACCAATAAAAATAATACTATAAAACACTCGGTTGTTCGGCAGAATTAATAATGTTGTAGGCACCTAAATAAATATTAAAAACAATTCGATACGGCGATGCTATCGACCAAAGATATTGGCAATAAATTATTTTAATCTCTGTATAATAAACTCCGGCAAAAATTACGTAGACACGTAGTGGCTTACGGCAGCGATACGTTTTAAAAATTACGTCATCTATAGAACTCCAGACGCAAGAACATTACTGCAGTCTACCGTGGTATAAACTGTAGACTAATGATGTTATGAAAATATACGCGTATTCACTATATTAAATTACACAAATAGAAATGATTTGTTATTATTCGAACGATTCGATATTTTGTTTTCTAATACACTATAATTATTTAATATTGCCTATAGTCCTAAAAATATCCGTCTCTTTAAAATTTCAACACATTATTCATAGCACATCACGCAATAGATACACATGCAAGACTACAACATGGTTTTAATATAGGTACCTTAGTATAAAAAATGTCTTTTGATAATTTTCCAATTTTAAGCACGAATATACTTAAGAATTAACGACCCGAATGGGTATTGTATTACACAATATTTTCATCGTCACCAATTAAAAATAATACCCAAACCTTTGTGACAGGACACCTCTAACTATTGCCGTGTAATATAACTTAAAACATAATATTATCATATAGAAACTTAATCCTCTAACTGCAATAACAATTAAAAGACACACGTGTATTCAATATAACAAGTATGTAGATATTTGGTGATACTCACTACGGTTAGTAAAACGATGGGCGAATAATTTATGAACGTCTTCGAAACTTGTTTCTAGGGGTTCATGCATAAATTTGATTCGTTTGACAGCATTCGAACTCCTTTTTTCGCCATCCCCACACATCCAACTTTTCATTGAGTCGTAAGTCGAGTCAAGTTTATCAGTGTTTGGGGCTTTAAATCGCCGTAAATATTTCGATGCTCTGAAAAACTTGTCTAGGGTAACTTTATCACTGGGACAGTGATGATACGCAATCAAGCCAGATGCTTCAGTAAAAGGCCCAACAGCATCCGGTTTTGTCTGTTCGTAGCTATAATCGCACACGAATTTAAGAACATTTTCTCCACAGCTGCTGCTACCACTATCGTTGGCAAATTCAGAAAATTGTTTATGACTGGCATAAAAATCGGACGTGACTTTCAAATTGGCTTCGATTTGACGAGTTAAGTGACCAGAAGTAAGGTTAGAAGTAGAACCAGAAGTAGGTGCTATAATATTTAGAGTGGAAGATTCAAATTTCGTTACCAGGAAATCTCTTGAAGCTTCAAACTGTGTTGCAGTTTTACTGGATTTGCCATCGATGACTGCATTCACTGACAATTTTTCTTTTGGCAGTACGCTGATTTAAATAAATATAGTTATATAAACTCCAGTTTTATTTAATTAATTAAAAAATATATTAAAATAATAATAATCGTTTTATAAAAATACCTCTTTGAAGACACATTATGATTTGACATTTTACTGTCATTAATGGAATGATTGCTCTTAACTTCAGATTTGTGTATTGTCTGCGTTGATGGTTTCCCAAATAGTTTACTTGATAAAATACGTAACGAGCGTTTTTTTAGTCTGTGTTGTAAATAAAAGTATATATTATTACTAAAAATCAAAATTTAATTGCTATTCAAAACTAATAATCATCATATACTCACCGCTCTAATTTATTTGGATTGACATTTTCTTTATTTTCTAATAACAGATCTATTGAAAAATAAAATAAAATGCATATATTTTGGAAAACTAACACATCAGATGATATATTTTCACTGTCTGAGTAATATTATACTTTCATAATTCAATATTTAATTTCAAGATTATTTGCATAAAATATATCCATCGTAAAGCACTCATTATCTCGAAAAATATTAACTTTTTTTGGAATTTGTTATGTAGAACATTTCAGAGCCAAGCAATTTCACAATTTTACTTTTATGTTATATTTTATTACCCTTATTTTCGGGGGTAAAACCACTAACTACTTTTGTATTCAACGGACAACCTATATTAAAAACTCCATAAATAAATGAAGTATTAACTAAAGTAAATTATGGTGATAACATTTTTTATTTTCGTCAATCTGTTGACGAGATATTCCACAATTAAGTTTGGATCAGGGAAGAGTAGTATTGTATTATTATAACGTTGCGCACCATGCCGTCACACAAATGATACTCCACTACTCTCCCCCGACCCAAACTTAAAAGTAGAATATATCTCGTCAACAAATTGACGGAAATCAAAAGTTTCAGTACCATAATTTATTTTAGGTTCTAAGTGGAGCGAAAAGCTTATTTTTTTTTTATCTGTAAATACTTTTTCTACCAGAAGACTTACTCGGATTTCTAAGTGTAGCACTATCTGAAAGGAAATTGGCATGGGAAGGTACTTTAAGGAGGTCATTTTTCGATTTCCTCAAGAGTTTTCTCATAAAATTTTAAAAACCCGGATAAAAAAACACTGGAAAAACGTATGAAAACTGGGAAAATCAGTACAACATTAAACAAATATTATTAAAAAAAAAAATATATAAAACCTATTTAATTATTTTACTATAAAATGACACATATATTGTTAATAAAGCATAACTATCAACTAAACTTCACTCGTTCAGAATCGTTTTTTTGTAAGCAATGGTTTATTGTTGCTTACACGTATACATTAAGTTATCTATAACAGTAGCTGCACCCGTCCTCATTATTCTAGGACGTCTTTTTTACTAATACCATTTATTATGGAATGTTTAATATAAGTTGCCCTTTGAAAATAAAAAGTAGGTAATTGTTTCACTCCCAAAAATTAGGCTGATAAAAAATAATATAAATGTAAAATTGTAGAACTGCTTATTTTTTACATTTTCTGTACAGCAGATTCCAAAAAGAGTTAATACTTCATGAGATAATGAGTGTTTAAAAATAAAAAAAAAATCACCTGGTATACTTTTATACTATAGATATGTGCCATAAAAGTTTAAAATATACCTAGATGTTTTATTATTATATATTCATATCCTTTAGAATAGGTATTGCTTATTAGTTATTAGTTTATTACTTATTACCATTAAAACAAAGACTGTTTTTCTTGTGAGCAATTTTATTATATTTGTCAAGATTTATGAATTTATTATTTTCCAATTTCTCATTTGGTAAAGCATTTCTTGAACATTGCAATTGTATTCTAAAAAATTTAAATATTAGGTGGTTAATTCATAATAGACGAATCGATTAAGTAACTGTAAAAAAATTAAGGTCAGAAGAGAAAATAACTCCCAGATCTTGTTTACGACTAGTTGTTGCTGATTCAATGGATAATTTGATATTGACAATAATTTTAGGGATACATTAATAAATAATACAGGAAAATAATAATAAGTAAATAGAAACAATTTAATTTTTGTCTAGATGAATATTATTATATAATTAATTTTTAAACTATACAATGTGTACTATTATGCATATGCATTTCATTTTATATTCAATTAGATAAAATGTGATAATGTATTCTATTTTATGAGTAGTGTTAAAAATAAAGATCAATATCCTTATAAAGAATAAGAAAATATAAAAATAGTATTACATAAATAAAAAAAAATATTCTATCTTTCTATGATCTATATCCTATAAACATTATTCAATGTTCAATGTACAATACAATGTTTATGAAATATACATTGTCAATGCTCCAAGAAAAAATATGATTGAAATAAAATAATTTTAAAATTGTATTTCTAAAAGAGTAAAAGACCAGAAATGTATAATTATAATAATACTCACGGATCTACAACTTTGATTTGGGTATTATTTGTCCAATATTCCGTTTGCATTGCATCTATGAGTACAAATAATGTTTTATTTCAATTTTTAAATTAAAATGTGATATAAATTTAAAATAAAAATAGTTTACTTTCTCTGAAACAACACTTCTCTGCCAAATCAAATGTTTCAGAGATGATACAAGAATTATCATCAGGTAGGAATAAATCACAGAATATATTGTCATTCATCAACCTTCAATACAGTAATACATTTTAGGCAACAGTTTTTATCTATCAGAGTGTCCTATAGTGTTATCCTTATGCTAATAACTCTCTCAATATTCATTTTTCATTTTTCATCTGGTTTTTTGTGAGGATCGTAGAGAAATTATTAGGCAATGACAGAATTATTAGCAAAAGAATTACACTGTAAGACACTCTGTATAATAAAAATATTTCAATAAATATAACTTACTCATTGTAGGAGAAATACTTATTTAAATTATCTTTATTGGATTTAAAACAGTAATTTATTTTACCTATCATATAATAATAATATAAAAAAATAATTAATAAACAATAAATAAAAAAAATTAATTTAAATTTTACAGCTTTGTGACAACTAGTCATAATTTATATCTCATACCATTGTTATTATTTTTAGTTTTCATTCCTATCTTCATTTTACCGGTAACATTGTGGGTTGCATCTCTACTTTTATTAGCGTGGTTTTTTTTTTTATTATTCTCTTCCATGTGCAGTTTGTTTATGACTTTAAGGTCTTGATCTTGATCTTTTGAAAAGACATTACATACATATTTTTTTATATTCATTTGTGTTGTACATTTTTTCTTTTCATTTTCGTTTATTGAAATTTGTTCCATTTTTTTATAATGCTGATTAAACAAAATATAACAAATTTTAAAAATATAACTTTAATATTTTGATTATACTGAATTCATGTGTTTATTGGTTTTGAAGAATGGAACATTGTTAATGGATATACCTCAGTACTTTTTTTGTGCTCTGCGTTTGTTGACTCTTTAATATACTCTTTGCTATTGTCTAGATTTAATTTTATCTCAATATCAATTCCAACTATGAAGAAAAAAATCAATCATTAATTTTATCAAATTATGAACACATAATACATTAATACTGTATTATGCTAAAACATACTCCACTGATCACTTATTAAACAAACAGTAACTGTATAGTCGGGTATGTGAAAAAAACATTCATTTTTTAACAATACAGTCATATCTATGACCCCTTCTTGTTTCAAAAAATCTTCATTACTATAAAAATAAACAATACTGTTATTTGTACATTAACATAATAAATTGTGTTAACTACATCATAATACTAATGCCTACCATATTTGATGAGCTTTTAGAAGGCAATTTTCAGAATCGCCCACTAAAATTGAGATGGTGTGAGATCTTATAGTTTTTGAAATATTACTGTAATCCATTAAAGAAATTTTTAGAATTAATAATTTTATATATTTGTCAAAAGATACTCGAACTTTATATTTCGGGATTTGTGTAATAAAATCAAGTATATGATTACCAAATGGTGCATTACGTTTCAAAATCTGAAAATATAATAAAAGTAAAATCAAGTGTTGCACTAATAAGAAGAATGTTTCTTGTAATATATAATTAACTATTATACAAAAATTCTAATATAGTATATATTATAATATATACGTAGTTGCTTAAGCCTATTCTTTAATTGAAAAATAAAGTTACCATCAGAAACAAGAGCTGATACTGTTGGAAGTGAGAAGTTGGGAATGTAGAATATAGAAAATAATTTAATTTATATAAGTATGCAACAATAAATCTTTATTAATAAAATTTATTTTAAGTAACGTTTGGTTAAACATCTATTAAAATTCAACAATTTTTATGATTTTCATAAATATTTGAACTTTAAACGCTTTGAAAAAATAATATTGTATTAAACTCAACATTTCCTGACCACTTCAATTTATAAATACTCAGAACAAATAATGATAAATCTGGTGTTTAATTTTCCAGAAAAATTGTATCTATATAGAACAACAAAATAAAAATGGCTCAAATGGCTATAAATAACTAAAAAATTGCCAGAATCTTTTGAAGATTTTACCAGATCTATAAAGAGCTAATAATACATTTTCTTTGAAAATGTCTGATTTTCCGGTTATTGCATACATTTTCCCGGTTTTTCAAATTATTTAGAAAACTACAAAGAAAATAAAAATTTATCACAATGTACTAACAAAAAAAACTCAATTAGAAAAAAAAATTGCACAGTTTTAATTGAATCAAGATATCTGGTAGAAAAGTTGTTTACAGGCAGAAAATAATACATATTAGTGAAACTAATATATTCATTACTACACTCAAAATGTAAAGAAATAATAAAAGCCTATGTTGCAAATAAATATATACAATTATGGTTGTATCCTAAATCTTAATGTTTGTATTGAATGTTTTTAACAGTTGACCATTGCAACCCCATTTATCAACCTCATATCCTTTTCTACGGTGTATTTCCCTCTTGTTCTTGGTCTTCCAAGTGGACGTTTTTATTTATTTTTTACATCAGAAATTTTTTTAATAAAACTTCATCAGCTCTACACACATGGTCCAGCCACTCTAGATGTTTACATTTTAATTATGCGAGTATATTGGTTTTTTCATATAAATCTCTTTATTGTGTCTTAGAAAGGTCATTTTTCGATTTTCACAAGAGTTTTTTCATAAAATTTGAAAAACCGGGAAAAACGTAAAAAAAACTAGTAAAATTGGTACAACATTAAACAACTATTATTAAAAAAAATATAAAAGGTCTATTTAATTAATTAAATGTAGTATATATTGTTGACAAAGCATCACTATCAACTTAACTTCGCTCAGAATTGTTTTTTCGTAAACAATGGTTTATTGTTACTTACAGATATACATTAAATTTCTTATAACAGTGGCTACACCTGTCCCGATTATCCTGAAATTTTTTTTTTTACTTTGTTTATGGACTTGATAAAATATTCATATTTATATCTACTTAATATTTTAAAATATTTTTAGCTTTTACATGGTTTTACGTGGAAACAATTATTTAGCAAAACAAAGATGCTTAAATATTTAATACGAGATTAATTTCAAATTGTAATTAGTGGTGAAAAAAAGTTGAACATAATGAGGAATTTTTTATTTATAAGTAATTTAAGTATATATTTTTAAAAAAAAATGTAAAAAAAAATATGACATTTAAAAAAACAAGTTTAAGGTATCAAACTTCACTCAAAATTGTATTTTTTTTATCAAAAATTATTTTATGTATCCAACCTTCCCAACTTCCAATCTATAAAAATGGCATACATATCAGCAGTATAAGTTTTGTTTAGGAGCAAAACATACATTTAAACATGACATTTTCTGTAATTTTACTCTACACCTATTTAATAAGTTTATAATATACCTACTCAATAATTCAAATTTGCATACCATATGTACTACTCACTTAAATTTGTTTTTGGTTATTTGTGAAAAAAAAATCATTAATTATTATACACAAGTATCTAACATACCAATGTAATCACATCACATTAGCAAATTTAGGAATATTACTAAATATCATTGATTAATTAACCATCAACAGGTATAGTAACATGTTGTAAATTTATCGTACACTATAATATAAGTAATTAATGTATTATTGTTTATTTATTTTTTAAGTTTTCAAATAATTTTTTTTTAAACTTATCACGTGAGTGATTTGACCCACTGTGTCAAGGATAATAAAACAAAAAGTAGAATCCTATATATATATATATATATATGGTGTCATCATCACAATTCCTATGACCATTTATGGGATTATACAATATTATATTGCTACATTGAAAAGTTACTAAAGCTTACTACTAAATATATAGTAATACATCTACTATTTATTGATAAATTTGAAATTAAAAAGCTATAAGAAAATATTTATTTATCTACTCATCTTTTTTTAATTTTTTCATTACATACCTATAGCAACATTTCAATTGATTCAATATTTATTTTAAAAACTAGATACATTGATAACAATATTATTTGCAATATGTATGAGTATGTATAAATATTTTCTTTATTATAAAATTCAATAATATATCATAAAATTATTATTACATATTACATAATTTACATAATCTGTTTACAACTTACCCTTTCTAATTCTCTAGGATCTGTATCACTAATTGATTCCAATGTTGTTTTTCCATTGGAAACTAAAAGTCCCGACAACACAAGTCCTACTCTAGGGATAAGCTTTGAAACATATTCAGATTGCTCCCATAATTTTGTTATTATGCATTTTGCTAATATACATGCTGATCGCGCACTTTCAAACATCGTACCTCTGAATGCAATTTCTTTTAAAGCTAAATCAAATATAATTACTCTTGAACAAATATAATTCGAATTATTTAAAAACACTCTAAAGTCTACCTTTGGTCAATCGTATTGAAATCAATATAATAGTATGCGCGTCTTGGGCTAGTAAACCATTTGAAATTTTTAATGACCCTAGGATTGCTTGCAATAGACTACAAAGACATACAGAAATAAAGATAGAAGTAAACCCAATTAACATATTGTTTCCATAATAATAATACCAATTTATTTTAGTTTCTCGAGTATTTATTCCTTCATCAATAGGAAATCTTATAATATTTGACCTTGATTGTTGATTTTTGTTCAAACTATTTAAATTTTCTTTATCAGTTCGCCTAAATTTAATATGTTCAAATTCTTTAGAGCAAGTTAATATTCTTAACATATCACGCAAACTTTCAGTTCCTTTTAACTAAATAAATTTAAAAACAGAATTAAAATTTAGTTTATAATAAAAACAATAATTTGACCACAGCAAAAATATTATTATTTAAATGTCCTACATAAAACTTTTGAAACATACACTGACTTATTGTTATAAAATTAAAATTGTCAATAATTTGTTTTAAAGGTTATATTTTAACAGCCAGAGAAAGTTTGTAATTACGTGCATAAATTTTACATTATTACCATTTTTAATGGTAATTATTTTAAAATAAATGTGGACATACTACAGAATTTCAAAAAGCACCTTTGAAATATAGGTATAGATAATTTAACACCAAAGTTAATGTCTGTTCTAATCTGACTAAAAATATTTTAAAATTACTCTATCTATAATAATATATTATATAATGTTATACTATAAACATACTTGCATATACAAATTCATTGTTGCAAAACTAATTGAATATTTATTCATTATTTCACCTTCTGGTTTTGAAATTATTTTATTATTTCCATCAAAACAGTTGATTAATCCAGTGCATGCTAATGATTTTATCGACGTTAAACATAAATCTAAAATATGCGATACCATATTTGATTATTTAAAGCTATAATATAAGCTATGAATTATTAAACAAAATGGAAATTGTATGTACTAACTTTGTAGTTTATGTTCTACTTCATTAACATTAAGTGTTTTGATCATTCCATAATTTTGAGGTGATTTACAAGCTCTGATGTACAAAAATGTTGATTGCATCCAATCCATTGCAACTGTAACATTGTTAATGGTACCCATAAATATTTCTGTGTTCAAGTGTTCAATTAGGTTTTTATGAAGATGGCTTTCCAAAAACCGATTGCCAGTCAATATTTGTTTGTATTGATCCTATTTAACATAAACATTCAGTATTTATATATTATATATATTTAATGAAGAAAACAGACCATTTTTTTATTGCTATGATTTTTCACTATTTATAAATGTATAAATGTATTAATATTGTACAACTATAATAATAATAACAAATAAATATTATATATCTACACATGTTTTGTATAAATACTTATACTTGTATAATAAAACCAAACAAATTAAATTTTTAAAATATTTGCCAATGTTAAATAATAATAAACAAATGTATATAATAAATAGTTTTTGAAAATGTATTCAAATAAATAATAATCAACTTAATCTATTAATTGTTGACAATTGAACAAATTTAAACTAATGAGTAAAATACTAATAGACTCAATATTTGTATAATTTCAATAAAATCATTTAACATTTTATAGAAATCAACCAAACTTACAATTATACTATATTTTTATTTATACATATTATATTTAATATTATTACAATATTAAATGGTAATTAATTTTAATATGTAGCTTATTAGGTAATAATCACAGAAAACAATTTTTATCAAAAATCTAATAATTTTTAACACATTTAGCTTTAAATATTTTCAACAGTATATAATACAGAGTTGTCCATGTCATTTTTGTATTGTAGGCACGTTTTTTTTTTACTGGGTTCACTGATCTTTGATCTGTTACAAAATTATTTTCATTCCAATATAACTACACTATACAGTCAACAGATAAAATATTTTTTATAAGCCTTTTCATTTAAATAAATAATATGTTAATGAAATATTTTTTTTCTTATTTTACACCAATTGAAAACTGTTTCAATGGATCTTCATAAAAACAAACAGGTACCCCAAATGTACTGTTACTAATCATTTGATCATCTCATAGTCGTTAATTCAGTAAAAATCTATAATTATTACTTTTGTAATTAAGTAATTATAACTTATACTTTACTTTATAAATAAGAAATTTCCTAGGTAGGAACCTGTATATTTTCTAAGTAAAAATCCTATCTCAGGCTTATTTAATGACTTTACTGGTTTACATTACACATTTACTACCTATAAATCTAAATAAATAAAATTAATACTAATCAATTTTTATTCTCCATTATTTCATGTTTTTAAACAAAAAATATTTAATTGAGTTTCTCGTATAATATATACATGGTTTTTTTATAGACTATTTTTTCATTTATACGTGAATTATTGTACTATGTAAAAAAAAGTTTATTAATATTATAATTTTTTAAAAAAAACGAGCAAAACTAGTTAGAATGACACAATACAAAAATCCTGAGACACGCCGTGAGATTACCGTAAATTTTATGATTTTTCTACAAAACATTTATTACTAATATGTTCTTCACCACAATAACAGATGTAAGTGAGAACTATATAATATACAGGTAACTATGGTATAGATGGAAAACTTTACAATGAAAAAATCATAACAATCACTTATGATACAAGCACGGATAAGACTAAATTTATTTATATATTATTATTATTATTTTTGTGAAGCACATTGTTGACAGAAAGGTGTGTATAATCAATCTACTTTCACAGTAATTCCATGAAAGGTTTTGCCATTCACAAAGGTCAAATTATTATAACCTCTATGAAATATATGAGTATGTATATTTTATACCTATCTAAACCTATATATCTAACATAATACTTGATATAATTCTAATTTAGTACCTATTTAGCTTAAACATAACTTTAAATAAATACCCGTGCATAATATTAAAAAACAAAATTTGTTTATACTATTATAAAAATCAATAAAACTATGATTTACTAAGCCCAAATAGGATATGATATCAATATGCTCAATAAACTATTAAATGTCTTATATTATATTACTATATTAGTTTAGTGCCAAAAAAACAGATTACAGAGTCTATTACAGAGTTATAGTTACCTATATTAGGTCCCACCAAGTAGTGCCACATTTACAATTTTTGATCTCGAGGCCATAAATTAAGGTGGGCAAACAAAAAAGGAGACCTAATACTGCTTATGTGTGGGCTGAAGGGCTGTTATAGGTGGAAAATTTGGAAACTACAATACTTAAAGTTAGGTATTTAATTTATGTATACATAAGCAATGATAAAATATTGCTAAACAATTCTGAGCGAAGTTCAGTTATACCAACATGTTTTGAAATGCACTAATTTTTAAGATTTACATCAAAATTTGATCTGAACTCCCATATTTCCTGTGGTTTTTTTAAGGGTTTTCTAAATTATTATGAAAATTGGTGAGATAATCAAAACACAACTTTTTCACTAACAAATTAAATTTTGAATACAACAATAAAGGTCATTGAAGTTTATTAATTGAAGCAAAATTTCAGATAAAAAAAAATGAATAACCGTAAAAAAGTAAAATAATGAAATCGTTAACGCCTTTGGGTGTGTATATATTTTTTCAGTTTTGTTCAATAATAATTTTGTTTTAGGTTTTTCTAAATTATTATGAAAACCAATTGGAAAATCAAAAAAGTGACTTTTATTTAATACACTGACTAAATGCACAATAAAACAAAAAAAGTCGTTGTTTGGAACAAGTTTTCTGATCAAAAATTTGTTTACTGACAAAAAAACACATCATATAAAAACTAATACATCCATTGAAACACTCAGAATCTTAAAGACCCTTCAAATTTACATAGGCCTTGTACACATATGCACCGCATACTCCGAACATCATGGCTTTGCAGCACTGAGTTCCAAAATAATTATACGTTTTAGCATTCTTAGCAAAAAATATCCAACTATTGTAATATAAAATCTATGAAAAATAATTGAATACATTTATACCAGAAATTTGCAGTTTCATTTTTATAGCTGGCCAACTAGATATTAAATAATACCTCTCATTTTTCTCTATTGTCATACTATAATTGTCCATTATATAATCCATGATCATGTATGAATTTAATTGAAAATCTCAAAATTGATAGTTTACCAGAAAACAATGGTGACAAACCAGCTTTGTAGTTTTCCGTCTTTAACATAATTCAAAATCTCGAGTATCTACTATGTTCTATTTTTTTTTTTTTGACTTCAATTTTGTATCAAACTATAATTCTAAGTCTAGACATTTTCACATTCATAATTTCCTAGTGTTGAATTTATACATATAACTTGTATAGTCAATATAGATTTTACAGATGTAATATGTAATATAGTCCATGATTACATATTGTTTACTCAATGTATAGCGTAGACAATAGATCGTTTTTCATCTATTTATCCTATTACTTATTAGATACCTACTAGTTGGCGATCACAAAAGAGTAGAAAATATTGAATGAATCAGCAAACATTCAATGCATGTATGTTTAAAATATTATGAATGTACGTGATCGCGTCTTTTATTGTATGTATAAATTGCTACCATATTTACACAATAAAGTTTAATTTAAAATAATTACATACACCCGTGAATATGTAAGTATATCTAGGCATATAAATATATCAAATATGTATACAATAATGTTTTTTTCATTAAGAAAATATCTTAAACTATGTTATAATAAGTATAAAACCATTAGATCTATACCTACTGATACTGGTACTTTCCAATAATAAATAGAATTATGAGAGCCCGGAGAGGAGGGACAAGATGGAGAATTACAATTTTGAACATTTTAATTTTTATTATTGTTTAAATAAATATTTCATTGATATTTTGACTTTAGTATAGATTTATAGATTTGAAATTGACAAAGAAAAAAACAATACTTTCGTAATAGACTTCTACAATTATAAATTAAAACAACTTCGCAAGGTTCAAAAATTATAACAATCAATATAAAAAATGTATCTAACAATCGGGTTCAATCTTTACCAGCTACAAGTTACATTTAGTACTTTACGAAGAGTTAAAATTTGGCTTCGGTTTAAGATAGGTGAAGATCGATTACATGATCTATATAAATTACGCGTTCATCATGAAACGGTTAATATTAAAAAAAAATCCATTGAAAGATTGGTTCACAATAGAACAAAGGCGACTTCAGTTTTTTTTTAATAACAAATAAAACAATTCTTAATGTACTTTTTAGATTTATTCTTTAGTTTGCAAAGAATGAACTTTTTTAGATTCTGAGCGGAGCGAGGAATGTATTAGTTTAACAATGATGTTTATTTATTTATTTTTTTTTATCTATGAACAACTTTTCTACCAGAAATTTTTTTCGATTTTAAAGGAGGTCATTTTTTTATTTTCCCAGCTGTTTTCATAATAAATCAGAAAAATCCGGAAAAAACGTTGGAATAGGCAAATGTACGAAATGTATTGAATTTTTTATTTTGTTTTGATTCAGCTAAACATATTTGTAGAGGCTTGAAGTTTCAACAGAAAACTTATATTTGTCTTTTCTAGACGTGGTAAAATGTTCAAAACATTGCAGCCATTTTTAAGCTATTTATGGACATTTTAATTTTTACGGTTAAGTTAGGTTAGGTTTATTTTGGTAATTTTTGTTCAGTAGGTATTAAAATTATTAAACCAAACAGAAATGCAAGAAAATTTAACAGGAGATTCATTATTAGTCGTACTTTGTGGTTAAAAAAAAAAAAAAAGTTAGAGATTAATGTAGAATTTGTTTTATATAAATTTTAATTTTAAGTTTGACGAAAATCGTTTTAGAAAAAAATATTATTAAAGAAAATATATAATACATATGTAATTATGTAATATAATTATATTACCATAATATGACAAATATAATGTTGATAAAGCAACATTATTCACCGAACTTCGCTTAGAATAGTTTTTCGTTAGCAATAGTTAATTGTTGCTTATATTACATTTTCCCTCTACTTTCCAAACTTCTTGTCTACCACAGTGGCTCACCCATTGTGCGAAGTATGTCCGTACTTTTTTTGAATATACTTTTGAGTACCTATCTATATAATTTTATTATGATCTCTTGATAAATTTCCTGCAGGTGCCCATAACTAAAATAGATTTATTTTTATAGATTAGGAACATGTCAGTTGTCAGAAATAGCCAGATGGCCAAAAATTTTAAAGAATGTATTTTTCCATAAAATAAAGAAATTAACAGAAAATAGTTGAAACCCAGAAAACAAAAAGGCTAGAAGAGTTAAAATTTCCGAAAATATATAAACCGAAAGTAAAATATTGAAAAAGTATAAATCCAAAAAGTAGCTTTCCAACTTTCTCGATATCTATTTTCTGGAATATTATAAAGATCTGTAATTTATATGGGCAAGCTTTAATTTCGTACTTATATCAAGTACTTAATACTATGTACACATAAGTACACAGAATAAATCTTATAAAATTGTATAATATAATTTTTTTTTTAAATTTATAAATGCAAATAAGTTCAATTAATCAGTAAATTAAAAATCAACATTTTACCAGATCTTGTTTGGTTTTATCAAATGGAAATCAACAACATATTTTACATAAATCAATTAATTGATTTATTTTCATTTTATAAAATATATTGTTTATCAATTTGTATACACATATAAATAATTAATAATTATGGTATAATGTAAGTATCTATATACAATTATCTATATAAACTAACTAGTTTATACAACATATTTTTAATTTAAATAAAAAATAATTAATTTTGTTTAAATAAAATGCTATTTTTATTAAAAAAGATAATTCAAAAATGTTAACGTTCAAATAATAAAATATTGTAACAACAAAATTTAAAATAATCTAAAATTATAGGGTTAAATTTAAAAATGACGATCACTCAGGTACTACCAAGCAACTTGTATTTTATCAAGAAGGCATCCGTTGGCGTATCTAAGAATGGCAGGTATGTAATTATTACAGAGGTGGTTTGCAATGTTGATTACGCATTGAGTTCAAAGGTTAACATTGCATATGGATACAACAATGTGAAGAAAGCATAACGTAATATCCAATACTAAGGAGTCTCATATATTCTAAGCATATGGACATAGATAATGGATTTAGTTAATAGCACAATTCGAAGATACAGAGTACATAAAGTAAATATAGAAGATAAGAATAAATTTGACAGTAATTACAGTTGGGCTTTTACAAAACTTATATTATAAAATTGTTTCAGTAAATGTAGGCTAATACATACAATATAAAATATTGCTTAAAAAAATTATTATTATAGATTCGGGCTATAAATATATGTGAGAAAGTTTAATAGAAAAAAATATTTATAATTAAAAGTTATAATTCACTCTTGACATTTTTAATATTGTAGACTGTAGACTAGCAATTCTACCATTATACTCAATACATTCCAGCTGTCTAACATAGTTTGTTGATGAGAAAGAAAAAGAAAAAATTACAATACATAGATTCGCATTAAGATTCTATTACCATGTAATATTGAATACAATTGTTTTTTTCTAATGTACCTATTTATTTATTTATATTTATTTTTATACTTTATTGAGTTAGATTTTAATTTTGGTAACTTGAACTCTATTGCCCATTGTTGTAAATAAATATTTTTGTTTTTATTATATTGTTAAAAAAAATAATAATCTTTATTGAGGTATTTAATATTTATGACTCTTGATTTTTGAAACAAATATTTTTTAAGCTAAGCAACAACCAAGTTATGCATACATTATAGAATAGTTATAAAAACTAATTATTGATTAATGGAAACCAATTTTTATTTGTGAACAATTTATAAAAAGTTGTATCAATTAATTAAAAAAAATTAATTCCTCTTTAATCGTATTCATCATTACAATACATTTAAAATTAAACACTATAAAATATATCTATATTTTTCATAGTAAAAATAGAATAGAAAAACATTTTCCCAATATTGTCTAATGTTCTAGAGAAGTAATAAATAATATATTAGCCCAACTGTCTAAATACAAATGTTAAATAGGTTTGACTAAAATCACAAAACCTTCCAGCCACGAAAATATAATGGTGAAAAGATGTTTAATAGACATTTGTAATATTGTGGTCATTAATTTAAATTACAAACTATACACACTGTGTCGATTAGAACACACACAATTAGAAATTTGAAGAAATTCAAACTTAATTTTAAAAAAAATAAAACAGTAGGTTTGATTGTATTAAAATATAAGTGTGCTAAAAATTCCAAAATTTAGAAAATGTAGTTGAATTACTAAATATTGTACAAAACAATTTATATTTTATTCAGAACATTATTTATAATATTAACCAAAAAATATGCTTATAGAAATTAATTCATTGAAATTAAAACTTTTAACAAGTACCTACCTAACAAATCTATTTTCTGATATAGTCTGTTATATATCAAAATACAAATTTTTAATTTTAAAAAATTGCTGACACATTTCAAAAGAATGAACAAATACCGAATAAATAACCATACATATATAACTTTTAATGAATTTTAATCTAAATAGATTTAAGTATTATTTTTGTATTTATAATCATTAATTATTCACTAAAGTATAAATTTAAAAGTTATATAATAATTCTATATTTATAAAGAAACCAAATAAATAGTTAAGATTATTTTGTTGATTTTAAATAAATAATTAAAAAATATATTGGTATTTGTTCATTCACTTAAATAAAAAAAATATTAAGACTCAATTTAAAAAAACAATATTATGTATACTCGTATTATTAAAATATCCATTCATTTAAAATTTATATTTATATATATGTAGTTAGGAACTCGTACTTTCCTTTGAGGGCGGAGCAAAATTTTGCTTAAACTCTAAGAGGGAATGAAAAATGAAAAGGGAGAGGTTTGTATTTAAAGGAGACTCACAGCGACAAAAAATTAATTCTGAAGATTTGAATTTGGTGTAAACCTTAGTAGATATATTTATTTTGTTTGTGCATCAGAGCACTAAATAAGTATTTTAGTCTTCATCGAAGTTTTTTTTTTTTTACATTTTCATGATGAACATTAAAGAAGGAGCATTTTGTATTGTTTTATTTACATGGATAATGTTTGTCCAAGGTCGTCCTCAAGGTGAATTAATGGTCCAAACTTCAGAAAAACCAACACCCGTAAGTACTTAGATCTTCATTTTATTACTTGTAATTAGTATTATTATTTAACTATTTAAAATATTATAATTTCAAAATAATAGCAACTAAGAATAATATCTAAGAAGTATCTATTTAAAAATAAAATTATTTAATAATGCTTGTCTTTTTATTTTTACCTATATACATTTATTACAATAGTTCAATAACTACATACCTACATATTAAATTACAACGAAGTATAAGAAAATACTTTTATAAAAAAAATGTATTACAAAATAATTTAGTTGCAAATACACCTAGTGTTATATTAATCCTTAAGGATAGAATAAAATATCAAATTTTTAGTTAAAAATAAAAATATAGTATTTCTAACTTAATAGGTACCATGTTGTTTGAATATTATATTTTTATTTTTAACTAAAAATTTGATATTTCAAACAACATGGTACCTATTAAGTTAGAAATACCTTAATATACCTATTTTTAAAATTTATTATTTTTATTTTACCTTCTAGTTTTAATAAGATTAATAAGTAACCATTATAACACTGTGTACCTACTTATTTATATTATAGATTATTGTAAACAGATGTAAAACTATGAATAAAAAAGAAAAATTATTATTTAATTTTTCAAACTAAATACAGAATAAAAATGTAATATATAATATTAAATATATTATAAATCACTATAAATAAATTACCTATACTATGTATAGTATATATATAGTTTACATTGTATCATTTTAAAAGTGAGCTAAACTGTAATAAGTATGTCATATGACTAATATGCTAGCTAGTAAAATATAATATTGTTTCCAATATGAAAATCAAAACTCTTTACAAAAGATGAATACTTTAAAATTAAAATGCATTAACCATTTAAATACCAAAATTTGAGGAAAAACATCCTATTTAAACTCCAGTTAATTCTATATCACTACAATAGGGATAATATATTATTATTATTTTCTTTTTTTGCCTTAGTAGTTATAAAACACCAAATTAAATTTCATAATACCAGACTAAATAAATGGCTCATAAATTATATATGATATATTACAAATTATTATATAATAATATTTATTTCATATTTTTTTAATTTCTTCGGGTAAGTATTTTAATATTTGCATTTAAGTAACTTAATAACCTAATAAATATTGATATTATAATTTTAATATGAACATAGAAACAATAAATTTAATTTGATTTTTGTTCAAAATTTAAAAAAAAATATTTGTTTATAATTGAATTTAACTAAGTTTGAGAATTTAAAAATAATTAATGCAATTAATTCTCATTTCAAGTATGAATACCAATACAAAGTGGAAGATCAACCAAGTGGAAATTATTACGGACAAAACGAAGTTGGAAAAGATACAGGTCGTGTAGAAGGATCATACTTTGTGTATCTTCCAGATGGTAGACTCATGACAGTATCATACTATATTGATGGAGAAAGTGGTTTTGTACCAAAAATCACCTTTCAAGATAATGCTAGTCCATTTAGCAATAATGTATCAAACCTTACAAGATAAGATAAAACAATTATAATTATCTGTTTTTTATTTTATTTTTGTTGATACCTACATTTTTCATTATAAATAATTACAAACAAATTTTATATAATAAATAGTTGTTTTAATTTACAACTATGCATAAATAAATATATATTTTTTTATAATAAAATGTAGTATTAATTTTTAATACAATACTCAATTTAAAATATATATATACATAAAGTTATCTACTCAGTAAACAACTAATTTGTTTTGTACATTTTAGATTACGAGCATAGCGATGGAGCTATTGGTTTTACAATGATGTTTATTTCTTTCTTTCTTCTAGTTTGTGGACACGTTTTTTCCTAGTAAACTTGCTTCGATTATAATGTGTAGCAACTTTTCTGAAAACTCGAATTGTCTATATTGTAGTTTAAAGAGGTTAAATAAAAGTACTTAGGTGGGAAAAAATGTTGGAAAACGTACAATTTCACAATTTCATTATTTTGTAAAAACACAGAAGACATTTTCTATCAGAAAAAATGATTTAATTGAAAAATCACAAGACACCTTTTTTGTTGACTTTTAGATTTGTTTTCTTAGGGTATCATGGCCAAAAACTTTTGAGTTTTTAAAGAATTTTAATTTTTTGAAGTTTTTTTACTGTATAAATTTCCCCATTATAAATACACGTAGAGGCTTGAAACTTAGTAATAATAATTATATTGGAATTACCTAGACCTGGTAAAATTTCCAAAATCATCAGACCAATTTTTTTTTTTTTTTTATACGAGTTTTAAAATTAAATTTTAAAACGAAAATTGCAAAAAAAAATTACGGCACTTCAAATTATGTATTACTGAACTGCGCTTAGAATCGTCTTTCGTCAAGCAATGATCTATAATTGCTAACAGATATAAATGGAATAACTTTATGTATCCTACCTTCCCAAATTTTCACCTATAACAGTGGCCGCTCCCATACCCAGTATCAGTTCTTTTTTACATTTATATGTGCATAGCATTTCAAATTATACAAGGTTAAATTTTATGTGTTGACATACCAATGTCTGTAATCAATAACATATCATTTCAAATATTGTGTTTTATTTGTGTTTAAAATTGTTATACTTTTTTAAAAACTAATCTGTTTGAAATCAATAAATTATTATTTTGTGTACTTATACATAAACAGTTACTAAAACTTTTTATAAAACAAGGAATTTATTTAATAATTTATTGATAATATTTACACCTTAAACTTTTATTCAATTCGTATTTTTACACTAATGTGGTGTATGGAATATTACTAGGCTTTATTTAACCATAAAATAAATAAAATGGTTCTATTTTTTATGTAATATTTTGGAATTTTCTATATAAGTAGAAGCTAAATTCAATAAAATATGTGTACTATAAACAATAAATTATATTATACCTTTGTTGATTGTTTCGTCATGATAATAGCAGTAGCAGAAGTATCAACTTGAGGTCTCCCAGCTCTTCCAATCATTTGTAATACTTGACATTCGTTATATTCTTTATAGCAGTTGAAAGTATAATATTCAGTAGATTTTATTATAATCAACTGTGCCAAAATATTAACTTTCATCGCTATAGTAAAATAATTTCCATCAATAATATAATCTACAGAACGTATTCACTAAATATATGCTTGAAAATACCTAGTGTACTAGTAGCAACAAGAATATTTAAACAACCAACTTGAAATAAATTTTCTATACAGATTCTTTCTTGAATTGTCATCCCAGCATAGAGACAACCAATACCGTGTTGTAGCAAATCTATATTATATAAAATAAAGATTAACAATAAACATACAAAATAAAATACAATTTGCTAGAAACCACACAAAGGAGTCAAAGAACATAAAGTAAATTTTATCATTTCATTTACTCATATTTCTATTATTAAACCAAACCAAGGCCTATAGGTAGGTATATATTCAATTTTCAATATACCAATTACTATCAAACATAATAATTATGACATGCAATTAAATACAAGTAAGCACATTTGTATACCTATTTGGAAATCCAAATAATATTAATGAGGTAGGCAATAGATTGTACAGTATTCTTACAAAGTATTTGTACAATACTAAGAATTATTTAATATAGTATATATAACCCTTATTGTTATACCCTATTGATTTAATTTATAATAAACTATAATGAGTTTATAATAAATCATTTGGAATGCAAATTTAAATAAAATACGAGTAGGCAACTTAAGAACTTACATATTTACTAAAAATGTATTGGTTTAAATTAGGTATGGTTTACAGATATTTAATAGATTAATCCCTTATATTATAATTATACGTATTGATATGTTCCTATATACCTACCTATAACAAATTCTTAAAAATTCGTAAAACATAAAAATAAATATTCAATAGACAATACATGAAATATCCAATTAAGGATAAAATATATGTGTGTTTTTTTTAATAAATAAAGTATAATATCCATTATTTATACTTTTACATAGAAATTTTACATAGATATACAGGAAATAAATATAATAAACTATAAATACCTTTGATTGTTTTATTATATATTTCCTTTGAAATTTCATTAATATGTCTTTGTTTATCCTCACATAATTCAATTATTTTAGTATCTTTTACTAAAATACTACAAGTGTATTCAACACTCTTTTGTGTACCACAAAATATCTACATTTATATTGAAATATATATTATATATTTATATAAAAGTTAAAATGTCAGTCAATAAAAAATGTATTGTTTTCTCACTAAGGTGGATTGCCCATTTGAATATTGTCGTATTAATGATTTGAGTTTATGAGTAAGGTCTAAGTCAAATTTGAAACTACTGGTTATACATTTGTAGTCTAATACAATTTTTTTTAATTTTACTGGTCTTTCATCTTCATTACTTCTATGAAATAATTTATTATCAAATTTAATTAATATTTGAAATCTTTTTTTTTTTATTAATGTTTATTAATAAAAATAAATGTTACAATTTACTTTAAGTAACATGCTGGATTATTTTGATCAATACATAACCATTCTGCAAGGTCTTCAATATTTGATACTGTAGTGGATACAGCCACAAAACGTAATGTAAAATCATTCATATTTGTCTATATAATACAATAAATAATACATACCTACCTGTTATTTATATAATATTAATAATATTTGTTTATATTTACATGTTTTGGTATAATTTTCATGCGACTGACAATAGTTTCTAATGTAGCTCCTTGGTCAACTTCATTTATTAAATGTACCTTACAAAAATGTACATAGTCATTTAATTTAATACAAATAATAATAATATTTAAAAATAACTATACTTCATCAATCAAAAATAATTTAACTGTGCCTAATGTGTATTTTATATCTTTGCATTTTCTCATCAATGAATCCCATTTTTCTAAAGTAGTTATTATCAGCTGATTATTATTGATCAAATGCATATCTTTAGAAAAATCTGTATCACCAGTTACTTCAGTACATTTAAGGCCATGATTTGAAAATTTATTTTTCCAATCTTTATAATGCTCAGAACATGTTGCTTTAATTGAGGACACTATAATTGAGGAAAATAATTATTTTATTATTATAATAGAGTATTATTAATACAGTTAAATTAATTTTAATCCTATTTAGTAATAATTTTAAGTAACTACAGTAAAAATATTATAATGCATAATAAATTAATAATAATAGCTTAAGAACCCAAATAAAGAAAAAAAAAATACTTTTTTTCAATTATAGAAATAATATATAAGTATTACTTACCATAAATAATTTTCGAATTTTCTACACAGTTAGGAAACTTTTCTAAAAAACAAACTATTGAAAATTCGAAAATAACTTTTTTTTCTGATCCAGTTGGTAAAGATACAACTAGTGACTTATCTAGAAAATATATAAATACAATTTGCTGTAGTGGAACACTATGAAAACACCACACGCCATGCTACTACACAAATGATACACCATTTCTTTCCCTTAAACAAAACTAAAAAGTGGAATATCTCGTTAACTAGTTGACGAAAATAAAAAATATCAATGAAAAAAATGTTTTTAACTAACACTCCATCTATACTCCATCTAGGGAAGCAGAAATTTTGAGTAGGGGAGTTGGCAAATAAAAATAAAATAGTAATGAATTAATCAATAATATTAAAATTTATATTCTTTGCATAAAAAAAATTGGAACATTTGTTTGATAAATTGTGTACAGAAAATCACTTAACTTAAAAACTTAAAAATATTTATTCATGAAAATGACCTTAAAACAATTTATTCAAACATGGAAATTATTCTAAGAATATTTATTTGTACTCTAGTCACACATAATTCTGCAGAAAGATTATTTTCATAAAAAAAAAATAAAAAATTACGAAAGATTGACAATGAGCCAAGAATGATTGAACACGTTAGCAATATTATGGATTGAGAATGAATTAACGATAGAACTGGAATTCAAAGATGAAATGAAAACATTTGGTGAAAAAAAATCCATAAATATATTTCTGTAAAAATATTGTATATAATTTTTTTAGAATATGTATATTTTAATTTTTATGTATTTTATAATTTTGAAACATCTAAATAAGAATAACTTTAAATGTCTAATATATTTATATAATAATACACTTATATTAAATGTATTAGTATTATAAGTGTCGGATAAATCAGCAAATTAAAATGTTCTGTGGAAAAATAGATAATTGAGTTAGAGAATCATGTATAAAACACAAAACTGGGAACCACTGTACTAGAGGGAGCAGCCAAAAAAAATTAGCCTAAGGGCGACAAAAAGCTTGATACACCACTAGGCTGTGTATGTTAAACTATTAACTAAAATAATTTATGATAATAAAATAAATAAGTACCTGTATACAAAAGAATGTCAATTGCTTGAGACTGTATTTTATTAAAATACTTAAAATTTGAAAATATATGTCTATACTTTTCAGCTAAAACAGTCAATCAAATAATTTATATTACTATATTTAACTAGGTATATATTATATTATAACTAAATACCTATAAAATAGTATGTAGAGTTAAATTCTACAAAAGTGTGATAAGACTGACTATGTTGTATGGTTCGGAGTGTTGGGAGGTAAATATAAAAATAAAACAGTAAATGGAGTATATCAGAGATGAGAATGTTTAGATAGAGGAGTGATGAAAGAAGACATGATAAATAATGAAAGTATATAAGAGATAGCTCAGGTATGGCTTCGATTGTAAACAAAATGAGAAAAAATAAACTAAAATGGTTTGGTTATGTCATGTGAAGAGAGGAATCTAAATCGGTAAAAATTATAATGAACATATGATTCAAAACCCCCTCTTTGATCTTGTTCTGTCTTCTTCTTCCCCAGAAAAAGACCAAACAAAAAGTTTGTTAAATGCAATTAAAAATGATACAAGAACAGCCATTTGTTTGTTTTGTACTTGAGCTGCCTGTCTAGTGTCACTCCAATATAGGTATTTGGGAGTCTGTTCATATTTGAAATTACTATTGCAGAACACGATCTTGGGTTGGTATTTGACCAGACGATTGTTTACGTAATGAGGTGACAGGTTGTAACCACAGTTTTATCTACGTTTTATTTTATTAATAATGTATAAGATCATTACTATTTTAAATATGAGTAGGTACTAAACATAAAATTGTTGATACTGCTAATGGATGGAGTTTTTTATTAGGAAAGAAATTTTAAGGGAAAATCTATAGAATAATTTAAATTATAAATATCTTTATTTTAATTACTTTGTATATATTTGCCTAATTTTATAACTAGTCTATGTTTTATGTATTTTTAATTGAGCCTTCACTACAACAGTTTGTTATCATAAAAACAAGACAGATGTGAAAAACTACTTCAATATTAGAAAAACTGTTACTTTTTTGTCAATTAATATATTATACACTAAATATTTTAATTTTTTAAGACTTTATACAATTCTTTTAACTAATTAAGTTCGACAGAAAAGCAATTGATAATATTGTCGAGGACGGCACAAAAACTTTCTGAACCATACGAGATCATTATTACTTTCGATATAAATGTATAAAACATATATTATGTTATAATACCGACATAGGCGGATCTACGGAATCTCCCGGGTGTACCATGGTCTAACCTAACCCCTAATGTAAACATAAAATTAATAAATAATAATAAATATTATGTATACACATTAAATGATTTTGCTTAGTGTTCAGAATAAGTTTCTGAAATAATTATTACATGTATTTTTAACAAATCGTTATTTTATATTGTTAACGAAATCTGGATTTTAAATTTTGAGTGAAATGAAGAAGCTTATAGTTTTACAAAGATGTTTATTTTATTTTTTTTTTTGTGCGCAACTTTTTTCCCAGAAGATTTACTCAGTTTTTTAAGTGTAGCACCTTCTCTTAAAGTAAATTTACGTGGAGAGATAATTTGGGGAGTTCATTTTCTCAGAAGTTTTCTCATCAAATTTGAAATAACAAAAAAAAAACTATGGAAAAACCGAGAAAAACGAAGGAAAACTGGGAAAATCGGTACAACATTAAACAAATATTATTAAAGAAAATATATAAAGCCTATTTAATTATTTTACTATAATATGACATATATATTGTTGACAAGGCATCACTATCAATTGAAGTCTACTCAGAATCGTTTTTTCGTAAGCAATAGTTTATCGTTACTTACAGGTATACATTAAATTACCTATACAGTGACTGCACCCGTCCCCATTATCTTAGGACGTCTTTTTAGATTTTAAATCACTATACCGTACTTATTTAGGCTTCTTTCACATGAACGGGTATCGTATGCGTACATATCATAGGCATGCTGCGTTTTGAATTACACTATTTAAATTGACCATTTCACATGCACGCGTACGGTACACGAGTACTCGACGCGTTTTTTGTAACAAGAAGCAATCTACGCGAGGCAAGCTACGGGTCCCGGTGCGTGACTCGTTTCATACGTGCTTAACTTCTTCCATTTAAACCGAAATAAATTCAATGAAATTCTTAATTTAATACGAGATATTCATCTGGGTGAAATGCTCAAAAACCTGTTGATCCTGAAGAAACAATCTTTTCCCATATTTAGTTTTTCAATTTGGTCTTCATATAGTTAACATGACTAGTGTCATATAAGATATTATAATGTCGGACGGGTTCAATTAGAATCTCTTCCATTACAAAAATCGAAAATATCGAATTAAAATTTAAAAGTTTAAAATTATGTTAGGCCAGTGTATACGTGTATTTTCCATAAACGTGTGGCACGTCTACAGTAAACTGTGTCGCGGACACAGGTTCGGTTCGATTACTTGCAATTTTGAGTTCAAAAATCGAACAGTTCGCAACATCTCTAATTCCTACCTATTGTATAAGAAGTTTTAATTACAGTAGGCACCTATTGCCTACAAAAATTTATTAAAAATATACTTGAATCAAGTATTAGATTTAAGGATGCTTAAATATTAGTACTCGTTTAAAACTAATTGAAGAAAAAACATGAAAATATTTGTGGATGGAACTATATAAATTATAGGTCAATGACTTAATTAGAGTTTTTTCTAGAGGGCGGCAAATTTAAATTATAGGTCTATGATGGAGGGCTATGCATTCCTAATTTTACAAATAAACGCCTCACACTTTTCATAACTAATTTTTTTCTCAAATTTACAAAATACTTTAGTATAAACACTAAAATGTAATTATTTTTATTTTTATTATATTTGTATGGGTTGAGTATTCTTTAAATGGACATAATCCTCTGAATTTTCATCTTCACACGACCTTTTAGCCTTTTAACACGCATTTCATACTACTAACAAAAATTATAAAACTACACTTTAATTTTTTTTTTTTTTTGTGATAAATCAAAATTATCAATGAATACATTAAATAATTAATATAATAAATGTATACCAAAAAGTCATGGAAGCAGATCTATTCCCATGATCGGCCCCCTAAATACGCCATTTTTATAGGTTGATTCTAGGTTATTCCAAGTTTATTTCGTCACTGTGGTACTGTATTTGACAATTATAAATTGTTTAACATAATTATGACATGTATAAATTACAAAATTAAAAATGTATTTATTATACAATATGCAACCTACCTACCTGGTTTAAATTGAATTATGCATGTCTATAAATTGCAGATTGCTTATTGTCAACTTACGTAATTTATGTACTGGATAGTTCTGGTTATAATTTGATGATTTTATAGCTCCATTTTCATTTGCATTACCTATACATAATTTAGAATGTACGTTTAAACCAGTGACGTGCTAACATTTGTTATACTTAAATATAAAGAATATTATAAACTAAATACACAAAACTAAGGGAATCTGTGACTTTTGAATTAGTTAATCAACAACCTACTTAGACACGGCACTGGTTTATTTTGTTAAATAATAAATTGTATAACACTATAATATAACTAACAATAATAATATAACAGTAGGTACATCACAGATAATATACCAATTACTGCAATAAACTAGAACAATTCTGGTTTAGCTAACGTTCAGGAAATTAAATTTTATTGTCTTTGAAATTGTACTTTTCAACGATGCGTGATAGAGAAACCAAAGTTTGGCGAAAAATTTCGAAGTTGTAGCAATTTATACTTTTCAGAGATATGGATATGATGAATACTGCGCAGTGATGGATCGTACTCAACATCTAACATTTCCAATTAATATCTTACTTGTGTACCATCATCACTTATCCGACATCATCATTATTTATTATCACATAAAGAACTGTCACTTAATTTGCAAGTTTCAACTTTTCCAACAAATATTCAAATCTAATATTTTTCCTAATGTTTTTCTTTATTGTTTATTTGTCTGTTGTTAAAACAAATATTATTATTAAGTACAGCACAGTAGGCTGAACACATACTTATAATAGTAATATACTATATAATATAATAATAGTATACTTATAATAATTTATTCAATTAAACTGCCCAGAAAAATGAGCGAGTGGGTAAATAAAATAAACTATGCAATATTTTTTATAACAAAATAGAGAATTATTTATACTAAATTGGTAATTATATTGTGATGAGTTTATGAATATTACGAGTCTCTTTTGGAACAGACTAGTTTTATCGAAAACTACAAATAAAATCAAAATACGAATTTTCTAGTTACAAACTACATAAAAAGTAAAAAAAAAAGACAGACATACTTTGCACATAGGTGCAGCCACTTGTATAGGTGGGAAGTTGGGAAGGTGGGATACAGACGGGAATTTAATGTATGTCTGTAAACAACAATAAACCATTGCTAACGAAAAAAGTGTAGAGTTCAGTTGATAGTGTTGCTTTGTCAACAATATATATATATATTATATTATGGTAAAATAAATACAATATGCGTTTCCATGACAACAATGATTGTTTAAAAAAGGACTTTAAATAATATACTTAATAATAACAAACAAAAATAAAAACGATTGCCAACAACCTTTTATAAACTTTCAATCTTTTTTAATCTATAGACCGAGGTTTTTCCCATTATCTCGAATATTAATTAGAATTTCAAAAATTACTTCTTTAAAGTACCACCTAGAGAACATTTCCTTTCAGAAAAGGAGCTATACTTGATAATCGGAATATACTTTCTGGTAGAAAAAGTGTTCACATAAAAAAGAAAAAAATTTTTTGTAAAACCAATACATTCTTCACTCCACTCAGAATCTAAAATACGAAAATACCAAATACCTATTAATAACCTAAAAAAGGCTAGAATATTTTGAAAAGGTTACCATGTTTACAAAAGGCCAATATAAGTATTTTGTAAAAATTACTGGTCTCCGCAATAATTTTTAACCGAGTAACAAAAAACCCAAATATCGTACATTTTTCCGTATTTTCTACGTTCTCCTCTGGTTATTCGTAATTATTAGGAAAACCAAACTACTTTTATAGTTTCCTACTCACTAATTTACAAAATTTTCTTTCAAAAAATATGCTATTCTTGAAATTTTGACAGTTTTCTGATTCAAAAACATAATCTTACGAATTTAAAATAATGAAATCGTTTTGCCTTAATTTGGAAAAGAACTAAATATTTCATATTTTTTAGTTTTTCCTATTATTATAAAAAAAAAAAAAAAGACGTCCTAGGGTAATTAGATGGCTGCAGCCATCAGGAGACATATTTCTTTTTAGAAAATAAACTACACTTGATACATCGGAGGAAAATTCTTGGTAGAAAAGTTTGCACAACAAATCGAAGCTTTTTTTTCGATTATAATTATCCGAGCTAACGATAGCTAGATCTCTAGGTACACTTATAATGCATTTATTTTTCATTTTTAGATAAAAAGGAAAATAAAATTGCAAAATATTTCTTTTCAGACCCCGGGTTAAAACCTTTGACCCCTAGTATGACAATATGTATTCATAACCATTCAACTACAACAAATGTATAACAGAGTAGATAATACAGAGTTATTTAACATAAACATGTAATATTTACAAAATATCTAAACTTCAAAAAGCTATAATTTCGAAACTTAGACAGTCCGCTCAATTCTGACTTTACCATCCTTATTAAATCGACAATACACACGTTTGAAAAAGAAAATTTAAAAATTTAATTTGTTCCAAATAATTTTTTATTCAAACAATTTTCGTCAAAATGTAGTATCAAAATTCTTTTATAAAAACAAATACTACATTAAACTCAACTTTTTTACCATAAAGTAAGATTTAATAAATCTACTGTTAAATTTTCAAGCATTTCTGTTAAGTCTAAACATTTTACCACAGAGTACCTACCGAATAAAAATTACGTATAAAACTCACAAAATTAAAATGTCTATCAATAGCTCAAAAATGATTTAAATTTTTTGAACATTTTACCACGTCTAGAAAAGGCAAATATAAGTATTCTATCCAAATGTCAAATTTCTACGAATATTTTTAACTGAATTAAAACAAATAACAAAAATTGATAAAAAAAAAAAAAATAAAAGCATTAATTTCATACATTTCCCGTTTTTCTTAAATTTTATCCTGGTTTTCCCAAATATTATAAAAACCACTTGGAAAATCAAAAAATGACCGCCCAAAATTACCATCTTGTCAACATTCCCTTTCATAAATGGTGCCGCGCGTATATATCTGAGCAAGATTTTAGCAAGGTCGAATTTTTATACACAGGACAAAAAAAAATAAAAAATAATAAACATTAACATCTCTAAAAATCAATACATTTTACGCTACACTTAGAATCTAAAATAATTTAGACATCAAAAAATGACTTTCTATGTCAGTAGTTATGTGTTAAAAGAAACAAAATCGAATCGATCTCTTATCATTTTTCGATTAAAGTAATATTTCGTAAATAACTTAAGTATAACATGATGAACACAATGAAAACGGTAACGCCGCGGTGCGCTGTTAATATTTGCTGTTTTATCTATAATTTTCTTTCGGTTTTTTCCAATTATTTCGAAAACTTCTAGAAATATCAAAAAATTACCTCAAATCACCAACAAGAGAAAATTTCCTTTTAGAAAAGGTGTCCATACTTCGGATCAAGTTTTCTAGTAGAAAAGTTGTTTAGACAGAAACAAAAATTTAAGAACATAAGTACATCATAGTAAAACCAAGTCTAAAACTGGTGTAAGCTTTTAAAAAGCTTTGCATTCTTTTCGGGCCTGGCCAGAGCTTTTTTTCACAAAATATTTTGTACCCGATCGAACAGGAATTAAAAAAAAATGTTAGACGAGACCGAACCGAAAAGAACCGGTTCTGGAACCCAAAAACACATACAAATATAAATAATTATTATTAATTATCATCGCCAGTACCTACCAAACCAAAATCTTAGTCTTTCGCGCTAAAGATAGTAAAAAGTTCATCAGTTCACAGTTCATTTAGGCGAATGGTTCAAATTAACTATTCTCAAGTTTACATAGTTCACTGATTCATACAGGATTGTTTAGCAATATTTGGCAACGTGTCATCACTAGATACTAGCACTCATTTCAATCAAGAGGTCTATGGTTAAGATTAGGCACCTACCTAATCACAGTTCAGTGATTTTTGAACTTGGTACAAACTGTCGCAAACGTAGGAATAGGGTTAGAATATAGTTAAAATTACAGTTCACGAACGACCCGAACTATTACGAACTACTGTATATTAAAATATAAACGTAAAATTAATTTATGTTTTGAACTGTAAACTATTAAACTACAGATACTAAAACAGTTCAGAATAGTTTAAATGAACTATTCGTTCGCGAACTTAACATTTTTACCTCGAGTTAAGCACGATCATGCTCCGGCTTAATTTAATACTTCGGTTGCTCTGATCAACAGCCTGTGTATTTAAATTACTATAACTTTGAAACATAAATATTTGAGTTCATGTTTTGAAACTAAATATTTTGATTAAATTCTAATTGCATCATAGTTCTTTTTGAATAGGTACAAAATAGAAAAAATTTTCGTGAGGTTTGGCTAAAATAAAATTGCTCTTTATGTATATAATAATAATATTTAAATTTTATTAAAACTTACAGAACTTTAAATTATGTTCAACTGTATCGAACGTAGAAAAACTAGTTTCGTCTTTAATATAATTTGTTTTGTTGCAGTTCATGTTTGGATAAAACTTTAAAAAACTGGTTATAAAAGCTATTTATTGAAAATAGTATTTAAAAGTCCAAAGAAAAAGACTTAAAAGAAAACATTTATTGATTCATATCACAAAGACGAAACATTACATCACTGCCAAAAATAATCAAAATTTACAAGATATTAAATAATATATATGTATAGAATACAGCATGAATAGTAATTTATTAAGATCTATTAAAATCTTAATTCTTAATGTACACTAGGTATACAGTAGAAAATATAAATGACAAATGGCGGAACTTATTATTATAAAGTGAGGTTAGTTTTAGGTTTTATTGATTGTTTTAGGGTTATGTTTTAAAAATGATTTGTTATTGCGCCAATTTAACATTATCATTTGGTTCAAAGAGACATATTATTTTTTTTTTTTGTTTATCCATAAGGCAATAAAATATAAATTACTCATGAACTTGGGTTTTGTTATAATTATTATAGAATTAAAAACTATTTTACATTGAAAGTAAGTAAATAGTAATGTCAGAAACTAGAGTGTTAGATTTTCCACGATACGCCCATGTAGAAGGCCATACTGACGTTTGTTACTCAGAAGATGGAAAGTAAGTTCAATTAAATCTGCTACAATTAATATTGATTACTATACCTAGTAATATATTTTAAAATCCAACATCATTAATGTAATGATACTAATTATGATGAATACAAATTTACAATGACAGTTTATGTTTAAATAAAACAATACAATTAATTTGAATTTACATGAGTCTGTTTAATTTGCTGAACTGGGGCCACTGACTACTTCAGCTCAATAGTAGATATTGTACTTGTACTCGAAACGTAACAGGTTATTTAAATACAGTAGAATTCATCACATATACTAGACTTCATAATTTCTGGTAAATTATTGCAAATTTGAGAGCAGATTTTTAAAAATATGTATTATAATAATATAACTACCTATATAATTATAAATTTAAAAATATTAATACAATAAATGTCTAGGTACGAATTTAGGACATTTTGTCCTCGACTGTAGAATATTTCCTTCCTAATCTTAGGACACTAAGTTTTGGAAATTATTAACCATATTACATTATGTCTATTATATATACATATATTATAAAAAGAAAATATAATTACTTAAGATTAATAACTTGTATTGAATAGAAAATTGGATACTCGTCTAGTATGCTACCTACCGTAGCTATTTTATTTTATTGTGGAAAAGTACATTTGAGTCATTCCGATAAATAACATATAACAGTTCTACAAAATTATAGCTGAATAGCCACTATAATAACTGATAAATATCCACCAAGACCCACGATAACTTACTTTTAAGTATATTATTTTAGTCTTTATTGTATCTATGTTGTTTTTATTCGTGTATGTGTATTTTTTATTTTAAAATAATATAATGAATAAATCAATCTGCTATTTGTACGGTAATTTAATATCCAATGAGGAAACGTGTGTTAATTATCATCAAAAGAAAAACTTGCTGCCAGAACTTAGTAATTATTCCAGTATAAAAGATGGCTAGATTAGGTTAAATAAATAAATAATTAAGTAATACATTTTTATTAATATTGTTGTTAATTTGTTATTAATCAATAATCAGTAGTTAAATGTTTTTTGGTAGGTAGCATACTAGACCAGTACTTAAGATTGGCTTATAGTTTTATTATTTAAATTTGACCAGTAGTTTAAAATAATACCAAGGGACCAAAAGTCCTACGGTCTATATTGTGGGGACAAAATGTTTATTCATTAATATTTGTAGCCTTTAAGTAATGCTTATGTTGATGGTAGGAAAATAGATACATATTATGTTAACAGTAAATAAGGTTTAAATAATTGTAATGGTTTTACAAGTTTTCTATATTATTTTTAAATATTTATTCAAACAAATGTATTACATTTATATTATCTTATTAGATACTTAATTACTTGTGGCCAAGATGGAGATATTAGGATATGGAACGGTATTGAAGATGGTGATCCTATTGCAAAATGTGTTGGAAGCGAAGCATTTGCTGTACATCAAAAAGTAATATTAATATTTTATACGTAATAGGTGGTAAACTTAATCTGTTAATAATTTATTATTCACCTATATCTTGTTGCTTTTTTAGAAGTAAGAAGTCCAACTAATTATACTTATTTTAGGATGATGTATTGTATGTTGGTGATGATCATCACACACTGGAAGTTTATACATTTCCAGGTGCTGAGTTAATAGATACATTAACTAGATTTACTGCTGCAGTATGCTGTTTTGATTCATCCAAAGACGGTCAACTAATTGCTGCTGGCGGATGGTTATATACTAACAATAAAGTTAAATTAAACATCGTATTTATTTTTATATTTAATTTCAGTGATTCAACTATCCAGGTCATAAATAAAAATACTAAAAGTATATTAAATTTCAACAGTCATAAAAGTCCAATTTTATCTGTCAAGTTAGATCCACTATCTAAATTTTTGGTAGGTAAAAAAATACTGAACATTTTCTTTATTATTAAGGTTGTTAATAAGTTAATTAAATTAACTAATTAATATTTGATTTCCTATTAAAGACTAATTTTAAGTTATGAACTTTTATATACTCAATTTGTTAAGGTGTCATCAAGTTGTGATGGAACAGTAAAAATATGGAGTTTGGAAACAAAATCAATAGTAAATGAATGGACTAACGTAATCCCATCAAGTAACGCCTTCCAACATTCTAAGATTAAATGTACACCAGCATGGGATCCTAAAGATGGAAATTTACTAGCCATACCTTTTACAAAAGAAATAAAACTATTTCAAAGAGGTTTATGGAGAGAACTTTTTACATTACATGATTATCGATTATCTGAACAGGTAATTGTATTCATTCATTAATTAATAAATATTACTATTAGAATCTATACTTAATTTTTAAATTCAAAGTGAAGCAAAGAATTTATTGGATTTACTTATGATGTATTGGTTTTAGTGTGATGTTTATTTTATTTTTTTTCTAATCTGTATAACTTACTACCAAAAATTTTGCTCAGATTTCTATGTTAACTTTTTTTCTGAAAGGTAATTTTTTGATTTTACTAAAGGTTTTCATATTAAATGGGAAAATTTATGAAAATAGATTTATTATATTATTTTCAAATCGTAAATAAGTAATATGTAATATCAAAACATGTGTAACCAAACTCCGCTCAGAATAATTTTTCGTTATCAATGATTAATCATTGTGTATAGGTATACATTAAATTTCATCCTTACCTAACTAACTTTTCACCTACAACCGTGCAAAGTATGTTCGTAACTTTTTTTTTCTGTCAGTGAACCCCTTTTCTACCACAAATCTTACATCAATCAAAAAATTACAAAAATCCTTTTTTTGTTGCATTTTGATTCTAATTGATACATTCTAAAAGTCTTTTCATAGTAATTGAGAAAAAACTTGTAGGAAAAACAACCAAATATTTACAAAGTTTTAACGATTTCATTATTTTAAAATTTTTTATCGGAAATTTTGTAATGTAGAAACTTTCTCTGAAAGAATATTTTGTCATGTTGTTATGTTAAAAAAATCAATTTAATTTTTAATTTTCTGTGTAGTTTGCTTATTGTTAAAAACTAAAAAAATGAAACATTTTGTGGCATTAACAATTTCATTGTTTTATATTTTATATTTTTGTTGTTATTCAGTTAATAATAATCATATATACCTGTAATTTTCACAGAATGTTTATATTAGCCTTTTTTAGACATTCTAAAGTATTAAGAATATTCTTAATCGTAAAATGAAGTGCATTGGGCACTCCACCCTCCCTACACCTGCCCCTAGTTTTTTTAAAAGCATTTTAAGATTTTTCCACCTATAATAGTGTTGGTTTAAACTGTAAGTATAGTTTAAACCTACATAATTCAATAACATTTAATTTTTTTTTTTTTTTTTTTTGTGATACATATTAAAAGAAATGTGTGTTATTTAGAAAATTATATTGTTATTTATTTGATTTACTCATAAAATAAATGTATTTATATTGTTATTGTAGGAGATTACTGTTATGAATTGGTCAAACTGTGGAAGATATATTGCTGCTGGTACAAATATGGGATTTATTTTAGCATGGAATATATCGTCCAAAGTAATTGTATTACACGCAGAGTGTAAGGAACACTTTTCTATACGAAGTTTAGTCTGGAGTCCTAAAAATGGAGAAAATACCTTAGCCTATTGTGATGATCATGGTCAATTAGGTTTAGTTGAAAATGCTTGTTCTGAAGATGACTTCTATAATGATACAGATGAGGTAAAAAGAAATAATATTCAGTCAGGAAAAAAACATTTTCATTTGGATATAATACATTAAATTATCAAGAAATGAACTTGAACATAATCAAAGTTACACCAAGGAGTAGCATTGCCTCACTGGCCGGAATATACCTATAGGTTAAATTAAATAATGAAAATTCACAAAACATCTTGTTGATATTTTCATCATAATGGTTGTTATTTATTGTTATAGCAGGTGATCCATTAAAGTAGTTTCACTCATTATCTCGGAAAGTATTAACTTTTTCCAGAATTTGTATTTTAGAACATTTAAGATACAAGCTGCTCTAGAATTTTATATTTGTTATTTTTTGTCACCCTTATTTTTGGAGGTAAAACCACTATCTACTTATGATTTTCAAATGACAACCTATATTAAAAATTCCATAAATAGATGGATTATTAGTTAATATAATTTTTAGTGATGAAATTTTTGATTTCTATCAATCAAATTTTGGTGGTATATTTCGCTTTTAAGTTTGGGTTGGAAGAGAGTATTGGATTATTATTTGTGTAGCATTAAGGCGCCCAACATGTTAATAGTGCACCACTACTTTCCTTCAATCCATACTTAAAAGTGAAGTATCTCATCAATGGCTTGCCAGAAATCAAAAATGTTAACAATAAAATTAATTTTTACTAATACTCCATCTAAGAACTTTTAAATATAGGATGCCATCTTAAAATCAAAATTAGGTAGTGATTTTACCACCAAAAATAAAGGTGACAAAATATAACATAAAAATAAAATTATAGATATGTTTAGTTTGTGAGATATGATAGATTTTTTATTACAATTGTATTGTAATAAAATTTTGGCCATTGAAATTTGATAAGTGTGCTACAGCTTCACATATGAATACAAATTTATCTTTGGGTACTGTGCTATCTTCTAAACCATTATTTGAAACCATGTGTAGATATGGGTCTCATACAACAACGTACCTATGTTACTTTTCGAAGGTATAAATCTAATTGCATTTCAGGAACTTCCAAAGGGAGAGGGAGTTTTAGGTAATTTCTAGAAAATTATGTAAAGAACTGTCGGCACACACCACTCTAATTATGGTATTTAATATTATTTTTAATAATTATAATATAAAAGAAAATAACCATACAAAATTGAATGCACTTTTTAATTTTTATAATTTAAAAATCTAATTTTCTATGTTCTTTGCCAGATCATCTACCTCTTCCTCAGCTGTTAATAGAGCCCCTCCATGAATGGCTAACATTCTAAGCCCATTAAGCTTGGTCTAAACAGTTAAACAGGTACACTATAGTACTATAGGTATTAATAAATTTAACCATACTTTCTGTTTCTAAATTAAATTCAAAAGAGGTACCTCTGTCATTTTCTTTGCAAATAACTTTTAAGTCTTTTAAAAGACTAAGTCTCTCCGGATTTACAGTAGAAACTGGTAGAGTACACAGTATTTTTATTAGGTGATAGATATTTGGGAACATTTCTTCATTACATGCTCATAATGTTTTTAATGCATTTTTTATATTTTCCTTATTTCGATGCAATTTTGTATGTCTTAATTGTAATTCAGCTTTTTCAATTTCTATATTACAATCAAGATAAAACTGGACCAGTTCATCAGATTCTTTAGAGTATGTTTTAGAAAATAAACACCCAAATCTTAAGAAAAAAACCTTTTCCTAGGACGTCTTTTTATTATTTACCTAACTTAAAAAAGGCTTTAACTACTAAGCATCTATGCAGATAGTAAAATCGCATAAAAATAAAATTCTTTGACTATTTATCTATATTTTACCATAAATAACAAAATTAAGGTACATAGTTTTACAAAAATAAATAGAGTACAGACATGATAATTAAGTTAATGATACAAAATTGCAATAACTAAAGATATAAATATACATAAAGAACATAAAATCTAAAATAAGAAAATATGGGTCCTCATTGACTAATTTTATCATTCTAAAGAGAGGATGTTTAGACATGTAACTGGTTGATAAAAATAGAATAAAGAAAGAATATACAGAGCGGAAGTTTAAAACAGGGTTATGAAAGTCAACAGCCTGCAGCAATTAAGTTTTACTTATTTTGCATAAGCATTGCTTTTATATGTTACCCGGTAGTTGAACTGAGACAGTAGAACGGTATAACATTCTCTTAACCAATCTATCTACAAATTTCCCAGTTCTGAGGAATTATTGGCTAACTTTTTTATGATCTCAAGTTGTATTATAAGATATTTTTCTTTTTTAATTTGCTCATAAGAGATTTACTATAAATTAAACCCGAGTTGTACAATTGAAATTCTGTGGTATATGTAGTATAATTTTGTCTGTTTAGGTATATTTAGGCTCATTATATCAAAAAATATATATGTTAGTAATACATTTTTAAAATTAATAGATATTTTATAATTTCAACAAATTTTAATTTACTGTTTTTTTTGTCTTCAAAAATATGAAAAGCTACAAATAAGAAATACAAAGGTTAAGTTAAATTAACCATTACCTATTTTTAATTTTTTTAAATAGTAAAATTGACTTCTATTTATGTAATAATTATGTTTATCCTGAAACATTAAATTATATACTGTTATCATAATAAATTATTATTTATCTAAATGTTATTTAATTTTCAGATAAATAATGTTGAGCCAAACATATTACTGACAGATGAAGAATCAGGTGACAATGTAATATCACTAGAGAAAATAAAAAGTGAATCTGGATTTAGTAGTCAACTTGGTTTCAAAGCATATAATGATGATAATGCTATTGATATTGATGATGAAAATAGTAATTTATCATTAAAATGTATTCCTCAAACTTTAATTCCAACTGTGAATTTACAAAATCCATTCCAACCTTGTTCAACACCAGTTCACCTTCAAAGACGGTTCATGGTATTTTATTTGTTATTAGTTAAGTACTCATATTTTTATTATCTATCATTTAACATACTAAATAATATTTAAGATTTTTAACGATGTTGGCTATGCTCGACAAACCAACACTGAAGATGAAAATGTAATTGATGTAGATTTCCATGATAACACAATCCATCATGCATTTCGCATAAAAAATGTACTGGAGCATACTATTGCTGCTTTGTGTCAAGAAGCTCTGGTTTTGGGTTGTGAAAGTCAAGATACCACACCTAGGTATTTAATGTAAAATATTGTTAAAAAATTAATAGTTATTATTAATGAAAATTTGAATAGCAAAATGGTTTGTATACTATTAAATCCATGGGATGGAAAACGTGAATGGACTATTGACTTGCCTGATAATGAAGACATCTGTGGATTAGCAGTAACTGCTGATTGGATTTCTGTAGCTACATCAATGCGTTTTCTAAGGTTGTTTACTCTTAGTGGAGTACAACGAGAAATAGTTTCCATACCTGGGCCTATAGTAGCTATAAATGGAACTAGAAACCGTTTAGTTGTTGTGCACCATTGTGGAACACGTGCGTATTTATACTTTATGTAGTGAATTCAAATATTTATTTATAGCTATCAAATTTGTAATTTATATTTTTTTAGCTTTACCTAGTGAACAAAATTTGAGGTATTGTGTTTATAAAATTGATAATGAAATTGAATCAATTTATTCTGGTTATGTACCTTTAACTCCAAAATCAACTCTTAGATGGGTTGGTTTCTCTGACTATGGATCTCTTTGCACCCTAGACTCTGTTGGTACCCTACAAATGTTACTTAAAACCTATTGGACTCCCTTATGTTATATAGACTCTGCGGTAATAATAAATTTTTAGTTAGTTGTAGTTTAAATGTTATACATTTTATTATTTAATAAATATATCTTTTCTTATTTTTGTTAGTGGAAAGACTCAACAAATCATTATTTTGTAATTGGTGTCAGTGAAGCACGTCAAGATGTGCGATGCATTCTTTGTAAAGGATCTTATTATCCCTCTACAACACCTCATCCTTTCTTAAATGAAATATCGTGGCAGGTGATTTTTTCTATTATTTAATAAATTATCCCAGGGGTTTAATTTTGTAATTAATATTTTAGATCCCATTATGTGATATTACTCAAGAAAAAAGTGAATTGGAAGACAAATTTTGGAGATCCCATATATCTCTGTCAATTTTACCTGAAAAAGATGGATCACAATATGATAAAGAATTAAAAACTACCTTCTTAAAACTCTTTGCTGTAAGTATGAAATTTATTTTTTCAAAATCAATTAATTATACTACTATATACTGATTTGTGCAGATGGCCTGTAAGAGTGGTCATGATATGAGAGCTGTAGAACTTTGTAAACTTATAAAATCTGAGCAGACATTAAATTTAGCTTTAAAATATACTATGCTTGCTGGTAATACCAGTTTAGCAGAGAAGATAACAACAATTATAGAGAATGAAACAAATGCAGAAAACGAATTATTAGAACCACTAATGCAGCCATATTCTAAAACATTGTATAATAAACCATCAACTTCGTATAAGTAAGTTTCATTTGTATGATTTTTAACTATTCAAATTAAACTGTAAAAATATAAATACTAATTATGTTGATTCTTCTTCTTTACCTTCATCCCATTTGGATCTGGCACTAATGTTCTAAATTCTCGCTTGACCCAATTACCTCACATGCTCTGGTTGTTCTTGAGTGTCCTCATATCATTCTTCATATTCTTTAATAAAAAAAAGAATGACATTAACTGATTCTAAAAAAAATTTGACTGGTCAAAAGCCCAACCCTACTATAAATAAAATATAACATCTTAATAAACTAAAGGATATACTAAACACTGAATATATTGATAAAAATATAAACTCATACATTATTATATAATATTAATAAAAATTTTAAATTTTTAAATAGCACGAGTACAAGCAGTGTTTCTCAACAATCACAGGATTTGTTTTCAGAAAAATACACTACAAATAATGATAACAGCAATATTGAAGGTACAATTTTAATTTCCTTATAATTACCCTCTTACACGATTGATTTCGTTATTGATAGAAACCTAAACATAATCAGTGAAAATTATTGGAATTTTGAAAACATTAAAAATAAAACTATCTCAAAAAAGATTTAATTACTCTTACGATTCATGGTTGTAAAGAGCTTAAAAAAAACTTAAGAAAACAATAAGGTCTCTAAAATAACTAACAAATATACATTAAATGGTAAATTGAAAATGCATGTCTTTATCGCCAGTTAGAAGTGTACAGTTTATTTTGATCCAAATTAGTATCTTATCAAGTGCCACCGGTCACAAAACCTTTTGAACTTCCCAGGAACCGATTATGTTAACCAGAATTAATGCTAGGAACCTTCCATTGCAAAGCATTTTTTTCTTTTCCAGGAATATCCCACTTTGATGTTCAAATTAAAGACCATTAGCTATTTGTGTGGTTCCCCTATCCTAATTTAACTGTGGAATATTTCACCAACAGGTTGATAAAAATTAAAAGTTTCAATACTACAATGAGTTTAAAATTAAAACCTTATTAGTTTTTGAAACTATTAATGTAGATTGATTTGAAATCAAAAGTAGAATTGTTGTTACCTTTGAAAATATTATTGAAAAAATTAAGGAAAATATAACATTTTAGAATATATGATTCAAAAAAGTCTTTTGACAAGTCATTTTTTGAAAAATAAGTATTTCATGGAAAAACTGATTGTGTAACAAAATCTGTAAGACTACAATTCTGTTATCTTTTTAATAAAATTAATTGTCCATAGAATCATCAAGTATTATAGCTACAATGAAAAAGAAAAAGGATATTGAACTAATGAATGATTCTAATGATTTAGACCGAGCTTTTAATCCATTCCAAAAACGATCTGAAGCACAGGCTAATATTTCTATTGATTCTCCTTTACCATTAAATCAAGTAATTTATTACTTCTACTGAATAATTATTTAACAAATATCCATTAAGTAAATAGACACTTAATGGACATTTGTTAGTCACTAAAAAATACTGTAAAAATAAATGCTGATATTTAATATATTTTGTTATTATTTTAGACTACAGACTCCACATCTTTAAATAACAAAAAAAGAAAATCTAATTTGCATAACAGTACAGAAAACATTGATTCAACAAATAAAACAAAAAAACCCAAAGGTGTTTCCAAACTATCATCTTTTGTTTTTAAAAAATAACTCATAAATGTATTAGATGTATAATTTATTACTTTTTAACTTGTATTTGATTATGGATTGTTGTATGTGTTAAATAAATGTAAGTTTAGTTGTATTGTGTAATTTGATGTGGCAGATTAAAACTGTTTTATAATGAAATAAAAAAAATCCAGAATAAACTAGTTTATGGTACCTTGACCCCATGCACATGTTATTTTGTTACCTTAGGAATAGAACTATAAAAAAAAAATCAATAAGTCATATCAACCCCATTATTTAGTTTTTAAATGGGTATGTACTACATTGCAATCAAGTAATACTGACAACATGTAGAATACAATATGGAATTTAAAATAACTAAATTTTCACCCAAGTTTAAAGAAGAATTACCTCCAATTAACAGACCAACTCGTTCTACTAATAGTCAAATAATAAAGGTAATTAAAAGAAAAATAAGAACAAACTTCTTTATACACTAAAATATTTATTGTTTTCAGAATCTGAATGAATCAAGTAAACCAACAGACTCATTGAACAAATTTGATCCACTAATATTGGTTGCTCAGTATGAAAAAGAAATTAACAAAATGAAAATTAATCACAACCAAATGTTAGAAGAACTACATACAGAGTTAAACATATTAAGGTCAAAAAATAGAGGTATTATTCATTAATTTGTTTTAGTTTTATATTAAATGCTATGTTGTTTAATTGTCTTATTACGGGTAAGTAATTGTCAAACCATAATATTTGTCTTCAATGATGGCTATTAAGTAAATTGTAGATCTTTCACTGATTTAAAATAATTTATTTAGATCTTTTAGATGAATTGATTATAATGAATGGTGGTAACTATTGTTGCAAGCATTTAGAAAATTTAAGTTATGACATTTTAAAATCGAATACAAGTGATAATCAAAAACAATTGAGTGATATACTCTATAATGCTAAAATTCAACATATTGTATCTACTGACGACAGTAAAAATGATAAAAACTACAAGTACCTAAACTTATATTTAAAATATCCAAGGAACTATTTAGAATACATTATTTGATTTATTATTTAAACATTTAAAATGTCAAATAATAGTATCAAAAATATATCAGCATTTGAAATAAATGATGATTTCTAATATTCAATTACATTTATTATTTTTGTTTAGTTGTAAAAAAGAACTTCCAGAAATAATATCAATAAGAAATAAGTTTATAAGTAAAGAGAACTCTGAGAATAAATCAAATTTACCTTTGCAAGATCAACTAAATAAATGCAATAAACTTATTAATGTACTCCAGAAAGAAAATAGTCAACAAAAGGCTGAGGTATTTGAAGTGCCTAATGCTTCACCCTAAAAAATCTAGTACCTTTTTTACTACCATTTAAACCTAAGCTATATTTACTCAAAACAGGGACATTGTGAATATCTTAAAAGTAATATATTTATTTATTGAATAAATAAAATTAGTAATGTCATATTATTGCTATATTATCAACATATTACACTGATATTTATGCAAATAAATAAATTGCCTTAAACTATAATATTATTTAAATTCTATGATTGCTGCTGACATTTCTTTTTTTTATAGCTTAATTCATTGAATGCATTATTAAACAATGGATTGAATATTTCTGGTGTTGGATTGGATCGAGGCTTGATCAGACAAAATTTGAAACCAAGAAAAAAATATATGTCTTCATTATCTCTTCCTACTATTTCTTATCTGGATATTGTCAGTTCAGAGTAAATATAATTATTATTTTTATAATAAGTTTAATAATTGTTTAAAAATAAAATTAATAGACTACTTTATGTGCGACCAATCATTTTTACTTAACAAATATTAGTCTTGTGTTTCTTTATAATACCTAATTGTGATGTATACAATAGGAATAAAACATTCTAAATTGCACAAACTAAATAAATTGTTTACTAATCATGATATTAGATACTTGAATCCTAATAAGCAGGATTCAAGACTTATAGCACTTAAAATTCACAAAAAAGCATATATAAATGATAAAAAACATTTCAAGCAAATATTTTTAGATCAAATGATAGGTTTAAAAGACCCCAGTCTAACAACTTTAAATTATTAAACATAATTTTCACATTTATTATTTTCAAAAATGTATTTTATTTAAATAAAATTATAAGTATTATAAAAAAAAATAACTTTAGATTAATAATTTTTGTAGCATTAAAAAATCATATTTAATAAGTTAAAGTAGTTAGAGGGGGGACATTTAAACCCTTTTATTAGGTCTAATGAAGTGCTGTTTTTCAAGATTTTTTTGATATTTTCAAGTGATTTTTTGTGCATTTAAAGTACACTATATGTCCCGAACCCTGCTTATAAGTATTATCATTTAAATAGGCACTATTTTAATTAAGAAGTAATACATTTTGAAATTAATTTAGAGTATATACAAACCATCTCTGTATAATAATAAAAAGAAAATTGCATGTAATTATGATAACTCTATGTTAATTATATCTTTATTCTATAAAATATTTAAATGCACAATTTTTTTTATTTTCAGAGGAGAAAGTTTACAGTCAGTTCCTGGAAGTGAATAATTATTCATAACAACACAATCTACATACTTTATTTAAGAGTTACCTATTTGATATTTGTGAACATTATCTACTTTCTGTACCAGAAATGGAAATCATAATATTAGATGATACAACTAGAATATTAATTTATTGTATGTACTCATAGAAATATTCAAGTACTTACTTCATAACTAATATTCCTGTTTCATTAGATTACAAAAATTTAATTTAATTTAAAAAAAAAAAAAACATTGTAAACTAAATAAAACCATGTAAAAATATTTATTTTTACAATGTTTCCTCTACTTTAATCAGTTTAATAATTATACTATGTTGAATATTACTCTTTAATTTATTATATGTTACTTCATATAATCATAGATTCCTACATTTAACCATAAGTGGAGCTAATACTGGCAAATCATGGATCAAAGTAACAATAGTTCTTAAATTAAAGGAATAAAACATTTGTACTATAACGTAATAAAAATATACAAACATATAAAGTACAAATTTTAATAAAAAATAAAATGCAGTGTTAAAATAAATATTATAATATTCATTTATTCATTTTTTTCTTTTTTTCTGGAGGTTGTACATATTTGTAAACTTTTTTATCACTTTTATTCATATTATTAAATTTCCCCAAACCACCACCGCCATGGCGTTTTCGCGGACGCATAGCTTTTGCATTCAATTCTACAGCAGGAGGTGTTGTAAATCCAAATGAAGCTGCCACTTTTTTAATATCTAACGTACCAACATCAAATATTTGTTTTAAATGATGCGAATCATAAGCACGAACATACGATTTGAAAGCTTCTTTAGCCGATATGTGTAAGAAATAATTTTTAGCTACAAGTTTTTCAAGTTGTAATTGGATGTCTGATATTTTACCCCAAGAAAACTCAAATTCATTTAATGGTACTTTTGCTTTTTTTAAATATTGAAGGAAACCTAGTTCTTCAGGACGTAAAATTAATAGAGCATGACCACTACTGCCTTCTCCTCGTGCTGTACGTCCGACACGGTGAATATATTCCTTTAAAAAAAAAAAAAATGTATTATCAATACCATCTAAATTCAATAATATACATGTTACAGCTAAAGTGTACATTATCCATACTAGTTGGATAAAGTAAGCACTCAAAATTTAAAATCAGTCTCGTACATTAGCCATTGATAGATGAATAAATGAAGACTCGTTAGAAAATGTATGTTTTTCAGAATATATTTTTTGTGAAAAAGAAATTCAATTCTAGTTCTTTCAAAATTAATTTATTAAAACACATTGTCATTTATAAACATTATATTGCAGAAATCCTCGTTTTACTTTGAATACAATTAAATTTCAATATAAAATAGGTAAAATTTAATATTAGGAAATAAATATCAAATGATTACGATAAATCAGATAACTAGTAGTGAGAGATAGTGTTGTAGTGTAACTATCTTACATTTAGTACCATTGAAAATATAATACAATACTAGATTTGTACATTTGTTTTCTAACAAGTTGCTTCATCCATCCATCAATAGCTAATATACAATACTATAATTTTAAATTTTAAGTGTTTACTTTATCCAACCAACTAGAATAGATAATATGCACTTTAGCCGTAACATATACACACTTTAGGATCATCAGGAGGGTCATATTGAACAATCCAATCAACTAATGGAATATCTAATCCTCGAGCTGCAACATCAGTACATAACAATGTTCCAGTTTCTGCGTTACAAAACTGGAAAAATGTAGTTGTTCTCTTTTCTTGTTTCTGCTTACCCTGTATAAAAAATGTAACTAATTAAATAGACACACAAAATAAATTATAATTCAAATATAATTTCTTACATGGATGCACATAACAGGTAAATCAATATAATTTAATAATTCATGGAAATATTTAACTGCTAAACATGAGTTAAAAAATACCATAACTTTCTTCTTTCTATTTTTTTTTAAAAATGTAAACAATAACAAGAATCGTTTTTCTGATGGACAAACAACATATCCTTGCTCTAAACCTTCAACTGTAGCCTCGTCTTTACTATCGTCAACTCCAATATAAATAGGTTCTTTCTTTAGAGCAAATGTAGTTAATGCATCTGTTTTAGGAGTTTTTGTAGCACTAAACAACATGGTTTGTCTCCGTTCTAAAAATATTTAAAATTAAATTAAACTTTTATTAAGATTTTAATAAAAAAAAACTTGGTAATACTTGGTAATAAATTGATTATTTGCTTTATTTCTTCTTCAAATCCAATATCCAAAATACGATCAGCTTCGTCAATAATAAGACACTGAAGGTTTTTGTACAAAAAATCAGGAGAATTTTGTAAATGATCTAATAGTCTGCCAGGAGTAGCTACAATTATGTTGATTCCTAAAAGAACAAACTTTAAGTTATAATAATACCACTTGTGTATTAAGTTAGAAAAAACATTTTTTAAAAGACATTAATTTAAATTTGTAGTGAAAATTTAAAAAAAATTCACATTAAATTTTTTAAATTAAATTAGAAATGTTAAACTGGTACATTACCATTAAAATGGTAAGGTTTATATCCGTTTGCAATTCATAGGTACAACTAGGGGGGTGCTAGGGGGTGTTTAGCACCCTCAAAAAACCCAATCAGGTTTTTCATAGTAACAAAAAAATATTTTATCCATGTATTTCATATAGTTAATGAGCAGAACTAGATACAAGTTTTCCACTAACGATGCATGTGTGAATGAAATATAATGTTAAAATAATCATGATAGATTTGCATGTACAAAATTGTAAATTTAAGATGTAGTTAACTATTGTAAGTTATTTAAAGAGGATTGTGAAGACATAGACCCCATGGGTCCTTGATATGTTCAAATTTATTAGAGCACCCCCAGTATTGACACGGTCTTATTGCGCTTATAGTTTACATACAAATTGAACTTCAGTAATCAATAACAAAATAAAACTTAAGAGTTTGACATAACATAGATATGTAAATATTTTGTTGACAATTAAAGAATTTTTTTTTTTAAATTTAGTGTCTTACAAGTTTTCTACCAGAAATCTTGAACTAATCATCAACTTCAAGGGTAATTCTGGCAGCAAATGTTGCCTAAAAGATGCAATAAGAGGTTATTTTTTATTAATCATTATAATTTTATTAATAATTTTTAACAAAAAGTAATATTTATGCACTAACAGTTTCTGTTATTTTTCAGTGTACTTAATTCAGTTTTAAAATATTATAATCTTGAAATTTTCACTAAAAATTTAAAACTAATAATATCATCCCATTTTAAAAATTGTAAAATTACTTAGATTGTTTTTGAAATGGGTATTTTATTTTATTTTAATACATTTATGGGCCAAGTTCTTTAATATAGATACAGTAAAGTTTAATTACATATATAATGGAAAAGTACACAAGAAAACAATAGTTCAGAAATTAAAAAATATATATATGCAGATATATTCAATAGTCTTCTTAAAGTGTACTAGGTTTTTTAGTTTTTCTGCAGGTAACATTTGTTGATTGAAAATGTATAACAAGGTTTATCGTAAGTTGTATCTACTTACTGGTAAAAAAAAAATGAAATTTTTGATTTGCGTCAATCTGTTGACGAGATATTTCACTTTTAACTAGTTCAGGGGAGAGTAGTGGAGCATCATTTGTGTTACAACAAATTGCACGGCATTTTAATAATCCACCACCACTCTTCTCCGATCCAAACTTAAAAGTGAAATATCTCATCAATGAATTGATGGAAATCAAAAATTTCATTACCAAAATTTATCTTAATTAATACCCCATCTGTTTAAGGCATTTTCAATATAGGTTACCTCTTGAAAATCAAAAGTAGTATTTGTTTTATCCCAAACAATAAGGGTGACAAATGAATGGTAAAGTAACATTTTAGAACTATTAAAAATATGTCTAAAGTGATGAGCCTATTGTATCTATGCCAGCCGACCCAGTAGTGCATTTATATACTTATTCCATGGCATTAGTTGTTAAAGATCTGCATTGGGTGTGCAAGGTAGCCCTGTAGGTGGACCATTTAATTTTGTATTTCATTATTAACTTTTATATGGTGTGATTATGTTAATGTACAATATTAATGCAATTGAATTAAACAAAGTATTGTTCTTTACAATAATTGTAATTATTGAGAAATAATTAACAAAACTATGTTTCTTAAGTTTTCAAAAAAAATCTTATTATTCAAGAACTAATTCAGTTAAATATTAAATTACCTTTAGATAATTTTGTTGCTTCAGTTTGTCTGTTAGCACCTCCCATTAAAAGGCCATATGTATGATGATGGTGTCTCATCAATTCTTTTAATACACCATACGTTTGCATAGAGAGCTCTCTTGTAGGTGAAATAATGATACACCCTGTGCCATTTCTAGGCATAAATTTTAACTTGTAAATCAATTCTACAGCAGGAATTAAAAAAGCCAATGTTTTTCCACTCCCTGTCTTTGCAGCTCCAACTAAATCACGTCCTTCTAACAATGGAGGTATAGTTTTTGCTTGAATTTCAGTCATCACTGTAAATCCCATATCTGCAATACCTTTCATTGTATTTTCACATACATGACCTTCTAAACTGGTAAACTTTCTGTCTTCGGTCAATATTTTTAATTCCAAATTAGAATCTGCAGGAGCTGTAAAAAAAAAAAATGAACATTAAAACAATTTACCCACAAAATGGATTGTTTAAATACACACGTTTTTTATCCATTTTGTTACTTTCGTAGTTTATAGCATAAATTTATATTTAATGAATTGATGAATTTTAGTTAACATTAAATTTGGTTGAAAAAGACTGTATTTTATAGCTTGTAATGTTTCAATGTTTGTATTTGTATTGTAGGTTATGGCACTATAATACAATATCTACAAGTATCACACACGAGTTAGATCATAGCGTTTTCTATCGACTGCTCTACAGATTACAATTAGTGCACTTACACGGGAACACTGTTACCACACTACACGGATGAACCAGAGAACTACACTACATTGGACTGGTATAAGATAATGAAGTGAAACATGACTTGAATGGTGACACCTATAGATCTTATACTAATAGACACGATATGATTACACCGAAGTTTTCAGAAAATTGATAAGCGGCCAGTCACAATATTTTAATGTTACTAATCTGTATTGTAAAAATATGTTAAAAATGATTGTACCATAGATTAATTATCAAAACCTGCCTATTGCAATAGTGGATTTATTAGTTTATCATTATTCATTATTATTACTATCAAACCATTAAAATCCGCCATGAGTGCTGGCACTGAGCAAATTTTTGTCATTATTGATAAGAACATTAAGGCCATATTTTCGAAGATCGTTGCGCAACCATAGTATCTATAGTCGTGATATGGACCATAGTTATAGATAATAAACTAGATTGCCTACTATCGTTATTGCGTAATGCGGTTATGTTATTTCCTAGATAACATCAGTTTTCACACGGATTCACGGATAAGTAGAATTTAAAACGGCTGTTACTTAGAAACACAGCTTAATAACTTATTTAGAAACTATTCATTGGATATAAATGTGTGATACATTAAAATTTTCAGAAAAATAAACTTTATAGAATGGTTAACTTAAAATTTTCCGAAAATAATAAAATAAAAAGTAAAAAAAAATAAATATTTGTATTTCTCTCCCTACGAGTAATATAAAAAAATCAAAATTGTATTATCTTTTTATCTCCTGTGATATTAAAGAGGTATATCTTCGTGGGACAGCTTGTTTACACTATTATATAAATCATTACAGTATACTTAATCAATGTAAATAGCATGTGTTCTAATTAATTGGATATGATATTTCATTAACTTGGTAATCTAACCGTGACTGCGACCATTAACCATTGAGGATATTCAAGAGGGGATATACGATTATTTGGTAAGGTATAGTGAGCAGACGTACTCTTTTTTGATGTGTTGTCCAAATGTCCTTATCAATAGTGTTAACTATATGAAATTGTACATTTTTTTTAAAATGTTAAAACCTTAATTAAAATTATTTATTTATTTTTGAGAATTAACGCCTAACTGCAATATACATAAGGAACATTATAGCTAACAAAAAAATATTTGAATATATTTACAAATATAACTAAGTTATACAGACTTAAAATATAGAAAATTTAATAAGTTAAGCCTTAAAATAAACTAAGGCAGTATCAATATTAGGGCTTGGAAACACGTGCTTTGTCGCATGCTGAACAAAACTTTTCTTCATTCAACACGATAGATGCATGCGTCACTGAATGCGCTTCGTTCGTCATCGCATGCACTAATCGCAAGCAAAATCACACTAGTGTGGACATACCTTAAGATGAACCTTAATATATATATCACACCGTCGGAGGAAGACCGCTTTTTCTTTAAATTTGTGGTTTTGAGAAAAATCAATTAAATTTAAATTTGAACTCAGGATGTAATTTTTATGTTATTTCGGTGATTTAAACTTTTATTTAACACTACAGTCTGTACTTTAAAGTAGTGTAGTATACGATATTATTATCTTTTTATTATAAATAAAATTTAGATTTATGGCGGTTTTTAATTATATTTTATCATACAATACTGCCACATTTTGGTATAGTACAGTATTACATTGCGTTTAAAAAACAATATTAGCCATAAAACGTAATATGACAGTCTCTAATATTACTTTTGAGGTCACTGGTTATAAAAAATAAAACTGTAAACCATCACAAACGTAATCATTGCAGTTTTGAATATCGAAACCATGATTAATTTAAGATTTAACAGAAAGTTATACACCTATGCTTAGAAATTTGTCAGTTTTATGTTCATTTAAGTGAAAAAAACAAAAAATATTATGCTAACACAAATCCGTGAGGCAGAATTTAATCAAAATAACGTTTGTGAGAGTCTACCATTTTATATTCAAAATTGTTGTGGTTCAGATAATATATCAAACACAAAAGTACTAAATTTTGAGTTATGGTGGTCTTGCTCCAAGAGTGCGATATATATCTTAATTTATGCCTGGTATACTGTAGCGGATACAGTCGACAGTATAACTTGTATGTATCATTATAATGTTGAATACAGGAGAAATTAAATTATAGGAGTGATAATACAGAGGGATTCGGGGAATATCTAGACGTTAAGATATTAGAGTGGTATTCTTAGCGTCTAGACGCTAAGAAGATATAAAGCGATTCGGACAATGTTAATATTCTCAGAAACAGACACAACCGATATATCTGATAGAATACAGGTGAAAATGTGAAATTGATAAATGAAGGGATTCTGTCATTGTCTAAATGCCAGTGTTTTGTGTTTATATACATACAAAAATGGAGCGAATGGAAAACAAATCGAAAAAGTTATTACATCAATAACTCCGCAATCGAATTTTCATGCAATTAATATGATACCTTCATTAAATCGAATAAACATTAGTACAAAATTCGATAAATTCAAAATCTTCTGTTCATTTCTATCACTATGCACTTAAAATTGATATTGTAAAATATTCTTATAAAAACATATTTTTCATTAGGCAAAATAGTGAACGTTTTAAAAATATCAAAATGTGTTTTTATATATATTATATTTGTATGTATGTATTACAATAGTTAGTATTGATAATGATGTAGTTACCTAAACAAATTTCTATTTAAATTTACATTTTACATATTAAAATTAATGAATTAGTTATGGATTCATTTTATAGTGAGGGAAGTTGTTGAATTAAAATAAATTAGAAAAATATGCATAATTGTAGGTATTATTTGTTAAATAGTTGTTTAAAAGTCTATTTATTACTATATAGGTACCTACTGTATAATTATGATAATATAAACTTAAATACACAGTTTCATGAATTATAACCATTATAAACATTAAAGATATAAACAAGTTGAACAATTAGAGATATATAATTAATTAATGTTAAAATTTGAAAGAATTTAGAGAATGTCTAGATATCAGTATATATCTACCTACATACAGTTGTACACAGTTGTGAAACTTCAAATTTTAGATTCTGAGTGGAGTGAAGAAGCTTATATTTTTAAAAAGATGTTTATTTTTTATTTTTTATCTGTTAACAACTTTTCTACCAGAAGTCTTGCTCGAATTTCTACTTCCTAAATGTGTGTTTTTTAATGCTTAATCCATTGGTAAAATTAAAACTTACCAATCATACTTACTTTTGAAGTTGTACAGAAACCTTGAAAAATAGCATTTTTGGAATTAATCCAAAATGTGGTCGAAAATAGATATTTTTTTATTATTATTATGATTTTGTAGTTATTGATATTTTGATAACAAAGGATTTTTATTGAAGTCAGAATAAGTCTGTCTGGCTTAGTTTTCTTTATTATCTACCCAACGTGGTTTTACACAACAAATTGAGGGTTATTTTTAATTAAAACAGTTCAAGCGAGTGCAGCAAATAAGTCACCTAACCAGGTCTCTAGCTGCACCCAAAATGCTTTATGTACAATAACTTCAAAAGTAAGTATGGTAGGTAAGTTTTAATTATAACAATGAATTAAGCATTAAAAAACACATATTTTGGAAAAAAAATTGAAAATTAGCTTGGTCTCTAAACTAGATTTGTTCAGATTCTTCTTTATCATCTTGTTTTATATATGGTTTTTTTATTTCCATTTAATGGAGAAAATAAAATCTTCATGAGTAAAAAAATTACAATTCCTATTTACTAAAGTGATCGAAGTATGTAATAAAACACTTTTTGTAGTACTAGTAAATTATAGCAATTCGGGTTGTTATCATTTCCAAATTGACCTTGCATATGTCCAAAGAATAATTCAATTGCATCTAGGCTAAATTTATAAGTCAAGACAAATTTGAAGCCATGATTGACCAGTAGATGTTTTGCTATATTTATAATTGATTTTATTGATGTGGCAAATCCAATGACAAATGTTTTTCTCTGACTTTTCCATAGAGGTACTCTGTCTACAGTTTTAAGTGAGTATAAATACATTAAGTAATTATTCATTTTATTTTCTTTAAATACTATATTTTCAATATTAATAGGTTGTTTGAAACCTTTCCCAAAAGAATCTTGAATTTAAAAAATCAAAAATTGCATCAATAATTCTATTGAACTGAATTGTTTGTTCACAATTTTTAAAGTTATTTGATGTTTGTTTTAGGAACTAAAGAGCATCTGCCACTGAACTACTTAGAGTTTAAACTACAAGCTTATCTTTCATACAGTTGCCCTTCCAATTAATGTGTGCTGATCCAATTTTATTACCTAATTTAAATCCAGCTTCATTTTGCAATTCAAACAACTGTTCCAAGTATTTCCATTGAATGAGCTGTCCATTTTCATTTTCAAACACTTTAAATGTTCCTAAAACATTTCTTGCTAATTTTATATTGTGACAGACATCTGGTGTAAAATATAAATCTAGCTTTGTTGAGTCTATACACAAATTAGGTTTGATGTTAGAAAATTCTTCATTTAATTTGCATGCTAATATTTTAAAAGTACTTCTATTTGCTTAAGTTCCATCACAAGTTACTCTTAATGCATTTATTTTATAGTTTTGGCATTCAGTTATAGCAATTTGTATAAAGGTACCAGGTGCCTGTACTGCAGATTTAATTTTGTTTATAAATCAATAACCAATCGGCCATTTCCACTTTCCTTTTAAACTTGATGACATAAAAACTAAAACTTCTGTAACTGATGTTTCACATTCTTCAACATTTAAATTATTACCAAGGTTAAAATATCATAACATTTAAAATGCTCGTTTATTTTTTTTTTTATGGGTGTTGGATATAATTTATTTTTAGATAATAATATTTATATCAGATTTGTTTTTTTTTTTTACAAGTAGCTATCAAATATTGTTTATTATTAATTCATAATTATAAATAATCTTATTTTTTTATACAATCACTTTAATTAATGATTTACGTGCATAATTTATTTTTCATATGATATGTTTTTATATATATATTGGTAATAATTTAGTTTATTACATATATCTGTGATAATATTACGTACGATTTGATTTAGAATACCCCCATCAAATGATAGATTAGGTATCACATAGCTATTTAGCATAGTTATATTAGCAACACGATTAAATATATACTCATTAAAGATTATTAAAGATATATTGAAGGTATATAATTAATCGTGGTTAACAATCTAATTTATTATCTATATCTGTGATCACCAATAAAATAAATGGTTCTTATCAGTACCTGCCTACCTGGAATTAATGACACAATTATCATACTTACTAGAATTTAGAAATAGCTATTTTAAAATATATTCTTAGGTTTTAATGATTTAATGTGGGGGTGTACATAATAATAGTATAATATATTATATTTTAACACTCCCTCAAATTAATAGTAGTCACCAGTCATAGCAGCATGTATATGCTTGACGACTGTTAAAAATCACTGTTAGCCATGAGTTAGTCCGGGTCTATGCAATTTTCTCAGAAATTAATACAATTTTAAAATCTAATTTTTTATTAGTAGTCTTCTCATCCAAATAGTTATATTATTTTATTAAGCCTATCCAGAAAAATATTTCTTGTTAGTCACCATATTCCTTTAGTAAGGTAATTGTGTCGTTTATTCCAAGCAGGCAGGTACTGATAAGAACCGTTTATTTTATTAGTGATATAAACGAGTTTTTTTTTTTACTGTGGTTATAATTTCTTATAGTTAATATTTAAGTTAGATAAAAATGAAAATAATATGTTAAAATAAAATAATTCGTTTCGTACATACTCATTTCAAATTTTTTTCATTGCAAATTCAAAATGAGTGCAAAAGAAGTAACTGCAGCTCCAGAGAAAAAGAAAAAAGAGAGTATATTAGATTTAACAAGGTTAGTTAAATTAGTTTAGCTAAACCTAAAAACTTAATTGTATCTAAAAAAATTTAAGATATTAAAATTAATATTTGTTCTTATATATTTACAGATACTTAGAAAAAGCCATTAGGGTGAAATTTTCTGGAGGTCGAGAAGTATCTGGAATTCTTAAGGGATTTGATCCATTAGTCAATCTAGTATTGGATAATACTCTTGAATATTTACGAGACCCTGATGAACCTATGAAGTTAACAGAAGATACAAGGACATTAGGTTTAGTTGTTTGTCGAGGCACATCAATTGTATTAATTTGTCCAGTTGATGGTATGGAAGCAATTGCCAATCCTTTTGTTCAACAAGACTAATATTTTAAATGAATGGTTATGTACCTACCTATAATTTTATGAATTCACTAATGGAAAAAATGCATGCCTCATAGATTAAGTTTTGTTTTATCACTAAATATTATGTTTTTTTAAATAATTAATGTAATGAAATTTACTATTTTATATCAATAATTGATTAAAGCCCAATAAAAACCTTTTTTTATAAATAATACAATTATAACTAATGTTAAATGCAAATTCAGTGTACATTATGTTTTTAATATGTACAAATTACAAACATACATAGGTATATTTAATTTTATTAAACACTATACAATATTTAATCATTCATAAAAAAAATATCTAAATATCTATGTATATTAAAAAAAAAACAGCAGTAAATAACAAAATGTTGCACATGGATTTATGAAATTGATGTATAATTTTATCACCTACACAATGAATTTTTAATAGATATATCTTGTGTCCTAAATTTATATTGAGACTATTTTGTATATCAATTAATAAAATGTAAAATAATTTTGATACCAAGTAAACTTCACTCACTCATTCCTTTAGTTTCCTATCTTTCTTTTTATCAATTCTTTTCAAGAGCCCAATCTACCAATTAAGTATTATAATCTATTTTGAAACAATAAATTAATTATAACCATTAAAGATTATTGATTAATCAAATCATTACAAATGCAATTATTGAGTAATTTTCTTAAGTCTTTCCATATTATTTTGTTTATGTTGTTAATTTTATTAATATGTTAATATTAAGTACAAATTAATTGATGAAATATGTAAATACTGTTAATGCAATTTTCACTGTTTTGAGGGAGATAACATAATTTTAAATATTTCAAATTAGAAATGTTGTAAATATAAATATTCAACATTGAAGATATTTTCTTAACTAACGCCAATTTTTTATACTAGTATAATATATTATAAAATAATTAATAGTTGGTATCATTCTTTAAAGATTACAGTTTAGTAAGAACCATTAATTTAAATACTGTATTGTATACCTATTCACTTTTTATGTGCAATTAATAGAATGATTTGTTATTTAGATCAACGAACTTGACAATCTCCTTTTTTAAAGTCTTAGAACAATTTCAAAAATATCATGTTCACGTTCAAATTTTACGTTTATCATTAAATTATAGAAAATTATTAATAAAAAAATAATAATACTTACTTTAATTTCTAACAGTAACTATAATAGTGTGTACATATTTATGTTAGTGTTTAAAATATGTTGTCAATCATTGAGATATAATTAAAAATACAATATTGATGGTTTTTATAAAATAACCTATTAATACATATTGTATAGGCTATACAATCAAATTATGTGTCATAATTTTTTTTTTTAATTTTCAAATTTAAACCGAGGATATGGTATACCAATGGAATTTACAATATTTATATTTCACTATCTTCATCTACATTAATATTACATAAATTTATGTTTACACATATTACATACATTTAAGAAAAAAATCACACATCAAAACTACACAAGATTTTGTCAATAGAAAAAACGTGCACCGATTACCCATAATTTGTATATACTAAATTGTAGTTTAGCTATAAAATAATGTCTGATTAACTATTATCAATGAGAAAAGTGTACACAAATATAGATTATTAGTTTTGTTTTAAAAACAACATAATGCCAACATCATACTATTATTATATAAATGCTTGTAATAGTGCAAATTTCACATCAATTTCATAATTTAAACTATATTCAACTATGCTATTTTATTACAATAAAATGTATAACAATTGTTTATATGTATAACATAAATACAAATATAGTTTGTATTAGGTATAATAATTTGTGATAAACATATTTTAAAAAAAAATAAAATATTCTTATACTCAATCAAAATAAATAAGTTATGTTTGTAAAATAGAATTTTAATAAAAACACGATCCAAGAGTATAAAAATTATTTTAGGAAACAATTACTAGCGCCTCCAAGAATTTTTATCTCTTCGATCACCTGATTTTTTAAACCTTTTCTTCTTGGGCTCATTTTTAGAACTACCACTGAGCCAAAACCCAGATGATTTTTTTTCATTTTTGGTATAAGGCATTTTTGGAGGAGGTGGTGGCGGTTGGTAGACTGAATTGTATGAAAACTTGGACTGATTATAATTGTTATATTTACTTTGGTCCATGGTCATTGGTGGAGGAGGTGGTGGTGGTGGTTGTTGAGATCCATATTGATTTGGATAAACATCTGATATATAGCCAGGTGGAGGGTATGCATAAGGCATAGGTGCAACATAATTCATAGGTGCTCTATATGGGGTGGGAAAACTAGGTGGAGGTAAACTTCTTTCGGGTTTACAAGGTGATGAAAATTCCTCTTCAGGTATTGGATGTTCAACTGAAGTTACAGAAGAAATTCGTTGGCGAGGATCTCTACATTTCTTTTCACTATCTGCAGCAGCTTTAGAAATATCTTCATCAGTTGAATTCAGATCTTTTGTATTTATAGATGAAAGTATATCTTTGATATTACTAGGCAAGTGAATTTTAGTTGTCAATGGGGTTAGCTCACTTGTAGGACTATACACTTCTTCGTCAGAATCCAATGACTACAAACAAATTAAAATTATCATAATTATTATTATATTAAATTTGTAACAAAAACTTAATTTATGTAAATAATAACAAATATTTCTAAATGTAACATAAACAAGTAAAATAAGTTAAAATTTTAATAATTTATACTACATACAATATGAGGCATTCTAAACAAAACTTAGGAAGATTTAACCTAACCTCATGTCTGATGTGCACTGGGACAACAGGTGAGATGATAGAGTTTTAATAAGAGAAAATCTGGAAAATGTTAACAATAGGTTTGACAAATGGAGAGTAATACTTAAAAGAAAATACCTTCAAATTATTCAACTAATCTTTTCTAATCTTTTTAAATGATATTATTATTATGATCTTTCCAGTTCCTTGACTTCTTCATTATTAATCATATTACCTTAATACAATTAAATTAAACAGAGTGACACTCATTATTTCCAATTTTTTTTTTTTTTTGACAACTTATAAAATAAGTACCTTTAAAATGTTACATTACCATTATTTGTCATCCTTATTTTTGAGGTGAGACCAATGCTACTCACTTTTGATTTACGAATACAATTACTTTTAAGAGCCATTATTTAATATAAATTATCTTGATCAATTTGTTATGCCAAAAACGATTATAATAGGTATTTATATAGGAAGATCAGCTCAAATTTTAAATTATCCTTGTAATATGATCAGGAATAGTATAATACTTATCAAGTTACTTTATTTAAAGCATTTTGTAATTTGGTAACATTTAATTTGAAAGGTCGCTAATTTTATTCAATATTAAATAGTAATCAGGCTTAATTTGCACATACCACTTACTCAACAAATTAAATTTAAACACAGATAAAATATTGTATCATTACATTTTGAAGAGACTGACAATCTAATCACTTAAATTGTTATGAATCAAAAACACTAGTGAAATAATAAAAATATATATATATATATATATTTTGATATTTTTCTTTTTTAGCGTAAAGTTCATTGAAGGTTACATGTAAAGCCACCAAGTTAAGATGTTAAGATTATTTATACTTTAATAACTCTTATGTTAACAAAAGCGGATAGAGTTTGCTTAATATAAATTGTAAACAAGTATTCAATTATAGTTGGGAAACTTCGTGATCGAAGGGAGCATCTTTGTTTTTTTCAGTAAGAAATTTTATAATGCTACCATGGATGATACAGGCAAAAATGTACTTATAGGTTACTTACACCCAATAGTGACATTTGCTTGTGAGATATAATAGACAGCTCAAGGAGATGAGAAGAAGCTTCTCATATTTGAGAGGAAGATGCTAAGAAAAGTATATAGACCAATGAAAAGTGTATTAACTGGGGACTATGAAAGGATAAAAAATAATATCTTGGAATTCCTATATAATAAAATAAATATTAAATGTTTACTTAAAGCTAAGCATCTAGAATTGGGCAGGTTATGTATGATGAGCCGAGGAGAGTATAATTCCAAAAGTACTGAATAACAAACCAATAAACAAACGTCCTAGAAGAAGACCTCAGCAATGATGGCAAGATACGGTAAATGCAGATATAAAAAGACAGACATACTATGCACATAGGTGGACCACAATTGTAGGTGCAAAGTTGGGAAGGTAGAGGGGAAATTTAATGTATATCTGTATCTGGTCCATTTAATTAGGTAAACTCATTATCTTGGAAAGTATTAACTTTTTTCATAATTTGTTTCTAGAACATTTAAGAAACATCAGCTCTACAATTTAATATTTATGTTATATTTTGTAATGTTTATTTTTAGGGGTAAAACCACTATCTTCTTTTGATTTTTAAATGGCAAAATATATTAAAAATTTCATAAATGGAGTATGAGTAGAATACATTTTAGTGTTGAGAAATTTATGATTTCTGTCGAGTTCTTGATGAAAAATTCCACATTTAAGTTTTGGTTAGAAAGGAGTAATGGTGTGCCTGGTATGCAATGATTAACCACTGCTAACCAAAAAAACTATTCTGGACAGAGGTTGGTTAATAGTGTTGCTTTATCAACAATATGTTATATTATGGTAAAATAATTGTATATGAATTATATATTTATTTTAATAATATTTGTTTAATATTGTACCTATTTTCCGTTCCCATGTTTTTCTGTTTATTGGGAAAACTCTTGAAAAAAATAAAAAATGGCCTCCCTACTCCCTAAAGAACGACCCTAGTCAGATTTTCTTTCAGAAAGTGCTATGATTGTAAATCAAAGCAAAATTGCTGGTAGAAAAGTTGTTCACAGGGGAAAAAGGGCCATAATATTTTATTTATACATTTCGTACATTTTCCGATTTATTGGGAAAATCAAAAAATGACACCCCTAAAGTATATATAAAAAACAAAAACATCATTGTAAAACCAATACATTCTTCGCTCCGCTCAGAATCTAAAATAGTAGACAGAACGGCAAAACTCAAAATATGAGACAACTATTGACCTTGATAAATGGAGGAACTTAATAGAAACTACAAAAGACATAAAGCCTATAAAGCATAATAATAATAAAAAAAAGCCAATTTTATACTTATTACAGGGTAGATCATTATTATGCCCTACCCTAGCAATTATTTAAATTACACTACTGAAGTCTAATGAAAAAAGAAATAAATCCAATCAAAACAAATACCTAATGAATGGAACTTTGAGATCAACAATCAAATTACAAAAATGTATGTAATAAATTATACATTTTACAAAGTTTGTGCATCTAAATAATTGAAAATCAAGGTTTACAACATCATTAAATATATATTTTACAAATTCACTGATTTAAATTTGATCTAAGCATCTACAAAATATAGGTACAATACAATACAAATTAGTTGGACTTCGAGGTTAACTCGAAGTTAAAGGAATCTGCACAAATATTTGTTTTATTTTAATTTTAATTTATCATAAACATCTCGTTGAAACATACTGGAGCACTAAATTGTAAATGTACATGAGTGAATAACGTTTCGTAAACCAGTTAAATAAACTGTATCAGTAACTATAACATTAATAACTCTTTTTTGATAGTAATGTGCATATTTATTGGAATAACCTGTATACCACTGATCCTAATAAAATTAGAACTTTTAGCTATTCACGTTATATTCGGGTTGAAAGCAAATTTTTTACAATATTTAAATAAGGACTGAAGAAAAAGTTTAAGGTATTAATAATTTTGAGTTAAACAAGTATAACTGTATTATATTTTTAATTATAAATCAAATTGCCTTTGTTATTTTATTATTTCATTATACTACAAACTTCTAATAATTTTAGGCTAACCAATTTTTTTAATAATTGATCCTTTTTATTACTAAAGTAAAAGCTGGTCAATGTGTATGATACATTCATTTAGGTTTTAGTAAATATGTGTATAAAATACATGCATACATACATACAATTTCAACATATTTTGTTCAAAATAATTTTCATTGAAAGTGTTTCATTATTTTCCTACTTTTACAAATTTTTAATCACATCCTTGGAAATTTAAGGACATATTATATATAAGTCATAAAATATTAATCTGTATAAAAAACTATCATATTCCTGTATGAACCTTTAATACATATTTAAAAACGTTTTTAACAATACCCCACAAAATCAGATGTACAAAAAAAAAAATGTTCAATCCCATTTGAAATATAGAAAAGAACCCCTAAAGTATTTATTTAATTTGTTAACTACACAAGCGCATAAAGGTACACAAAAGACACTTGGTAATGTCAAAATCAATGGAAAAATAGTGAAGTTATAAGTCTGTAACATATAAATAAACACAAAGAAATTATATGAGTTCTGTACCATTTTGACTACAATTTATTTTAATAAAAATTACATATAAATTTAATTCTCAGTATGAACCTAAAAACGTACTAATGCTTCTGAAAATATTATTGTAGTTTTTTGTTATATTTTGTTCTCTATGTTTTTGGTATTTGAATTGTTTTTATTTAGTTATTTTCTTAGTCAGTTTCACCTATTTATTATTTACAACACAGTCAACTCAGTTACCGGTGTTAACCAACATAGTCCTTTCAGATTTACGAAAAAAGGAAAAGCTTATTAAAACAATTAAGAAAACAGAGGATAGGAAGAATTCATTATTAGCTGTAAGATTGGAAGATGTAACAGCGCTTAGTTTAAAATTAAGAAAGCCACCTTGGAAGACAGCCTAAGGTCTAATAAAATTAGGGTCTGATACAGGTAAGTGTTGGCGTGATGAATGGACTAAATCCACTATACCAAACAATATCTTGGTACCTGACCCTAATCAAGGTGTTATGGAAATGGAATTGCCTAGATATGAGTGATCTGTATTAAACTGCCTCCGTACAGACTATAGTTGTTGTTCTGACATGATGCACAAATGGCGACTCTAAGACAGCCCAGCATGTGACTGCGGTAATCACAGACAAATAGTAAACCACATTATAACAGAATGTCATTTGAGGAAATTTAATCAGAACATCGAGAAAATTCAGGCGATAACAGAATTTTAAATGACCTTTACAAAGTACCACCCAGAGAACATTTCCTTTCAGAAGAGGTGTTATAATTGATAATCGGATCAGGCTTTATAGTAGATAAAATGTTTATGTAAAAAAAAAAAAAATAAATATCTTTGTAAAACCAATACACTCCTTGCTCCACTTAGAATCAAAAATGTATACATATTATATTTCAAAGGAAATAGTCATATTAAAATTATTTTTCATTACTACATTATACATCTAGATAAATTCCAATACAAATTTAATTTTAACAACTGTTCAACACATAAGTAATGTGGCATGAACAAGAATTTGTAAACTATTGTAGTCTCCTACATTTATGTGCTATATCAAGTCCCCTACCCTAGTATTATTTATTATACATAACAATAGTTTATAATACAAAATAAAATAGTATACAGTTTACAGGATAAAAATATGAAGAATTTGTTCAAACATATCAAGGATGGAAGGATTCCTCATTTATTACACTAATGAGTTTGATAAGTTAATCTATACTGCACTAATTCTTTTCTTCAGATTATCTTTATTACTGAATAGTAATTAGTTATTATCTTGAACCAGGTTCCAAATAGTTGTTATTTTTTTCATCTCTTGACAGCACAGTACCTCATGGCACTATCTAATAAGATTATAAATGTGCATTTCTTACTTAAATATGAGAAAGTGTTCTAGAAGATTTTTGATTATCTTGACTGGATAAGGTTTATTAAATTCTATTCTCAATACCTATTGGTCATTCACATAAACAACTTATTAAATTATTTTACATACAAGTTTACATACAACATTATTATAATTAATTTGTTTTAATACATTAGTTTAGCTAAATAAATACTTAATAATTAATTATACAAAACTGGACATTCAATCAAGCACTTCACACTATGAATAAGCAACTGTAGTAAACAGGAAATTCATTTTTTTTTTTTTTTTTTTTATTCTTGATACAGCATCAAAAACATATTATTAGGTTATTAGCTTACAACAAGAATAATATTGGCTACATATAAATGCGTACATTGCATTTTCTAAATAGAATTAAAACTGTATAGATTGTAGGATATAATAATAATAATTTATTCAAAAGAAAAATAAAATAGACAGAAGCCCAATAATACAACGATAATTTAGAGATTATATATTAAGGCAGTGATGACCAACTATGACCCGTGATCATTTATTAATCGACCCACCAAAGTATTAAATCAAAATTGAAAAAAAAAGACAGACATACTTCACATGTAGGTGTCTCACTGTTGTAGGTGAGAAGTTGGGAAGGTAGTAGAGAGGAAATTTGATATATATCTGTAAGCAACGATAAACCATTGCCAACAAAAAATGATTCTGAGGGGAGTTCAGTTGATAGTGTAGCTTTGTCAACAATATATGCCAAATCATGGTAAAATAATGACATAGGCATTATGTATTTTCTTTAATAATATGTGTTTAACATTGTACCTATTTTGCCGTTTTTCCCATTTATTGGAAAACTCCTGGGAAAATAAAAAAATAACTTCTTTAAAGTATTTCCCCAGTCAGATTTACTTTAATAAAAGGTGCTATTTGCATATTTTAAGGTACAGGATGAAAAAATCTAAGATTGTTTTACTAAATAAAAGTATTTTTCAATTAGAGAAAAACAAATATTATCTTAACTAATAGTTTTTTTGGTACAATCAGAATCAAAATCTGTGTGTATGTATATTGAGCTACATTCATAATCTAAATTATGTAGGTACATATTATTAGAATCTCAGATGAAAAGTCTGAGGACATAAGGTTGGAAAAAAAGTCCGAGCACATTTTTATATTCTACAATAATAATAATATAAAATAAGTTATGTTTTCAAATATAGTCTATATAAATATTGATCACTCTATAAAAATAAAAATAATAACAATTTTCAGCTTACCATTAAAATTTACTAAAATAGACAGATATTTTTTCAAAGTTTTATTTTAACATTTCCACCGAATACTTGAAAAAAGTTAATGATAAACCGTAGGTCTATGAATATCCATTAATAACAATTTTTTTTTATTTTCTTAATATTGTATAAATATAGTTGAAAAATAATTGATTTATTAGATGTAGATTTATCTAAATTGTATGTAAAAATAATAATATCCCGTTAGATCCTATAGTAATATAAGTCATGTATACTTTATAAATAACGTTAAACTCAATTCAGTTACTTCAATTAAAAACTTAGGAATAACTTCAACCAAAATTTAATATTTTGGGGGCATATTGAGTGTTGTAAAAAAATTGACTCGTGTACTAGGTTTTGTTAAGCATTACTCATCAAATTTTAAAGATTTGCATTCATTTAAGCGCCTTCATTGCACTTTGGTTAGATTCTTTTTAAAATATGGTTCACCTATTTGGAGTCCGTATTCAAAATTCGACATTAATTTTATTGAGCATGTCCAAAACCATTTCTTGAGATTTATTACTTTTAAATTCAATATAACTATCAATAACCATGATTATACTCAAGTTTCTAGACTTTTCTAGACATTCTAACTTTTGCTTCTAGATGTGACCTAGCAAATATTTCCTTTATTTATAAATTAGTCAATGGTTTAATTGATGTGCTTGACTTATCAATAAATATCTCTTTTAACATCCCAGCTTACATACAGTACTTTGTTGTATTGTGCTAGGGTTATACCCTATATTATAGAGTTTAACTCCTCACTTAGAACCATAAAAAAAAGGAAAGAAAAAAGCTTATTGATTAAAAATATAATATAGATTAGAGTAAAAAAAAAAAAATTAAATTACTTAAAATCTAAAATAATAATATATTATTGTAAATTTGTACATAATATAGCGACTATTACTGTACGTATAAAAATATAAAACAAATATGTGATCAGTAGCCGATTAATTGAGTTATTTTTATACATTAACTAGCTGTCTTGCCTAGTGTTAACTGTATCAATTTGTATTAATTTTTTTTACACATAATCCTTTTTGGTTTTAACCGAATCAATATTGAATGAAAACAAATAGGTGGAAAGTGTGTAGTCAATTTTTGGTTAGGTTAATCTTTGGTGGACTAAAATTGTTCTGTTGTGACATTTTTTCATGATTTTCATACCAAATATATCTTAAACACTAAATTTAGGCAGTAGGGGAACAGTATTTGTAAAGCGATGGGCACGCGTGGTTTATATAGTGCTCCACTATATTCCCCCTGCCTAAACTTAAAAGTGGAATATCTCGTGAAAGGCTTGACGGAAAACAATAACTTAACAAAAACAATAACACCAAAAATTAATAATACAATTAATACTCTAATACTCTATTTATTTAAGTAATTTTCAATATAGGTTGCCATTTGAAAATCAAAAGGAAGTAGCCATTTAACATTTAAAAATAAGAGTGAAAAAAAAAAGTAATGTAGTAGTGTATGTAGTAACGTATTTTATAAAATAAAATAGCATCTTTAGAACTGTTTATTTCATAAATATTCAGAAAAAAAAAAAATGAATATTTTTCGAGATATTGCAATGGTTATATAAATGAATCAATATTAGGTTGGTCATGCCATAACTTAAATATTATCCAAATTTTTAACTTTTTCAACAATTTTTATTCATAAAAACATTGTCTTAACAATTAAGAACACAACAAAAAAAATCAGCTTAATCAGTCCAACCGTTTTCAAGTTATGGCATAAACGACAAAATATTGATTCATTTATGTATATATATATACTCATATATATATTATTTCATTAAGTTATCAAAATACAGAAAACTCACTTAGTACCACGGATATATAAATAAATAACTATAAAACTGATAGTAGTAGCGATAGTAGTTGTAATAATATTGTTTTGTTTTTAATGAATAAATATATTTTTAAAATTGTTATTAAATATTATATTACTATATTTTGATCAACAAATCAAATTTCTAATATTATTTTGTAATTGAATGATTTTTTAAATTTTTTTTTTTGATATTAATTTACATCAAAATTTTAAATAATATATTTTATTGTCGAATATTAATTCAAAAATACATTGTTTGTTAAAATATAGTACTTATAATAGTTCTTAAAATTCAGAAAAAATTAAAAACATTAATTAGATTAATCACCCTGTAAACTAAATATAATCATCTACTCACAAAAAAAAAATTGAATTTACGTCACTGATTTTAAATGTTTTACGTATCAAAAGGGTTAAAATAAAAACTATTGCTTAAAATGAAAATATTGCTTGTTCTCTCTCTTAAATAAATGTATATTTTTGTGGTTTTTATCACTTTTATAGTCTACCTTAAATCTATCATATGATACTTACATCATCAGCAATTGCATTTTCAGCTGTCATCAATTGTATTACTAATTTTTCTTTTTCAATTTTTCTAGTTAATTCTTCCATTTGTTGGTGAATACTAGAAGTAGTATTTACATCATCCGATATGCTAGGCTCGTCTTCATCAACTGGAGAATATGGTTCTTCTTCTCCTGGTATGTAGGGTAAATCATCATCAGTTAAAACTTAAAAAAAAAAAAAAAATGAATATATTGTTTACACATTATCACTTTTAATTAAAAAATATTAATGTTTTACCTAAAGAATGTGGTACAACTGGTGTTGGCAAACTAAGAATTTTATTAGTCGGTGATCTTGGTGGAGTATAACTTTCTTCAGGTGAATAACGATCTTGAATAGATGTTGATAAAGCAGGTTTAAGATGAGGTAAAGGTAGAGTATCATTATTATCAGATAAGGCATAATTATTTTCTGACTGTTTCCATAATGGAACCCAAGATTTTTTAGAATTTCGTACAATTATTCCCAACAACAAATGTGTTCTATAATCATCAACACCAGGCCCATCCAATGGCAACAATACCTGAGGAACAGGACAATGACTTCCAAGTGGATAAATATAAAAATCCTTTATGTTAGGAAATGGCTTACTATCAATAACAGCTATTCTATTCTTAGCACTTAAATACTGATAAAGGCTTAGGTAGGACATTTGTTGTTCCATCCCACCAGCTGATAACTTAGTAACAATAATATCTTTGGTTCCAGTTTTTTTCAATTTACCCATATATTCCCAAACAATTTGTTGTTTGATTCTACCAACACACTCTAGAACTGGTAGATTAAGTTCAGCATCTAATGCAATTACATTACCAGATAATCGAGTCATTGTTACATTACAACGTGCGACATCTGTAAAATTGATGATTCCTTTCCATATAGGGCTAATTTCATCTTCCACACGAGGTGGAGTAGCTATGACAACAGTAGAACTTGGTTCCCTATCACTAGTATCCTCTTCTTTACATACTTCGAGATCATTAATAACTGGATTGTCGGTACTAATTTCAATTTTTTTAATTTGTTTGACATTCTTTTCCTTTTTATCTCTACTTCTGCTTCGATCACGACTCCTATGTTTTTTATCTTTATGTGACTTATGACGGCTTCTGCTAGATTTATGATGTCTACGTTCACGATCGCCACTACTACTTCTTTCCTTGTACCTACTTTTTTTCTTTTCTTTTTTATCTTCTTTTGTTAATTTGAGTAAAATTTGAGGTTTTTTCTCTTGGACCTTTATATCAGGATTAAGTTCAGATACTATTGTTTCCTTATTATCTTTAGGCTCAATAATTTCTTCTCCTTTATGAGTCTTCATAAGTAAAGTTTTTGATTGATTCATCATATCTAATTCAGTTTTTCTGATCATCTCTATTTGATGTTTATTTTCTCGTTCTCTCCACTCAGCCAGCTCTTGGGATGCCATTTCATCAGCAGTCATTCGGACCAACTGGTATGGAGTAACCCACTTAAACATAATTTTTTTGAAAAAATTTAAATTTTTCGGATCTTTTATATTAAACATTAAACTTCTATATTTAGTTTTATATTTTTGGTCAACTTTACCAAATTGAATATAAAGTTCTTCTTCAATTTGTGAGATTAAATCCTCCAAGTTTTCTTCAGCTGTTTTCATTTCTGATTCTTCAGATATTCTACTACTTAACGTTTCTAATAACGATTTTCGAACATTTATACGCAACTGTTCTTCTCCCTTTTTCTCGCAAATAATTTCTTTTATGGGTTCAGGTTTTTTCCTAACAATTTTTTGTACTATAGTTGTTTTTGAAGGAGTCGCAACAATAGGTTTTATTTGTGGAACAGGTTGTAGAGATTTGGCTGGTTCCTTTTGAGGAATATTATGTTTAATAGGTTCTTTTGGTGGTATCGGTTTTGTAGAATCTTTTTTAACAAATACCAATTTTACTTTATCAGGCTGTAGTAAGTCTGAAACATCATTTTCTCTTTTGATTTCCTTTACTTTATGTTTTTCTGGGCTAGAGGCTCGCCTTTTAAGTCGATTTTCATTTTCCTTTTTGACAAACTTCAAAATACTCTGTTGTGGTGATTTTTGATTATTTAGGGGTTTTGAACATGGTTTACTAGAGTTAGATTTAGTAAGTCCAGAAGGTTTCATAATTTGGAATGCTGGGTTTTCTTTCATCCATTGTTTTAAATTTACTAGTTTTGGTGCTTGTTCACCTGTAACATATTTTGTACACAAACTATATAATCAACAAAAAAAATTTAATAATAAATTTAATAATTTAAATACATTAAATTATTGTTTAATTTTAAATCATCACTTACCAGTAATAAATCTGCTGTTTTTTTTATCAAATAAAATAATATCAGTCGACTCTGAAGTACAACATGCTTTAATAGCAGTTACACTATCTTCAATATGTTTATCCAAACATGCTTCATCACAAAATAAACCCATTCCCACGCTTTCAATAATCTTTTTACATTGAATACAATTTTGTTTTGTTTGGGATAGAGTTTTAGTAGCTTTAGGAGAAATTTTAGTGACTGATGTTTTTGGACAAGGTTTTTTTTTTTTATCTTCTTCTGATTTCTTCTTAAATTTTTCTTCTTCAGCTTTTTTGCGTACTTCTTCAGTCTTTTTCTTTCTACATGGTGGGCAATTCCATTCAACACCTTGAGATTCCATTTGCTCACCCAGAGCTTTTGTAATACCTACACATTTTCCATGGAACCAATCTTCACAAGTATCACAACATATCATAAATCTAAAAACACAATGTTTATAAAGTTAGTTTAATACCAAGTTAAAACTTTACGTTGAACTATTACCTGTTATTATGAGGTTTTCTACAAACACACCAAAGTCTATTTGGATCATCTTCGGAAGCCATAGTACCTTCTCTATCAGTATCAGATTCTTCACTACAGTCAATTATACTCTTTGAACTAAATATAATTAAAACATATTAGTGGACCGTAATTAGATAAATATTTCTCATAATACCACTTACTTTTCTGATGAACGTCTTTGTCTAACTTGATCTTTCATACAAGCATTAGCATTCTATAAATACAAAATATAATTATAATGGCCAATTAATTCTATATTTTGTCTACAGTAAAAACCATACTTCTTTTTTTACTAAAGACCGGGTTTTGGGAATCTCAATGGGTGGTAATGTCACTACTCTACCAGATCTTCCATATATTATTGTGGAACCTTTAGATTTATCATTAGTTTTTGATGATTTTGAATCATTTTTATCGCTTTGATTAAGACTATCATCCAACAATAATTTGTTCATTAAGTCATGACTAGAATTAGATGGAGCAACAAAAGTTGACTGAAAAACAAATCAATATATTAATTAACTTCATACAATACAGTGTATTTTACACTCGAGTTTACATACAGAGTTAAGGTCTTCATTGAGATCGGCTAATTCATCTATTAAATTATTTTCATTAATAATTTCAGTTTGATTATCTAATTGAGAACTAATATTGTTTAATATATCTTCTACTGTTTTATTTACAGTATTTTCAATTGGATTATCTTTGCTGTGATTTGAGATTTTTCGTACCCTAATAGAATCATTTGTATTTACAGTCACTCCTTCAGAATTAATTGGAACATTCAAAACCGAGTTCTCTATAGTTATTGTATTATCAACTTTCTCAATAACATTTGTTTTAAGATCCAAGTTTTCATTTTCTGTTTTAACAGTTGATTTATTATCATCCGTAATTATATTTGGAGAAGAAAATAATTGAGGTGCATTCGGCAATAACTGTGTTTGTGAAGTTGATAAACACTCTATAGAATTCTCACTATTTTCATTTTTAACTTTATTCTTTTTAAACATTATCTGATTTTGAATATATTTTTTAGGTTCAATACTTGATTGTCGGACCATATCATTAGCTTTCAGTAAAGCTGGGTCGACAACAACTTCAGATTTCTTTTGTCGACTATTTTTAATCTGAAGAGTTGGCCGAACTTGATTAGGTTTCTAGGAAAAGAAATGGTTTTTAAATTAAAAATTATAAATATATATTATCATTTATGTCTAGAATTAATAGAGTCTAAGGAGTATGTAAGTACACATACAGATAATATTAAATCTAATATAACAATAACAATTTTATAATCAACCCTTTAACACGTAGACCTAAAAAAAATTCAGTAAATAAGACTGTGGTATCCATAGAAGCCACCACTAGAAAAACTTGTGTGTGCAAAATTATATTTGAAAATTAAAATTGTATATAACTGTGACATGAATATTAACCACTTATTTATTAATACAAAAACCATGGTAAAATTAATTTGTTTTTTATTTATTGTATAAAAATTATAATCAGGTGAAAAACCCTTTAATAAAAGAAAAGTGACAATCATAAATAGCACAAGTAATTAAAAATACAATTAATGAAATAATAATTAAATAAGTATAAATAAATAGAACAAAGATAAAATTACAGCATACAATTAAATAACATGTATATACATTGCACTTAAAAACTTCAAGAAACAAAAAAAAATATCAATACAAGATGGTAATTTATTTGCTAACATTAGAACTCAAAGAAAATATGATGCTGAGCTATAATTATTGGTAAAAAAATGGAACATAAAACAATATAAAAACATGAAATCAATAACTTTTCTTCTGAGATCACAATATGTAATACCTAGCTGAGAAGAGTGCAAATGATAAGAATCCCTTCATTAATATTTAATTTATTACAGTTATGTTTATCAATGTTGAAAAAATATTATTACGGGAACCTAATTTACCGAACAGTTTATTATATCACCGGGTTATAACAATATTGATAAAATGATAAATAAAATAATAATAGAAAGCTAACCTTAACAAGTATCTGTATATCTGTATATCTCTATATGTCTATATGTCTCTATACATACCACAGTCTAGATAATTTCCGAACAGTTAAAAAAATTCAGCACTTTTACTATATGAAAAAAGTAGTCTTCAAATACACCACTAACACATAAAGGGTTAAAGAGTCCAATATCTAATAATGTTGAAAAGAAGATATTTTATAGATATGATATAATGGTTTATTTAATGTATCATATATTTTTATTCATTCATATAAGTTAATTATTAAGTTTTATAAATTAAACAGCAATTGAAAATTAGAATGTGTTTAAACGTATAGCAATCAAAGGACAAAGTTGAAGGAAATATGTAGTTACCATTGGTAATAGACGTTTAATTGTTTTTGAAACTCTAGGTGTATCATTCAATTGATTAGTTTGTATATCCTCAGATTTTGTTTTGACAATTGTATTTTTCATACCCACAGGACTTTTAGGTTTGAATTTTTCATTCTATATAAATGTATAAGGTTAGTATAATAATTTACTACTAATTGAATGTTTTCAAGTACCTTTAGATTAACTTTTGAGATTAATGGTTTTTTAGAATTTGGTGAATTGCTCTCTATGATACTGTGCATTGGTACATGAATATCAGACTTAATATCTAAAAAAATATTTAAATTTTGTATGTTAACATAATTAAATTATATTAAATAAAATTAATAACAATATAATAAAATGTACAAATACCTTCTATAGGTACAGATAGAGGATTGTCATTTAACTCTCTCTCAGTATCTCTAACAGTAGATTCTTTAATTTCATTTGAAATTTGTGATTGAGTGAGTTTGTCTAAAAATATTATTTTGCAAGATAATATATGACTTATAAATTATCATAAAGTTATAATAATATAAATATTTACTAGTAATCTCGTTTACTCCACTAGAAAGTGTGTTTCTAATATTTTCGGGTGCAGTTGATGTTGGATATTCTTTGTGATAACAATGATCCAAATAAACAATTGACAAGTTACTTTTTTCATTTATTGGCGTATCTAAAAATATATATGTATAATATATAAATACATATAATAAATGTAATAAATAATATAGAAAAGGGTAAAAGTTATTAGTTACTCAAGTATTAACACACTAATCTAAACAAAAACAACAATAAAATATGTTTTTTTTAAAAATATTTTAATTTATTTCAAAGAATAATAGGCCCCACTGAGCATGTTAGTGTGAGGGCCAATTTTAACCACATATTTTAAAATATTATTAATGCATCATTATTTTTTACAAAATATACTATTGTTATTGTTTTATAATTGAAAAATAAATTTATATGAGTATAAGAATTATTGTTTTATGTATATAAATATAATTAAAACTTATACAAATATACAATAAATTAAAAAGATAAAAAAATATAAACACAAAATCTTCTGCATTGTTTATAAAACTTATTGAAGTGAAAACTTTTTTTGAAGTGTGCAAAATAAAATATAAGAAATGTGATTAGCCCTAATGTTATTATGAGACAACAGTTAGGTTTAGTATTTTGTTTTAAATACTAAAAAATGTAATGAAAATACAACTTAAATACGAAATATAAAAATGTTATTATTAATTTATTTTTTATTGCATATGATTAAAAATTGAATAAGGTAAGATTATTAAAGACTATAGAAAATAATACAAATATCTTATGTCATTTTTTTTTAGAAAATAAAAAATAATATCAACTTGTTCTAAAATTTTTTTTTTATATAATTGATTATTCATATTACTTATAAAAAAACTATCCTTAGATAATGAGGACGGGTGTAGCCACAAAAAACGATTCTGAGCTGAGTTCAGTTGATAGTGATGTTTTGTCAACAATATTTATGTCATATTATGGTAAAATATTGAAATAGGCATCATATATTTTTTTTAATAATATTTGTTTAATGTACAGATTTTCCCATTTATCCTACGTTTTTTCCCGATTGTTCACATTTTCTGGGAACTCTTAGAAAAATCAAAACATGACCTCCCTAAAGAACCTTCCCAGTAAAATTTCCTTTCAGAAAAAGTGCAATTATTGTAAAAGGGGCAAAATTGCGGATAGAAAAGTTATTCACAGGAAAAAAGAATGCCGTAATATTTTTAACCAACACCTACAATTAGTACATTTTCCCGTTTTTCACATATGTTGAATAACCTCCTAGGAAAATCGAAAAATGACCTCTCTAAAGTACCTCCCTAGTCCAATTTCCTTTTAGAAACATTGCTTAAAAATTGGAGATTTCTTATAGAAAAGTTGCAGACAGATAAAAAAAAATAAACATCTTTGTAAAACCGTGAGCTTCTTCGCTCCTGTCAGAATCTAAAATTTGTGGCTTCAAAAGAAATTTTACTCCTAATATGGGGGTTTGTATACAACTAGTTTAAAAAAAAAACAAAAATCTACAAAATTTATTAATTTCATAATTACAAGATTAATATTGTCTTACCTTTAGACAATAATGATTTGGTAGAAATAGATGGATAAAACCCTTGAACAGTCAAATTGATTTCTTGCTCTCCGTTCTCGGGATTTGTTGTAATGCCTTTATTACTGCTGTTTTCAAAATGTATAATATTCATGGTTTCTTTTTTGCTTTCTAAATAATTATTATACTTATTTAATCATCAAATTGTTAACAAACAATTTTATTTCACAAATATGAATAGGTATTGAGCCAATTTCCTAACACAGAATTATAGAAATTGTCAGTGTATATGTATCTGTATGATTCAAAAGAACAGTATGGAAATCACAACACATATTATATCTACCAATTTAACTTATTTTACCCAACTAAAGTTTATTAGTTAAATAACATAAATTAATGTATTCAATTTATATTATTTCTAATCTTTTAATCATAATTTTTAGTTTTTATTGTATTGTTAAGGTGTAGAATCATAGGAATATGTATACAATGTAATTATGTTTCCAGTTAACACTAAAAATTTCGGTCAAATGTCCTTGGATTTGAATTCCATTTCTTGGTAAGTGATAAGGAGTTTCGAAATACAAATTTTATTTTTCTATCAATTCGAGTAAGGCATATATTTTTAATCAATTGCCATTAAAAATGTTTTTTCCAAATTAAAATTTAGCAAGGTATAGATTTTTAAAACTTAAACAATAACGGAAAAAATGGCATATCCAAAATTTTCAATTTAATCTTATCTTTCTTTACCTGTACCTACTGTTGTGATAATCCAATTGTCTAATTTTAAATAATCTTTCTATAATTAATACCGAGTAGCTCTCATACCTGAATCAGTTTTGTACTTAAGTTTAGTGGTTCATGTAGTTCATACGCAAATTTGTTATATTAGTAAATGTTCTTATTATTTTATGAATATGAGAAGTATGAAAAAAAACCGAATTGAATTTTAATTTTAGGAACATGTTATCATTATACTAGCCTAATAAGTTCAATAAAATTAACTAAGTGTCAAAAACTTTAACTGACTCATCATAACTGTGGTCTTGAGCTTACTATATATTATACTATTATTATTTTTCTACGTTTTAAACTTATTTAACTTCTGTCAAGTGCTTTCTACATATTTAGTATTATAAACATTTTTAATTATTCTTTGTTAAATTGCCCGATCGAGAATAAGTTAATTAAGATAAAATAAATAAAAAACTAATCAAAAAGCTAAAACATACAAAATTTGTCCATCAAAATTTAAAAACTGCTCACTTACCCAAAACTCTATTGAATGTCTCTTGGTCTATTGCAACAGTCCCATCAGGCTTAACAACAACTACTAAAGTATCCTCAGCTTCATCTTCTGATTCCTCATCTGCTTTTTCAGTTATTTTTGAACACGACATATTCAAATAGAATCTGAAATATTAACATAAACACACTTAATTAGGTATTTTTATTTAAACTAAATTACCTCATACATAATGAAATACTTTTTTTTTAAATTTTAAGTACCAATATATAATCGCCTCAATTTAGTGCCTCACTGAAAGTAGAATAAATAATATACAAGTAAAAAATGTTTGATATAATTAATACAAAATAATGGGTAGGTACTTATAAGTAATGATCATTTAATAAAATCGAATACTTATATTTCTAAGTACATTTAACAGTAAGAGTGAAGTATTAGCTATAGGATTTTATACCCCATAATTAATGATAATTTTAAAAATACGACTAAATGGACTAAAATGCAAAGTAATATCAAATATAAATAACAATATTTAAATATTGGTGTTGTCGTGTTAATTATTATTGTTATTATAAAACGACGGGTACTTTTCCATTAAATAGATAATTATTATCAACCTGTAAGTACGATAATGTAAAAAAAAAAAACAATGTTATTATGTTCATAACTATTTTTATTAGTGTTGATATCAGTGCGCAAAAATAAACAATCGTACACATTATTATTATGTAGACATGTTGAAGGTATATGCAACATTTTTCCCTCCAACCAGCGGTGGTTGGTGGAGGGGGTAAGGAGGGAAGAAAATCACAAAACGTCCCGGGGAATATATTATCGATATTATCATCAGGACTAATGAAAACAGAAATACGTAAGAATATTAGAAGACCGCCGCATAAAAGATTACTGAGTATTATATATCGAAAAAAAATATTAAATGTACTCACCGTTAAATATTACAATTCCTTTGCAGGCAACAAATGTCGAATCTAACTTCTGTCTTCAACGTCGTTGTCGCGTTAATTTTCCAGACTCTGATTGTCGTTATCTCTACGCTACAATTGTTCGTTTGATCCCATCGCCATTGCCGCTGTCTACCTGCCGTATTTAGCAAAGGCCGTGATGAGTACACTAAATTATCGTTTTACCCGCGCAACACGTCGCTTATCACACGTTTGCAATTAGTTTCTTTAATTTTTTTATTTGCATGGAAATGGTATTCTGGCCAGTCAATGGACGTATGTATTAAAACGAACGCGCAACTCAGAGGCCACCGATAATACCAATTATCAATAGCTGCAGCACTGTAGGCCAGCTATTAAAACTTTTACTACGCGGTTCGAGTGTGGCCCGTCCGCCATTTTTAGTCATGAATTCTACGCACGCGCAAGCCAGCCCATGGAGTAAAAACACAAAAGTGACAGATAACAGCATTATTATATAGTTAAAATTACGATAATCTATAAACCTCGGGAACCGTATAGACATACTGTCAGACGTACCACGAAGAGTTGCATATTAAGCCCATAGAGTAATATAAAGAGCCCGTTCCTTCGGGACCACGATTTAAGATATAATCATATGAAAGGTATACCTTAATTCTTGATCGGAAAATTGGAGTGCAGTTAGTGCAGTGTTGCCAAACGTACAAGAATTCTTGTATTTATACGAGATACGGATTTTACGACAAACGAATACCGAGATATGTTTTGTATTAATTAAATCTGTGTTTAGTTAGCTGCAGTTAGATTTTTATCATGATGAATTAAAACATTTTTTGAACAGTATTAGTAGAACATTTTTTGTTTTTATGCAAAAAATGTATGTTTCAAAGGTTGAAATAATCGATCTCCCGAAACTTATCAGTTTTTATCAAAATTGGGAGTACTGTACCCATCCGACCCGACATTATTATTATTATTATTTATTGACGCCACAACGGGCAATTTTGAATATAGTACAAGTAATATTACATAGAATACTTAAACATTAAACATAATACATTATTTAAAGGGAATAGCTTACAAAGGTAATACAAATGAAACATTAATTAATCCAGGGTGGGCGTCAGAGTAAATTTTAAATCTTTCACAGAAGTAGCTGATAATAGAGAAGTTCTGCTAATTTCATACGAATACTCAATGTTAAAGCGCCTTCTACTAAATGACATAGACTTGCATTTACCAATATCAAAATGCAGGCCAAGGCGAAAGAACCATTCAACTAAGTTGTTTAAATCATTTCAAAGCACAGTGCAGTCACTGATTGAGGATATTTTCCGAAAAATTTCAGATCGTCTGCAAAAATTAGAAAATTATAGTTTGGTAAAATTCGTTCAACACCATTAATAAAAACAACAAACTGAAGGGGGGACAAGTGGCCCCTTGAGGGACACCAGATGGCCCACAAGTGACAGCGGACTTATGCTCTAGTATTTTAATCCATTGGACTCTATCAGACAGGTAGGACCTTATCAAGGATAACAATGGATCACCAGACCCGGCCATATAAAATAAGGTTTCTGTGGTTGACACGATTAAACGCTTTTTGAAAATGAGTGAATATGATATAGACTTGCGAGTAGTGTTCAATCGTATCAAGAATGAAACTATTGAATGTAAGAGAGTTAGTAAGGGTTGAGCGGCCAGATCTATGCTGCTCATCTATGCGAATAAAATTAACAGAACTCTAAATTTTGGATAGGATTAAAGCTTAAAGCTTTAGCTAAATGACACATAATGGAGATTGGCCGATATTTACGTACGTCAAATTTAACTCCGGACTTATGGATAGGGGTGACGGAACTAATTTTTCACATATAGAGGAAACAGCTTTCATCTAGTGAACGCTTAAATAGAAGGAATAATGGGAAACATGTAACAGATTCGATGTTGTACAAGAAAGTCCCAGATAAACTATCGAAGCCTACAGATTTGACATTTACTAGTTTATCAAGTTCAGCTTCAATATCAGTGATGGTAGAATCGCATTTGCTTGTAAGATCATAGTTGGAAAAAGGCATAGATGTGTGGGTGTTATTAGAAGAACTAGAAGCGAAGACAGAGCTGAAATAATATGAGAAAAAATTTGCAGTTGTTTGTGGGCAAGAACTAGATTGCCCGTTTAGACATATAGAACTAGGGATTTCACTGCTAGATTTAAGCTTTTTCACAAATTTCCAAAAACCATGAGGGTTACACTTCAAGGATGCTTCAGTTTGATACAAATACTTCTTATAACACAACCTGGATTCAAACTTAAAGCACGCTCGAAGATTGGAGAACATATAGTAATCATTCTAGCAACGCGTTAATTTATATTTAGCATGCACACGTTTCTTATCAAACACAATATTTTCGAGGGGTTTAGATTACCAAATCGGGAACTTAGATGGAGTATATGGTGTTTAAAGTACACAATTGAGAACACAGAAGTGCAATGCATCATAAATGCATTGGTTGTAAAGTCGACGTCAAGAGCGTGGAAAGTTATGGCCCAATTAAAAGACAACAAATAATTACAAATAACAGTGTACAAAGCATGGCGAGTCGGGAAAAATATGAGAAGAATCAATAGCGGGGGCGTAACCGTTCAAGCTGGGATGATATGGAAAATTATTATTAAGTATATCTAAATTCGTGACAATTACTTATCGCCTATATAAAATATATGTAATTTTAACTTATCAAAATTTAGTAAATTAACTGTTTCATTGAGTAAAAAAATGTTGTATGAGAATTTTTGAAAGTTTGATACGAGATTTCGGTAATAGGTACCTGGCTACACTGAGTTAGTGTATATTTCGTGTACTAACTACTTACATAAAATAAAATGTGGGTACTGCCGTACCGGTATACTGTGCAACTATGGATGTATAGACAATAATTGTTTTAAATTTGTATTTTTTCAATAATTGATTAATCACCCGTGATTTGTAGTAAGAGTATTTAAAAAATAATATAGTATAAACCTAAGATTAAATTAGTTAATTTAATTAATTTAAGCAAATTTTACCAAACTTACTTGAACTCCAATATTCATTTAACAATATTAGATAGTTTTAAAATATTATGTAATTAGTGTTAACTATCTTGAATTATCTTATCTACAACAAACTATACAGCTCGGCATTTTTATTTTTTATAAATTGAAAATTTGATTCAAACAAATTATGTCAGTAATCACAAAGTATATCATTCTTTTATTGCACTTCAACTCACACTAAAGGCGAAATGCGGAACGGACTCTCTCTATTTAATATTACCTACTCAATAATTTAGCCCAAACTCCGCAATCCGCCAACCCATTCGTTTTCAATCCTATATATCAGTCTGCGGTTGGAACATAGATTATACAACTAATATTTTTAGACTCAAGAATCTGACTGTAGGGAAGAATGTACCTATTGGTTTTACAAAAATGTTTAAATCTTTTTTTCTTTTTTAACACTTAACAACCAGATAGCTAACTCCAATGTGTATGAAATAAACATTTTTCTGAAAAGAAATTTTCTTGGAGTGGTACTTTAGAGAGGTTCTTTCTTGATTTCCCCAATAAAAAGAAAAAATTGGGGAAAAACGGAAAAAGGTACAAAATATACCTATGAGTAAAATACTATGATTTATTTTTCCTATGTATAACTTTTCTACCAGCAATTATTTGTTCCGATTTATAAAGATAGCACTTTTTCTAAAATTAAATTTGATAGGGGAGGTACCTTAAAGAGGTCATTTTTTAATTTTCTCACCAAATGAAAAAAACCAAAAAAATAATGGGAAAATATACGAAATTTAGATATCTTGGTATTAGTTAAAAAATATTTCTGTCTTTTTTTTTTCCTGTTGTTGTGCCTATACGAGTTGTTGTGCTCGTACGGGTTGTAACATAACACTGAACAACTGTTCTTCAAGAAATTTTACTCTGATTTTCAATGATGGCACTTTTTCTAAAAAAAAACTGACTATGAAGTTACTTTAAGAAGGTAATTTTTTGATTTTCCCGAGTTTTCCTAGCATATGTGAAAATACATGGAAAAATAAGAAAATTGATACAATATTAAACAAATATTATTAAAGAAAATATATAATGCTTATTTAGTTATTTTACCATAATAAGACGTATGTTGAAAAATCATCACTATCAACTGAACTCTGCTCAGAATCGTTTTTAGTAAGGAATGGTTTATCATTGCTTACAGATACAAATTCATTTCCTTGCTATATCCTACCTTCACAACTTCTCACCAATAACAGTGGCTGCACCTATTGTGCAAAGTACTTATGCCTATATTTTTTAATTTTATTACATACAATCTATAAATAATTAAAATTTAATATTTGTATTAGGTTGATTGACATGATGAAGCAATCGCCCGGTGGCAAAAACTTAATGGCTAGAGAGCTAGTATTATTTTAGGTCAAGGCTCCACTTGCGCTTTAGCTTATTAGGCGGGTTTCCAGGGATTACCTATGAAGACCTTTCATACTATTATTTGAATGAATTAAATGTAGTTTGTCAAAGTGTTCTAAGGTAAAATATGATATCTTTTAATATTTTTAATCTAATAATCAATTATTATTATATTCAAAATTTTAAAATTGTTGTTTTTTTTCTGGGATTTGTTTGAAAAATATAGTTGGGTGCAAGTATGCATTCGCAATGAGGTCGATTGGAATGTTTGGAGTTTACAGATATTTGATTTTTTTGTTACTCCCTACAGTTGGATACTGTATAATCAAAATGGCTTAAGGAGGGTTTTTTATAGTAGTATTTTGGTATTTAGATTGATTTTTGATTGTCTTCCTAAACTTGGGTTGAGTGCTCTTCATCTGGAGTTGAATACTAAGTCCTAATATGAGTTAAAATTACATAAAAAAATTACTGTTGTGTTTGTAACACTGATTATCAATGCGAAAAGTCCATAAATAATATAGATTCTTAATTATCTATGGAGTATGGACAACGCCCACTTCAGTCAAGGTCACGGCATGACTGTATCTCCTTTTTACATCAATGCAAATATATTACCATATAATATATTATATTAGTATACATAATAATACAAAATTCAATATTTCCAATTTACGATTGACAATTAACTATTGCTGTGATATAAGCAACATGTTTTTTTAGTTTTTGTTATTTTATGGCAGTGTAAACATAAACCAGATGTCTAGAATACGAAAATATGACAGTTGCAATAATAACGTATAATGTGACAAAAACATACGAAGGTAGTTGTTTCACCATCACAAATAATTTTAATGAAACCTTTTAAAGCTGTTTATTTCTTTAAAAAAAGTCAATACTTTTTAAATTAGCCAATTTAAATGGATCATCTTGTTACACCTTGTATACCTGCAATGTTTTCAAATTGACTTGGGCGTCATTGAAGTCCACCTATCAGTTGGCTTAATTAATTTTTAAGAGAATTAATTCAATTTTCTTTCAGAACAAGATAAATGTACATATAATCATTCATAGAACAAATTGTTTAATCATATAAATCCAATATTCAGTATAATTTTATTAAAAAATAATATAATTTTAATATTAAGTTGTACATTATTTGTTACTTCAATCATTAAATAAAAATAGTATTACAATGATGGGAAAGTACCTATATTATTGTGTAGCAGAAAATTGATGATGAAACCAAAAATATGTATGAATAAAAGTATACTATCCCTGTTTAGCCTATATTTTTATAGTTTAGTTTAACATTAAACATTTTTCTAATAGAAAACTAATTTACACATTATTAATTAAAAAAAAAGATTTCTTTATTGATTCTTTCTCTCCATAAATGTGTAAATAATATCAAAGCTTAAACATTTAAAATAGATATCATAGCTATGTAAATCCATTTAATTTTCCAATGAGAACACAAATTACGAATTGATACCAAACTATTCAATATGTTCTCTTAAGTTTTCATAGTAACATATACCATATATCTATCTAATGGGCAATGTAGTGAAAATGTTTTCATATGTCCAATAGTACTCTGGATCTAATATCTCTTTTTTTTATTTTATAGACCTAAAACAAAAACACTTTTCAAATCAAAGACATGTATTATGCTTTCAAATGGTGATTTTTTTGTGTATTTCCCAGGTTATCTATTCATACTTCAAATTTCAAAAAGAAAACTTATTTTTAATCTTGATAGAAAATTGTATATTAAATAAATAAAAAATCTTCCGCTTTGAAGAAATAGTAAATGTTTTAATCTTTAATTTTAGTAAAAAATATTTGTTTTATGTCTATTAAGTCCTGAGTACTTACTAAAGGAAGTCAAACATACATTTTTGAGATATTAATCATTAGATAGACAGTACCTTAGAAAAATAAAAAAAAATTGTTGTTGCATAAATGTTTAAAAAAAAAAAAAATCAAAAATATTCAAAAATGTGCAGATATTATATTTTATACTTGGAGTGTGGTTACAACACAAACATCTTGCTTGAAACATTTTTCATTTTGATTAATTATAAAAAATTATGAGAAATCAATAAGAAGTGAATAATTATCAGTAACTAAGAATTAATACAACTATAATAATTAAATTAAAATTGGTAATATTATCTCATTTTATGATATAAATTTACACTTAGAACAATTATTTTTGAAACTGTTGATTATTATTATTTGAATTAAAATTAGGTTCTAGTTAATATTATTTAATACTTGAAAAAGAATATTATGTATTCATATTTAATTAATAATTGTGTTTATATACATCAAATAGAAAAACGAAACAATTGAAGTGTAAATAAATACCAATTTCCAATACATTGAAACAATTCAGTTTTTAGATAATAATTGTAGGCTGGGTGGTCTTTATTTTTTATGCTAGACTCCCCTATTTTTTCATTACCTTGTAAAAGTAATCTGTGTAAAATTTGGTCATGATAAATCACCTTTTTTCCATGAAAAACAAGGAAATAAGGTAGTTTTGTGGTTTTTCACAAATAATATAGTTATTTACTATATCACTGATCATAAAATGATAAAAGACTTTTGGTAGTTCTTTTTAATGTCTATATAATTTATTATTATACAGTTTACTGTATAATTGGTTTTTCTAAGGAAAAATTATAAAATATATTTAAAGTAATAAGCAAAATTGATTTTTTGAAGGCTAAGAGGTGAGTTATTATGACCGAAGTTCATAGATTACTTTTACATGGTAATGAAAAATATAGGGGTGTCCAGCATCAAAAAATTATAACATTCAAAAATAAGGACCACTCTATTGTAGGCAGTAGTAATAAACTATTTTTATTTTCAGTGTTCCACTTAACTGAATATATAATATGGTAAATAAAAAAGTATACACATATAGTTATTAAAATGACTTGTTAAGTATTGGTTTGTGGCAAATTTAACCACTAGTTATCGCTAATCAGACATTTTAAGAATGACCGTTAAAATACCTTAATTATTATATTAATTTTAATCTAAGAACAATTAAACTTATTACTTAAGCAAATAATATTCAAACATAATTAAGTTTAAATTTAATTAATATTAAGAAAATGAACTTAAAAATGTACGGGAATTACTTTTACATAGCTATAATTGTATATGTTTTAATTAAAAAGTTAAATGACTTGGTATGTTATTTAATTTGTTTAAAGCCCATGTAACCATTATTAAATTTAATGTATGTTTATTGAATATAAATAAAATATAAAACAAAGTATTATATTTAAAAGAAAAAATACAATTACCAATTAGTTTTAAAATAATTCTTAAATCTTTAACTGAGATGCTAATTTTACCTATGTAGTTTATCTTTAATAATTAATTATGTGTTCAAAATAAACCAAATATATAATTTACATAGGTGGGTCTTGGCCATTAGTTTCTACGTTTTTCATAACATACGGCAATTCAGGAGGTGATGAGTATGCAGTTATCTCCAACGGCTCAAACTCTCCACTTTCCATCCTATAAATTCAAAACAATTTTAATAATCAGTAAATTCACAGGTTTATTTTTAAATATTTTACTTCAATGCTAATCCAATAGTAGCTGGACTTTGTGCCTTAGCAATACCGGAGCTAAGACCACAATCAGATAAAGTTTTTGTTTCGTCCATAATCGCATCTTTATAGTACAGTTGTTGATTTCCCGGGGGTACTTTAATAATACCTAAATTAGTATGTTAATATTATTCATTTATTTTAGACACAATTTTCAAAAACATCAAACAATAATTAATACTTGATGAAATAATGAAATACGGATATAAGAAAATATTTTTTAATAACTTGTAAAGTGAAAAAATGATAATTTTATAATCTGATATTAGAAATACTATAAAAACTGCTATAAAATTTGTATGCAATAGTTTTTTAAAAAATGATTTTGCTTAATTTATTGTTAGCAATCAGTTTAAATACTCCGAAATATAAAATCAAATATATCCAGTAACCCAATTTAAAAAAAAAAATCACTTGGTGAGCCAAAGATTAAGGTAATGTAAGGTACTAAGCAGTTTTTCTAAACTATTATATTACTATTAGAGGTGGGTAGTTCGTGGTGAGTTGGCTCTTTTAGGTGAACTGAATGAATTGATTCAGTGTAGTATAATTCAGTGACTCAGTGCTACCACTGATTTAAAACAATGATTCACGAATCGGCTGGTTCAATACAATTCACGAATCACGGATGTGTGTTATCAGTCCGAAAATTCACCTATATAGCCTGCTATGCCACAATATACATAATATGAAATTCTATTATTGTGTAATGACAAGTGATGTTATGATAAATTAAATAGGTAGGTCAGCAACTTGTGATNCTGATATTGAATGATATAAATGTATAATAGTTTTATGTAGTACAAGCACGTTGCAATTGTTGCAAATCATTTAGTAATTTAATATATTTTGCGTTAGTATTTGTTTGGAATAAGTTTCTTTTTTCATGTTTAACAAAACAATATTATCGGAAGCATGAGAAATAGAAGATATTTAATACATTACACAATAGGTATTAAGATACCTATTTAGTATATATTATTATGATACACCTACTTAATTAAATTATAAAAGTATACGACAAAATGTATTGTATTTATATTTTACAGCCCAAAATTCAAATATAAACATATTGTATTAATATATCATACATTGTAATGAACAATGGCATCGAATAGGATTAGAGCAACAATTATTTTGTTTATTGAAGTACTTATTCTCAAATAGAAATATTTTGGAAAACAATCTAAAAATAAAAATAATTGCTGGTAAAAAATTTCATAAGACTTCAATTCAAGTACTATAGGCTGTGTAAGTACCAAGTATGTATAAAATAAACAAAATATACATTGTTTTAAATAACAGAGTAATTGGAAACCTAACTTAAATTTTAGCCCAAAGATGCCACAAATTACGCTTAAAATATGAAATATACTTATTCGCCGTATAAATTATTATTTGGTAGAAAATATATAGTAATAACTATATAATAAGTTATTCTGCACTTTATTCATCAAATAGCTTTACTAGTTTATTCCGACATGGTAAACCGAAAATTATCAATTTTTTCTTATCTGTCAAATAACTTGTGTTATCAACGAATAAATGTGATTGAAAAACTGGGCCATAATGAAATGAACTAGGAACTTGAGTTAAAAATCCCATCACTAATTACTATACAAAAATCAAAAAAAAAAATCAAAATAAAAACAACTTTATATAGTGATAACTATCATTGCTAGAGATACTAATTTGTGTGAAGTATAAGTCACCAATTTTATTTATTTATCTACTTTGTACAATGATAATATCTACTAAATATTGAGCATATAAGGAAAATGTTGATTACACATATATATAAATAAATATTGCATTGATACACTTTAATTATATCAACAGTATTGATTATGTACGAATAGCATACATAAATTATAAATGACTACTATAAAATAGCCTTAAGCATAGGCACAAATAACTAGCTCCCTAAACTTAGTCAAGCCCCTCAAATCAAACAAATAATAAGCAGCATAATCAATATTAATCCCATTGTAAAAACAGCCAAGTATTGTTATCCATGCCATAAACCAGATATTGATAACATATATGTTGTCAACAATCTAACTTGGTTGTCTGACTGTTATAGCCATTAGAAGCATACATAATATATGGAGTTATCCCTAATATTTGGGCTTTTTAAGCCTATGACCTAATGAATGAATAAAAGTATAAAAAATATGTGAGCAACATACAAGCTATTATTTTCTTGAGTTCGTGAACCGAAATATTGTCTTTGGCATCAGTAAATATGGTTAGCTTCTTACGTTGAATCATCAAAAAGGAATCCTAAAAAAATAAAATGTATTTATTTCAGAAACAATGTATCATAAATAATATTCGCGTACCTATTAAAACTATCAAATATCAGCTACTTACCATTTTTCAGTTAGTTTCAGTTAGTTCACTGAAAAACGAAGACTTAAGAGATTAAAGATAGTTATCTTTACAAATATCAGTCCTATGTATAATGAAACAACGTTTTAGTTTCAATGTAAAAAGAAATCATTCGTAGTTCCACAATATTCTTAACAAATCACGAGGTCAAATAATAACTTATAAGTTGTTGTACTACAATAGAACTAAAATCGATATTCACTTCACAAACAAGCTAGGTTAATCAAAGTTTTGGTATTTGTTATTGCTCTAGAAAACTTATCATATGACCAACTGTTAAAGGGTTATCAGGTTATCCACTTTGTAAATTATTAAATATTTTTTTTTATAAAGTAAACAATTTAAAAAAAAAATATATTAAATATTAACCGATACATATAAAGTAAAGATTTAATTTTTAACAATAAAATAAAATTACCAATAATCATATATACTACATAGGTAATAAAAAAAATTGAAAAATAACAGCCATAGTCGTTGCACTGAATCATTCAGTAAATACAGTACTAACAGTTGGTTAAAAAAAAAAATTGTATGTATTTCATAAGTAGAATAATTTAGAGATAAAACTATGGTTATAATTATTTTATTTTTTTATTAATAGAAGTTTTTAGTTAATTAAGATCTTAATTAGTGATTGAAGCCATTGCTATTGATTTTATAATATACGAGGTTAGTATATGTATGTTTACTTAGTCACTATACTATAATTAAGAACTAAAACCATTAAAATAATAATTAAGTATCTATTATATTATATACCAAATAATATAAAATCATATTTTTCAATATTATCAATAATGATATTATATTTAGTGTGTCTTTATGTATATATTCATCAGATAAATTATATTATAAAAAGCTAAGAATATAAGTACCTATACAGGTTTAACTCAGTTCAAGTGATTATTATTGTGATTTAGATTAATTAATAATTTTTATATTTGCATATTATATGAAGAAATTTGATTTTGAATAGATTCTGTTTCTGATTACTGTTTAATTCCAATGCTTTTTGATATTTTTATTTTAGGTAAACAAATTAAAGATTATGAGAGTAATTAAAATTAAATAAGTACCTACATAATTAATATCGTACGTATATTCATATTATAATAATATTATACATAACCTACATAACCCTCCATAACCTATATTATATAATTATTTATAATAATAACGAACCCAGTATATGTCTGAGTTCGGAAAAAGAATAGACCCAGAGTTTTCCCTAGTGGTCGTAAAGGCGGCTAAAAGGTACTGGATGAGAACAGTAGCTTATCTAGTATTGAATGCAAGTGGAGGTCAAACCTAAACAGACTTGTACAGCTGCATACCAAAATAGAGCTGATACTGGGGATAGGAACAGCCACTGTTGTAGGCGAGAAGTTGGGAAGGTAGGATACATAAGGTTATTTCATTTTAACGATAGACCATTGCTAACAAAAAAACGATTCTGAGCGCAGTTCAGTTGATGGTGATGTTTGTCAACAATATATATGTCATAATATCGTTAAAGTAATTAAATAGGTATTATATATTTTCTTCACCGATTTTTCCGGTTTTCCCATGGTTTTTTATATTTGTTGGGAAAATCGAAAAATGAATTTCCTAAAGTACCTTCACAATTAGATTTCCTATCAGAAAAAGTGCTAATCCGAATAAGTCATAAGAAAGAAAAATTGCGCACAGTTAGAAAAAAAAAAAATAAATATCTTTGTAAAACCATAAGCTTCTCGCTCCAGACAGAATCTAAAATAAGGAAAACATATCACTAGCTTTAAGTCCTTTAGAATTATTATTATTATAATTATTTTCTCCTTACTGTTCTTTGTTTTTTTAAATGTAATTCTATTCATAGAAATCAACTTGTAAATTACTGTAAATAATCTAAATGTAACTAATAGCCTAGATGCCTGGTTTTTTGGTTTTGACCAATAAAAAAAAAAGTACATTACAATAGTAAATAAATATAATAATAATAAAATATACAATATGTAACACTCCCTGTAAGCCAAAATTATGATTGGAGAATTGAGTTCATTAGACAAAAGAACTTAAGAATATAATTATTTAAATAAATATGCCTCATACTTATTAAATATAAAAAGACGTCCTAGGATAATGGGGACGAATGCAATGACTGGGCGCAGGGCGTTTTGCACATATTACCTTTTTCGTGCTATTTCCGGCTGTTTTCGATATCTTTACCTGCTGAAATTATATGAGATGGATTATTCACTCAGAATTAAAAATTATATAAAATTAATATAATATAATACAATTGGATAAAATTGTCAATTATTATAGTTTAAATAAATGTTTAATATCATTTCAGTTATCATAAATGATAACTGATAGGTACCTATAATAGTTATACAATTATATTTCACGTAATTTTATCCATATGGATTTTCCATCATATAAATTTTAAATTGATATAGACTTCCGATATCAAATAATCATATTATTACTATCGATCAAATGTTCACAGTTAGTAGTGTTTTGACTTAAAATTATGTAAAATTAATATAATGTAATATAATCATATAAAATTGTCAAATTATTACAGTATAAAATATTATATAAAAAAAAAATTTTATATTACGAGTACATAATTGTCAACTGTTGTCTATTACATTGTCTATACATTTAATTTTGAGTGAATAGTCCGCTTTACATAATTTCAGCAGATAAAGATTTCGATAATGGGCTCAAAACCCACGATAAAGGTAATAGGCGTAAAACGCACTGGCGCAAAACGCACGCCATCAGTCACTGTTATAAATAATCCATAGTATACCTGTAAGCAACAATAAACAATTGCTTACGAAAAATAAATTTTAAACGGAGTTCATTTGATAGTGATACTTTGTCAATAATATATATGTCATATATATCTTCGTCGGACTTCCTTTCAGAAAAATTGCTATCATTATAAATCGAAGCCAAATTGCTGGTATAAAAGTTGTGCACAGAAAAAAAGAGAGCAGTAATAAATTTTAACTAATACCTATATTTCATTTCTTATATTTTCCCGTTTTTTTTTCGGGTTTTCAAATTTGATGAGAAAACTCTTAAGAAAGTCGAAAAATTACTTCTTTAAAGTACCTCCTTACACCGATTTCCTTTTAGAAAAGGTACTACACTTGTTAACTGTAACACTAAAACAATGTAATCGTGAAATTGTACGTTTTCCTGCGTGTTTTTCCACTTAGGTGCTTTTATTTAAAAAATGGCGGCGAAAATCAAAAAATTATCTCTCTAAAGTAGAGACCATCTAGACAACTTGAGCTTTTAGAAAAGTAGCTACACGTAAAAGTTTACTAGGAAAAAACGTGTCCACAGGCTAGGAGTAAAAATAATTAAAAACATCTTAGTAAAACCAATAGCTTCCTCGCTATGCTTGGAATCTAAAATAAATAAACATATTTATAAAACCAAAAGCTTCTTCATTTCACTCAGAATCTAAAATTATAAATGATGTAAACACAAATATATAAGAATTAAACAGTGCCAAAATCTAAATTATATAAGACAAATTTAAAATCCTTTTAACTTTTAAAATTACCTATATAAATTAATGTTCAATTTTATACATAAATTAGCGCTTAAAAATAAAGTTCATGAAGATTCAAAGGTTGTATTACTATTCAAAACAATGTTTGTATTAGCCTTATATCTCGTGTTATAAGAATAGTTTACCATAGTTAATAGATCCCTATGCTTATATGGTATAATAAAAAGAATACATTTGATTTAAATAACCTATCAAAATGCTGTACATTAAATTCATCACAGAGAATCTTAATAGTATGAAAACTAGGTTTGCCCAATAAAAATGTAATTATACAGTAATTGTTAATGGATTTAGAAATTTGTTTTATGAAATAAAATTATGATCTCTTTGTATAATATTGTTTTTATTTATTTTTAATTTTTTATCTTATACAATGTTCAAAATTTCCTCCATTATTTTCTACTTGAGCTGCCAGTCGAAAAAATTCAATCATTTTCAAATTTAAAAAAGTTGTAACTCTGTCAATATTAGGTTTAGGTCCTAGGGGCAGCGTGTCAGTGGAAACTTTGAAACGGCGTGGTGTCTCGTCAATAATTATATCATGGCAAACAATTTTTTTTTTTAAACATTTTCAATTTTCCTGTAATCCATGCATGTGTAAATTTACTTTTGTATGTGTATATAAATATTCTCTTTATCGTGGTATATGTATACATGTATGCATGGTACGATGAATTAATGCATATACGTTCTGAGATATTTTCGGAATTAGCGATAATGACGGACGTAAAACGAATGTGATGGTCGGTCGACAATCTCTATTCTAATAGTTAGGAGGTAAATAAAAGTCGGTGGTGGGGGAATTACAGCGATAATGATTTTTGTATGGAGTCCGTGAGACTATATAGTCTCTGCCACCGGGCGACACGTTATTCAGTATTCGGTGTGTACATTTGTGAAGTGCGTCGTAAAATTGCCGCGTTTTTATAAAAAATTAAAAATATGGAATTAAAACATTGTATATTAGATGAATTGACAACGATTTTCATTAATTTACGTATGAAGAAAGATGTAAATAATAAAAAACTAAGTTAATCAGATACGCCATTGAATAAATACTAATATTTCAATTAAAAATATAGGTAATAGATAAAACCGATAGTTACACAATAGTTAAGTCTTCCCGTAAATTGTATTCACGCATTTCTACTGTTAGGTCCATGCATTAAAGTGACAGAAAAAAATGATCTATCCATATCTGGTGACAAAAGTAAGGGTTGTTATTAAAAAAAATAATTTTAATTGTAAAGGCACACACTGAAAGGGGTAAAAACTGAAAATCACCCCAAAGTGTGTACTCCAGTACTCTTCATCACCCTCCAAAACTTCCATTTCAATTTAAGATCATCGAGCTGAGATATTCAGTGATACATATAAGACGGGGCACACTCTAATATGATTAAAGACAGTGGATCGTTAGTAATTATTATAAAAATGTGGTAACCTTACCATAATATGGTTATGATACCTACCATTTTGTATACCTATTATAATAAAAAATTTCTTGTTTAAAATGTAGCCGATATAGGTGATACAATACACAAACATCATTAAACGATATTTACGTCCATTTTTTGCAGCGAACACACTACTTTGTATATAAAACCGTGTTCATCGTTTTATAAAATGTGATGCGATAGTTTATTAAACGAATGATAAACATAATAGTATTAAACTGCAGCGTGTAAATAACGTTGTTTTGTTTACATTTCTGTCGCGGTAT